CTGTTCACAGTCTGAAGAAATGGGGATACGTGTGGGGTATTGCTACGGCACAAAATTTACATATTCGGGGTCCTCCCCCTCTGTCTGGGGGTTAATTTTCTTACCTCTGGCTGTTGGCTTTTCCTCTTGTTGCTGCCGCTGTTATTGGTGTTTTTATTTAAATTATTATTGCAGCATGCTGCTTACACTTATGGCTGCTACTGTAGCTCTTTTCATACGTTTTTCTAGCATATTTTGCTGCGCAGTTCCTTTCGTGTAAGAGCAATTTATTTACGCCAATTTATGGCACATGGCAAATGTTTAACAGATTTTGTTTGAACTAATTTCTGGCCTGTAATTTATGGCATTACTTTTAAACATTTAAATCAGTTGTTCTTTATCAAGCACTCGCGCACTTTTTATTACATTTGTTACATTTCATTTTCTCTGTTTTTTTTTACATTTCTACATTTACTACAAAAATATATATGTTTCTTGTGTATTATTATTGTTTTATTAACTCTTTTGTTGGTGTGTTTTTGTTGTTGGCTCGGGGGAGAAATGAGGCTTTTTGGGGCGGGAGCTTTCTCTGGGTTGCTTTCGCCGGCAGTTCCACTTACGAACCGAGCGTGTGGACGCCACCGCGGCTGCTTTTATAGTCAGCCGAGGTCTCGCTCTCGCTTTATGCTCACTTTGGCTCTCTTTTACTTTGTGGATTTCGTTTTGGGTGTGCGGGAGAGCAGGCGTCCCACCATTATCAGGTTGCTTTTGCTGTCTCCCACTCGCTCTCTTTCGCTGCCCCAGCTGCGTAGATAGCTGTGACTCTCTTTGTGGATGCTGTCTGTGGGCTGTCTTGCATTGAAATGGACTGCAGTTTTCTTATCACCAGCTCCGGCTGCTAATGACGTCACTGAGGAGGCATCGGACTTGAATTCCCATTTTGGTCAAATTGCACGTGTTAAATTCTGTCACTGTGTGTGTTTGGGTTTCTTTGTGTGAGTTGTGGCCATAAATTAGCCAATAAACAGTTTGTGCTTTTCCAGATTTCGTCTTGAACTTTTGTCCTCCCGCTTCTTTCCCACTTTCCGCTCTATGTTTATTTTCACATTGCTCTCAGAAACGCTTTTTGCTTTGGGAATGGGTTCTACCTTTGTCGGCCGCTGCCGCTGCCATTGCCATTGCCGCTGCTTGTTCTTGCTGATTGTCTTTGTTATTGTTATACCCTTCACGCAGAGGGTCACCCTCTTGCATTTATAACATGAAAATCGAGTTGATGTATCCATAGCCTATCAACCGTTAGTTGTCCATCTGTCGATTTGGAAGTAAAATAGTCAGTACAAATATCTTCGCGACACCAGATAGAATTTTACTGTAGCTTTAATAGGAAGCATGCATCCGCGAGGGTATCAAATTCCCCGGTCAGCGATGATATCCCTTTTTCTAGATTCGCATTGTTACTTTTTGTTGCTGTTCATTTTACTGCTGCTTTTCCTATTGTTTTTTGTAACTTTGTATATATATTTGTTCTTTTATTTGTGTTGGTGTTGGTGTTGCGCGCGTTTGCATTTAGCTTTCTGTTGATTTATCTCAAATGGCGCATAACTTGAACTCCAACCGGGTTATGGCTCAGCTCTGCTCTGAAATTTAATATTAATAAATATTTGCAGAACAACTTTCTACGCATTCAGCTATGTTCTTTACTGTGGCTTTAAAGAGTTTTACTTTTTTTTTTAACTATTGCCACTATGAATATTAGTTTATAATGATGCTGCGAAGCCGATTATCTAGTATGGACGACGCAACCCACGGCAATTTAAGGAAATCTGGGAATATAAAATAAACTCCCTGTAGATTATATTTTTCTGTGTGTTTCGCTTAAAATTAATTTCATCAGAAATGTATATTCAGTGTTTTTTTTTAGCGTTTCGTCAACTGACGGATTATATTAAAATAAGACAACATCAAATAAAAAACGTTTGTTCAAAGCTCTGGTTACCATCTTGACTTTATCAAAAATCACTAATCGAATTTACATTTAATCGAAGTACGCACCTATAGAAGGAAGCTCCTCCTTAGTATTCATTTATTTCAAACATTTTCCAGCATTAAAATGTATGGCTCTGTGAAGGAGGTCGAGAGGGGCATGAGGGGAGCATAGATTAAGGCAGAACAACCATAGCGCTTTTATACCCAGTACTCGTATACTGCCGTGTATATTAGCAGCGCATGAAAGTATGTTCGAGCTCATACATACATACATACGTACATTCATATATATGTACATTTAAGTAAATTTTATAAAGAGTTGCACCATTATACATACTTAATCATAATGGAAATAACTAATACATAAATATTCTGTATTTTATAAGTACTTAATGCTGTTGCAAACATTGCCATCGAACTTTTCTTTGGCATTATTGCTAGCCTTTGAGATTAAAATTTAACTTTTTCTATTTTCTATTGTTAAATTTTGGAAGCGGGTATTTTGTAGTCGGATTATCAGCTATGGTGTTCTCTCTTGTTTTATGTACTTACATATACACTCTGTTACTTCTACTCCCCATTCCCATACTACGCCTTAAATTTGCGGCAATTTTTCAGCGCTTTACAGCAGATTGCCACTTCAGCCCGAGCCTCTTTTCACCCTTCCCTCTCTCTCTTTCTCTCTTCTACCATGGAGATATTCACACTGTGAATCTACAAACACACTCACAGACACTTGCACACGCAAACGCACACTAACACAGCAACAGCCATGCAGGAGTCGTTGCCATTTTATCGTTTCCTACTTTAGGCAGCCGCCATCTTCCCGCTGGGCCAGAAATTGGATCTCAACTCATCCGAAACCCGGCTCTACTGCTATTCCTCCGTCTGTTTTGGCTCGGCCGTGGGTCTGCTCTGGTTTTGCTTTTATTTTTAGCAGTAGCATAATTTTTTATTGATTGGATTTCAGCGAAAATCACTTCCGGCCATAAATTTGTTATGCAGCCATCGGCTTTTCGTTGCCTCTCCCTTTGACTTTCGCCAACTTCCCCCCATGCAGAAGGAAACTTTTTCATGTTTTTACAAGAATACTTTTGTGTTTTGATTTATTTTACGTTTGCGTCAATGTCAATCGAGTTTCAGCTTGAGGATTGAGCGGAAGAGCGGCATACCGGAATAGCAGAACAGCGGGGCGCATGAAGTGCTTGTTTGACTCGAATTTGTTTGTTTGGCTTTCGTTGTGCCTCTGCACTAATGGCTTAAAAGGGGGTGCGCAGCAAATGGCCTACAAGTATTGACAAAGAAAATTTGCACACTGTTTGCATTACATTACATTCGTATTTGTGCGTGTGTGTGCGTACAGCCTTTGGGCAAAATCAAACACAAACACACGAGTATCCATCCCAACAAATTACTGGAAAATGTTATCAAAAATGAAAGCGCTGCTGCTCCGTAATTTAATATTTCAATCAGGGTGCCTTGAGGTTAATGTCCTGCCACATCAATGTCCTGTCAGCCAAGCCACGCGGCTTTAGGGATAAGATAAGCGTTCATAGTGGGGCAGCAGGCAGCCAAAATTAACAGGCAAAGACGACGATGTCCATAACAACAGCTGCTGGACTCACACCAACACCCGAATAGAGACACACACAAGCACACACTAAAGAGAGGACAGTCTGCTAAGAGAACCATGACGTCACAAACCAAGGCAAAGAGAGATGGAAAGATTAGGCGGAAGTGCGCCTGCGTTGGCCAGGACTCGCCGGACTTCCGGCCAGAGCAGCGACCATATGACATCATTGAAAACAAACCTCGAGCTTTGGTAATGAAATTATGCGTTTTTTCTGCAGCTACTCTGTGTTTGTGTGTGTGAGGGTGGAATGGGTGAATAGTTTTTGGCTACTGCTGTGGCGCCTAGCCCTTGTGCTGACGTCACCAACCCGACCCGACACGACACGACTGTGCACTCGAATGTAAAATTGGCAAATAAATAGGATTTCACTTGAAGTGTTTGTTGCACGCCGCACGCCACGCCACACCCTCCCTCCTACTCTTTGTTGTAGCATGAAAGGAAGCCTTGCGCAGACCAGGATGACATAAGACGAGCAACACTCCCAGCGAAATCCTGTAGAGGTGCAGGGTCTAGGTCTAGGGCTGCTAGGATCACCGTCACCGCCACCGCCACCAAAGACAATTTCGATGGTTGGGGCGGCAGCCTAATTGAATCATAAGCCCGTGCAGCACCATCCGCCCATTGACGACAGCTGCAGTGGTTTTTTCAATAATCTTCATTAAAAATAACCGGAGAAGGAGATGAAACCTTAATGTTTGCCCATTTTTTGTGCTATTGTTTTACGCGCCATTACGCTCGCTTTAATGTTGGATACTGGGCGAATGGTGCAGCTACTCTCTGCGTATTCCCCCCCCCAACCAAGCCATAATTGTGTGACGTCAATGACTGAGGGGCATGGCTCTGGCTTGATAGACCACTTTTTATAATTTTCACAGTCTGTGTGCGTTAAATAATTCAAGGTCGATCTAAGGGCTAACGGTTGCCAAAATTCTTCCAAAAGTACAAAAACATGTCCTTTGGCTGGGAATCAATACCAAGTGGCCAGTGATGCTCATGGAAAAAAGGTACGACACCTTTAGATCAGCCTAGATTTGATCAGGAAAATAATTGGGTAGGACTATCTGCAAACAATTTCTTGTGCATATAGTATGTACAATGTATATTAAATATTCAATTTTACATTAATATACATGCATTACAAAAAAAATGTAGTATGCATTTAATATTTGCACATACATACATTCATATGAACATATATTCTAGTTTTTCCACACATCCAGCCAAAAAGTATGCTACAAATAAAATATATAAAGTGCATGTAAGATTTAAGTAAAAATGGAATTTGTTTTTATCTCCGACATCATAGGGAGTACTTAGCCCTGACCTACATACATTACCGACATATTTGACAAATGATTTTATTAGAATTTGAAAAAGGTTCGATAGTTTTTTTCATTTAAAGTATGCTACAAATAATATATATAAAGTGCATGTAAGATTTAAGTAATTGTGCATTTAGTCGTGGTCTTTTGATCAACGGTTTGGTGTAAATACAATAATTTATCCGGGAAATTTGACAGGAATATCCTTAGACCATTCAAGAAAAAGTAAAATATAATTCGACCACTGCACGATTGATGTCGTAGACCAACCAGTGCATCTCGAACATGTAATCGCCCTCGGGAAACTGTAGAACATTCACAAATCGGTCATTTACATGCGCGATGGTAAGCTTTTCCAGAACTATATCATGCTACATATAAGAATAATGTTATGAAATACTTATATTCAAAATGAAAGCATTAACTGTTCACTCACATTGTAGGGACATGAGTGATTCATGTTGGAATACTCGTTAATAATATCATGAAAAAATCTTACGATGGGTAGCGATTTTTTATTTTTTTTAAATTTGCAGCAATCCACAGTAAAATTGTAAAGGAATGGCCTGTATCCACTGAATCGTTTGTACAGTCCGAAACGCATCTGAAATTTCGAAATTGACAAACAAATTCTCCGAGCTTCATTTTACATACGCACCGAGACCTTGGTAATGGGAATTTGAAATAGTTTGACTTTCAGCGATGCGTATTTGTAGCTTCGGTTTACAGACTTTAGATAGCAATATTCAAAATCAGAGAAATCCAAATCCGTAGAATTGCACTTTATGTTGGTGAACTCCACTCGACAAGCGTTCTTCCAGGTGTTGTAATTGTTAGTATAAATAGTTGACAATTGGTATCCCTTACCTCTGCAACAAAATATGACCATTAGGTACACGAAAATATTGTATGTAGACCACATCACGCACATTCAACAATGAGGTACGCGAACTAATTGAGAGTATACCACAGCATGCAGATTCAACAAAACCATTTCCTCATATTAAAATTTAATTGCAGCATTTAGTTGAGGTCTATTGGTCAAGTGTCAACTCTGGATATAAGCTTTGCATAAAGAACTACCCGTAATACCTTTTAGCCCTTTTCATTTCATGGTCCATTAACACTCTACACTATCATCAAACTAATTTATCTTTATCAGAGCTAAAAGAAAATTGTGAATGGAAGATCAAGTGTTATTTTATCATCAATATGTTTTTACTGAAGTACAATCAAACATGTAACATTAATATCCTTTTTTTTTTTTGTAAAATTATATTTTTTTGCTTCCCGCTTGGCAAACTTTTCTGAAAAGTGACGCCACCCATTGATACGATTAGGGTATATCGTAAGATCAGCAGCAACAGCAGCAGCAACAGCAGCAGCAGCGGCGAATAAACATCAACCAAGTGACCGACTCCGCCGAGTCTTGTCTTTGCGCTGGCAGCCAGCTAGCGTTGCCAGTTTCTTTTAACTCGTTCACGTCGTTGGTTGTCGGTCGGCTGTCGCTTGTGCTTTTTGTATGTGGTGTTCCACGCAGCCGCGCATCGTCGCTATAAGAAGGTGGTTCGCTCGGTCCCACATTGGGACATTGGGAGATAATATAGGAATAACAGAGCAACCCAAATGAAATTCTGACACGATTTCGTGCAGATCTCCAGAGCTGCAAAACTGCCATGTTGTGTGTGTGTGAATAAAAAGTGCATTAAATAGCAATAACAAAAGGCGAAGCCAGAAAGATTGTGTGAGAGCCGAGCCGCACGAAGAAAGAGAGAAGCGAAAAAAGGCGGAGAGGGAGAAGTGCAGAAGCAGAAATTGAAAATACATAAACAAAAAGAAATTGCATAAGTTTGCTTTTTGGCGTGCGCTTTGCTCATCTTCTGCTGCAATATTGTATTTGTGAGCTTTTCGTTTCGTTTCATTTTCGTTTTATTTTGTCTGGAGTGGGTTTTTGGTTTTATTTTACCCTCCCAAAAAAAGGCCAGAGATGATAAAACAAAACGCTTCCGAAGAAGAGACAGAAATTAAACAACTTTAAACTAACTTTTGTCCGGGGCCTGGCGCGACGACACGTCGTCTGGCGGTATTTTACACAATTTTTTAATCAACTCCAATCGACGGCAGCGGCTGCTTGACCATTTGACTTTTTTCGAACAAGTTGTCGCCGCCGCCGCCGCTTGTTTTGCATTCAAGTTTTCTCCGAGTGTCCGTCCAGTGTGGTACATATGTGTGTGTGTGTGTGTGTGCGTTTCTCTCTGTGTATTTGGCAATTAAAAACCCAAGTACTAATGCAATTGTTGCTTACCAATTTCTGTCTCTCTGATTGTTAGCTTTTTATGTGCAAAGCCGCCAAACATTTATGCAACGCCAGCAGAAACAATATCATCGGGAAAGGAATCAACTTGTGTCACAGTTTAAAGTGCTCGGGCGAGGTAAGTTGTATTTAATGTACATACATACATATGTACATATATATGTATGAACGGAGGGACGGTCGAACGGACGCAAAGCAATTAACATAAACCAATTACAACTAATTACAATCAAACGAATTAGTCGCCGCAAATCGTGCGCCCCACGGCGTCCATTGTGTCATTAAACCGATACGGAATTTGCATAAATTAGATAAGGATTACCAGCAAATAGAACATAGAACAGAAAATACAGAGCAGAGACACAGAACCAGACACAGACCGAAATCACCAACCAATTTTATATTGTCCTGGCCTTTAATGGCACCCGTAAATGGAGAGAAGACCAACTGAGTGCGACTTAACCGCAGCTCTAGAATACCCTACGAATCTGCATAGGCTTTACTTTTCTAGGGTACAGCATCCATGTTAATACACAGAGATACCTTCACAGACGCATCAGCTCTACGAAGTCTCAATTTTTAGGGCGCCAAACCACTTTAATTTCTTAATTGCAAAGCATTTCAACAAACAAAATACATATACAACAATTTCCACAATTTCAATGGCAATTTAATTGAAATTAAATTGGTCTGAATTACGTGCTCGTAGATTTCATTTTTCACAGGAAACCCAAACATTCAAATGATGACTTAATTTCGTGAAGCCTTTAATTTGTATGTTGGTCTGGTTTGTTTCGGGTTTTCGCCTAATCACAAATAGAAATTCCTGTCACACCAAATATTCAAGCAAATTCTGCCGGCCAGCCACCAAATTGGGGATCTCTCTGAAGAGACATCTAACCCAATTGGTAGTGGCACGTCAGGTGGCAGTAATTCATTAGCTCAAAACCAAATTGGCTGTAAATTGATTCATCACATGGTTCTGTTAGACCAGGTTTATTCTTCGGCCTGCCCTCCCACTAAGTTTTCTGAATTAATTGTTCGGTTTAGCGTCATCGAAAGCCCCTAACAAGTCTGTCTCTTTAGCGAAACCTGAAAAGTAAATATTAACAAATAATGCTAAATACATACGTAAATACAGCTGCGCTGTCTCATCTTATTCTTGCAGCTATTTATAGATACATCTTGCATATACTCGTAGAGTGTAGAGGGTGGGTAACAGATGCACCATTTACAACTTTGGTTGGAAATTTGTTTGGCTGTTTTTTAAATGGTTTTCCATCTGTTCCATATACGGCTGAACCTCCTCCAAACGATGGCTGACAATCAATCATCGCATTTCATGTTGGATGCATGAATATTACGACACAATGCGCATCTCTGGCAATTATAAGCATCTATAAATAGAAAAGAGAGACGAAGATAGAGAGAGCGACCAATAGAGAGAGAGAGAGAGAGAGAAAAACCAGATGGCTTACAGCAAACAGGCAACAGTTGTGGGTGGGTGTTACTTTGGCCAAATTAATGAGGCAACAAACTCAAATAATTAATATACAAATGCGGTCATTGACAATGCACAGATACAGACACCCAACCCATCCGCCACCTCCGCTCTTTCTCTGTTTGAAAATCTGTAATTAATATTTTATTCAAAACCGACCATCACACATTATTAACAGTAGGCAAATAAACATTTCCATTTCATGATGCGGTTAAAGTGTTTTATTGCTCAATGGAAACCACAGATAAATGAGATGTGCCATGAGTTGACCAATTGTCGGGTACCATGGACACCACTTGACTATTGCTGCTGCAGCTGCTACTGTTGCTGGTGTGGGAGAACATTTATAGACAGCTGTAGACAATTGATTAGATCTAGACTCGAACTCATCTTCGTCACGATGTCAAGATTATTTAACAGTTTGTGGAATTCGCAGAGCATCCATAAGTGAAAGGTTCGACGAACCGGAATTGCCAGCAAGCCAATTTTGTATATTAATAAAGCACACACTTGGCCACAACAGAGTGATAAACCAGTCAGAGTCAGGAGTGATAAGCATGGATAGAACCTGGTTCCAAAACATGTTTCCCAACAAAATTCAAACATGAAAGAAATATTTTAAGTCCAAAAAAAAAATAAGATAAATAAGTATCCGTGCGGATTCTTGTCTCCAGCCAATTAATGCCTTAAATCCGGCAAATATATCAGCCCAAGTACGGGTCTGATGTATCTGATGATACTGTTAATGATCGCGTTTATATCATGTCTGATCATGTATTTAAATGTGTAATCTGCGACTCTCTTGCCTCTTTGGAGATTGTACAAATTTATAAAGAATTTAGCGGAGCAGGACAGATATGCGCCAGGCCTAATTTATTAGTGTTTTTTTTTCCTTTTACTTTTATCGAGCTTTCAACCAATTAAGAAAAAAAAATGCCAGAATTGAAACCAAACACTCGCACAACCCAGACGGGGAGCTATTAAAATCGTATTAATAATACTCGCATAAGAGAAAGAGAAAAAAAAAAACAAACGCATTGAGTTGGCAAATTAAATGGTAATTTTTCAAGTTCATGGCATCCGGTGACATCGATATACATATCAGATTTCAATTGATTTAAATTGTCTTAATTGTTTCAATTTGGACCACGACGCCGCACAATGGACGAACAACGAACAGCGGACAGACTTGAACCCAAAACCCACTATTACGATTATGGGTCTAATTTCCATCATAATGGCGCTTTCTGGCCAAGTGCCATAAACCCGTTTTCGAGCACATGTTAATGCCACAAGCCCAACGAATGAATACGAATACACGAACTGCAAAAGTAAATCATGCAAATGCCAATGGAAATGTAAATGAAAATGAAAATGCATATTTTGAGGCATTTGCTTTGCTGTTAATTGTTGCAAGATTTACACTTGTGTGGGGGGGGCGCCGCATCAACATGCAGGCGGAACAAATGCAACACTAATTGGCAGCCGACTGATTTTCTCTTGTCCAATATTCGGGTTTCCCGATTTCCATTGTCTGCATTTAATATGTAATTTCTCGCTTGCCCCCCCCTCCCAAAAAGTCACGGATGTCCGGCCTCACCGCCACCGCCCCCACCACACACCGATGGATTGCCTTGCACAACATTTCAAGTTCAGAGTCAACGAATTGCACTTGTTGCTGCCACACTTGTTGCTGCCGCTGTTTCTCTCTGCCACTGACTGCCACTACCTCTACCTCTGGCTCTGGCTCTGCTGTGATTCCGTTTTGACAGCTTATTTGTGTCAAAATGTCAAACGGTCAGTCTGCCACGAACCATCATTGACCTTGACTGCTGACGAGAGATGGATGCGAGCACGAATGGGATTATGCATATGAGTGTATTCAAATGGATAGTGCTGGCACTGGCACATCTTCAAGCGTTTTTGTTTTGCCTTCAAAAGCAGTAGCAGCGGCAGCGTCAGCAGCTTCTTTGATTCAGCGATGGACAATGCCAACAGATTTATGGGAAGCACGTTCCAGAGGGTATTGTAATAGTTGGGGTGAAGATAAAAGCATTTTAGACCTAATAAATATGTAAAGTATCCACAAGTATCCAAGACATTGACAAGTTTTAATGTAAGTTAGTCTTCAGTTGTAACAGTTTACTAGAAAGTTCACATAGCTAATACAAAGAGGGAACGAAAACGAACGAACAGATACTAGACCATACGTTTTGGGAGACACTCAGCTAAGTCTTCGCTCCCAAAGCAAGACAACTTAAGACCAAGAAATTATGATTAATTTCAAATTGTAATATCAAGAAGCTATCAAGAAACGATGGGAACTAATCTGTTATACTTGGGGCTTAACAGCCCCAAGTTCTTTAAGCCCCTAGCCATGATTGCATGTCTGGTTTGAGCTTTTGTGCACGGAGATGAGGTCTCAACATGTTTTGGCAGTTTTGTTCGTTCTGTTTGCACACTTGCCACAATCCTCACCTCTACCCCTTCCCCTTCGCATTACAATTGCCATGTGTCAAGTGGCGTGGGCGGCATGTGTGGCATGTACATGTGGAAGCATACTCGTATGAATTTATCAGAGTACACATGCCGCAAAGTCGCCTCAACAGGCAACATTCATCTCGGGACGAATTTGGGCTGCTGAACATCCGTTTCAATGGCACTTGGAGGGAAAACCTAGAGGAAAAACTAGTTTAAGCTGCCACTACACGTCCTCAATGTTCCTCAGAAATTCATTTTTTCCACAGCAACGAACGGGCGAATAAGGATAAAGCTGTAAATGTTTCTCATTTTAGAATAAAGTACTCATCTTTGTCTGAGTACTTACTATCCTTCTTTGGCCTTATAACATTTTAAGCAGATACTTTTTAATTTAAACTAAAAAAAAAGTGTACCAGAAAGATGACGAGAGAAAAGAGAGCTCGAAGAGAGCGAAAGTTAGGTATTTGCGATCGTTGCGATAGAAATGTTATATTTAGTAAACAAGGAGCGGAAGCATGTAATTTTTGTGGAGAGGAATCCATAACCATAGCATTTAATAGCAATCATAAAGACAGAAATCGCATAGAAGAGCCTTCTAAAAATACTCGAAAAAATGCGAAATAAATACTTTTTCGCTACAGTTTTTTTTTTTATTTTCATCCTCAAATATGCATATGGATTGACAATTTAAGCTGAAATAATTTTGGATGCAAGAGAAAAGCTCTCGGCAGATAGTCGCTTGAAGAGAGCGAAAGTTGTGAAATTGGAAAAGCTGAAAAAAACGGCAGCAGGCAGGAAAGAAAACCAACAGATTAACTATAGCTCTGCTTTAAATAAGTCAAAGCAAAAGTGCAGAGGAAAACTGCGGCCAAAAGGGGGGAAATGTGAAAAAGTGTGAGTGAATGGATGGATGTGTGGCTTAGTGGGAGTATGAGAGCGAGAGCGAGAGTGGGTGGGGCGGGAGTGGGTAAGTCAAGTGTTTGCCGCTCGACTGCACCGCATGGCGGGATTAACTAAGGCTTCAACTGGAGCTAAAGCTGGCAGTGGAGCACTCGAAAAAGCGGAGTTCCTCTTCATATGCATCCGTAATTACACCGCACACACACATCAGGCACTCTCATATGTATATATGTATGTTGTATCTCTGTGTGGATATTTGTTTGTTTCTTGGGCAACTGCTCAATGCCCTGACCATTCCATTCCATTCTATTTTTGGAGCCAGAGCGCTTCTGCTTGTTACTCGACGTATTTTAGAGCGTCTCGCCGCTTGACGGTCGCTGATGTTCAATGTGGCAAGAGCCAGACAAGGTTAATCGAAATCTAACGTTCTCCTCCGAATAATCAAACAAACGAACAAACAAACAAAAAACAGCAAACAGCAAACAGCCAATGGCTGATTACTGTAATCAATGAGGGAATGCACAGAAGAAGAGCAAAACTCAAGTGTTGTCTCTGGGGCTCAAGGTCAGAGTTCGGCTTAGCATAAATTTACAGCTCTCAGCGTTATCTATTGTCAACAGGAAAGAACCCATTCTAATAAGCAGAGTTCACTTCCCAGAGCTGTGCCAAGAAATATCCACAGACAGTGGACTGTGTGCTCCAATGTTCCATGCCTTTGGGCCATTTACATAATCTCTGACTGCTTCGACCGCCACTCGCCAGTGCTCGCCAGCTGTGATTTATTGGCCAAAAGAGTAGGTAACGCCTCCCACCTACCCCCCACCTCCTGTGGCCTGCACTTAATTATGCTCGTTAAATTTTACAACTTATTCGAGCTGGACAGTGAGGAGTGTGGCGGAGGGAGCTGGACTGCTCGCCTCGCTCATGCTCACCTGCTGCCCTCCTGCTCACTGGTTACCTAATTTATGCGCATTCATTTGATGGCTCACACTTGGCTAAATCACAATTTAATAGTACTCGCAGCACTCGGCTGCTGTGGAGATTCGTTGAATGGCTGGGGAGGGTGGTGGAATTATTTATCAATCAGCACGTGCCGTTGCATAAGAGATATGTAGATGTTCTATAAGCAAAGCCACTCTCCGCGAGAAGAAGAACCTTTCGATGCAATTAACAACTGTAAAAAAGAAAAATTAAACATCCATGCTCGGACAGGTATGACCAGAAAGCTCCTCCCTCCCTCTTCAAAAGACAGCTAACGTGATTTGCTCTCAACAAATTGGAAATTATACCAACAAAGTCTCCCTTTTTGCACTGATTTTAGTTCCAGTTGAATGCTTTCTACGTATACAAGGCCGCGAGCGGCAAAGACCTTAATTAGATAGCCCACGTAGGTACAGGGTAATGCGTCTGCAATTAGCATTAGCCCAGTGCGTTTTTTCACTGCCCTGAATTGCAATTATGACGTGACTTTAGTGGAGCTCAGTGCAGCGGCCAGAGCAGGCATTAATTGCATTAATTTGCGCCAACCCGTCGTAATCTTTGTTGCAAAATGACTCTTTGAGAGTGACTACCAACTAATTAGAGACTTTGCGACAGCGACCACCACAGACGAGGGGCAGCAGCCTCAATGGAATGGATTTGTGGCAGGTAGCATGGGTGCAACGAGCCGTAAACTCTCCAAAAGCAACCATCCCCTGGCCATGGAGGGCCCAAACACTTCACAACCTCTCATTTAATGAAGAGTTAAGGGAAAAACGCGTTAAAAAACTATAACTAGGGTGTGGGGATGCCACTCTAAAAGCGAGAGGAACTCAACTATTGCATCAACATCTCGACTTGTGGCCTCTATGACATGACCTTTTCCACAAGTCAGAGCTACTTAAACTACTCTAGGATTTTGGATGTACACTAAGTAGGCTCTTTGTTCAGGTTTTCCAAGAGGCTGGGGCTCGTCTTCTTGGAGTAGATCACTCAGATATCCAGAGACTGTTTTGTTGGGCAATCGATTGAAAGACAGCCTGAACAGTAAGAAAAAGTATTGTGGCTTTATTTTCATTTTTTCTTCCCTCACTGCTTGAGATTTTGTGCGGTTTATACCCTGCCTGAGAGTATACTGACAGAAAGGCGGAGAACGCGGAATCTCTTCACTGCACTTTTCAGTGAGAAAATTTCCCCAAACATCAGGCTGATTCGAAGTCATTCGCCAAAGGGTATTCAAAGCTTCGGTGGGGCGGGGGGCATCCTCGCTTATTTTCCGCTAAACTTGCGGCTTAAAGATGCAGCTGCAGCCACATTTTGGCCAAGTCATTGTGTTAGGGCCATATTTTCAGCCTTCTGCCTGTTGTTTTCCACTTACGTGGCACACGGCAAATGCAGTTTGAAGTTGCCGCATGCCGCATGTCGGGCGGAGGCGTCGCCCGCCTCCGACACTGGTGTTTTTTTGTGTGGTAGTGTGGCAGCGTAGGGCAGTGTAAATTAGCATCATGCTGTCGTTGGCAAACGTGATTTCGCCATGCGGCTTGAAAACAATGCAGATTCGCGATTTCTGCGGTTGCTGCTCGGCTGCCGCTGCGCTGCTTCATTTATGAAGATTTCTTTTCGGATCTGCTGGGCCCCGCCTTGGGCAATCCGCGTTTGTCGCTCGAGTCTTTTGTCCGGCCATCGGCGATGATGTATTCATGGCAAATCCGTCAAGGCAGACCTGGCACATGGCAACGCGCCAAGAGCGGCATATAAATTCAGACACCAGCACCAGATTCAGATTCGGAGTCCCCTTGCGATTCCCATTCCGATTCCGATTCAAATTCCAATTCTGATCCCAATTCGTCTTCAGCATTTAGTGCCAGGCAATTGACTCATTAAAATATCAAAAGCCACCGCAGGCATTCTGATTGAAGAGCTGAAACTATAAATAAAACCCTCACGTCTCCGAGTCTCCGAGTCTACCAGTCCGCATTGTCTACAATATACTCGTATTTTTATTCGTATTTCCATAACTCAAGTGCTGCGGGCCACTCGAGCACTCAATTGTTTTTGGCCAGCTGCCGGCCATCGATTTCCAGTCAACAGCATTCAGCATCAGCACCTCTGTAGCTTCCATATACATATCTAAATCTATTCTTTGTGCAAATGTATGCAGCATTTGCATTTATTATCATGGTATCATCTGAAATACGATGAAAGGGAAATCGAATCTGTGGCCTCAACAACGACATTGCTCGTGCTCGTATTTTGATTGCTGTACGTACGAGAGATGGATCATTGTTTGTGTGGCAGTCATCGCACTTGTCCCCCCGCCTCCCACCAATCCGACTTGATGATGGAATGCTCCAATTTGATATTCTGTGTCTGTGGCTGCAATCAGCAGACCTTTCATGCTGCCTGCCGGTTGGTGGCAACGGCAACGGAAACCATCTGAGCGTTTGATGTTTGCCAACTGTCATTAATGGTTTTACACTGCAATTCTTCACTGCCTTGCTTCTCCGTTTCTCTCTGACAGACGACAGAGGACAGAAGACAGAAGACGACAAATATAGCTTAAAGTTGTCACTGTGGCCAACAGAACTAGAAAAACTCAACGCTCGTTTGTCGGTTTGACCATGGCACACATGTGCACGGCACGGCCTGGCCTGGCATGTCATCAGCAGCCAACAGCAGCCAGCAGCAGCATATGGTAACACGATCAGCGAATAATCCGACATTACTACGTATTATGAGTATGATTAAGGCTGCAGCTGCCACAGAAATCCATCAAATGAGGCGCCTCATTTGTGGGACCGCTAACCGCAGAGCTGAAGAGAAAACTCCTCAGATATGTTGTGCAAGAAAATGCCAGTTTAAAAAGCGAACTGACCTCAGGGAATTGCCTATACAATATGAAGGGATGATGGGGTAAACAACTCAGAGCTGGGGAAACTTATGCAAGTGCAGGTGGATTATTTCAGACAGTCTAATGGAATATACATAGCTCGTACTTCTACTGGAAGAGGAGGTTCCAGGGATTACTCGTGGGAGTCTGAGCCATGTATTATTTTCTCCATTAACTGATATCCGTGAGTGGCATGAAAACAGATGATTGCCACTCCAACAACTGCAATCCCACTCCAATCTGCAGCCTGCACTTTGGCGCTATTTGGCGATAACGCGGAACATTATGCACGCCGATGAGCTAACACTAGAGTAGAGTCCCAGTCGCAGTACCAGTAGTCCCCTTGCCCACCTCCACCCCCATCCCCCAACCCCCGGGGATGATGAAGCTGTCGGCGCTGTGTCTGGTTTAAGTCCAACAACACTCATCGATCTATCATGGACATAACGACCCCACCGACCATCCAGTCCCAGCGCCCAGACTTTCTGTGCGAAACTCTGGGAGAGAGTGCGAAATCCGTTGGCTATTCACTGGGATGGTGGGATGGGACCAGCATTTGTTGGCATTTGGAAATGTTGCCTCATAAATTATTATTAGACGAGACCCGGCACTCCCCCCGGGACTCTGGCCATCTGCCTTGCACTACGCTGGAAAATTATGCAATTGCGAAAACCCTTTTCGACTAATTAATGCATAGTCATGAGTCGGGCAAAAACACTTTTTCATCCATCCAAAAGGCAACAAAATCAAATGGATTCTGTGCCAACAGGAAACCAGTTTCAGTCTCAGTCCCAGGCCCACCCTCAGCTCCAGCTCCAGTTCCAGCTTTGGTAGTGCCGAGCGGATGCATTCGAGTCGCTAATAGTAAAAAGTCATAAACATAAAATTGTGTAAGCTGGTGGACGGAACGTACATGAATGATAATTGAATTCGTTTGCTTACTTTACTCCCATTTCTGTTGCAGCCAGGGCTGGGACTCTGAGAGGCAGCCACAGCCACAGCTACAGCCATGCCCATCTGCAAGAGTTCGGGGGCGACGGCTAGCAAGAAGGCCCCCACAGACATATCCGCCGACCATGTGACGGAGGCGGCCCAGGTGAAGCGCACCCGGGAGCAGGCATACTTCAACTCCTACGACTTTGATGCAATCGAGGTGCTGCCCTACGACGAGGACGATGGCGAGACGGCTGGCAGGAGTAGGAGCAGAAGCAGCAGCAGCAGCGGCCGCTACTCGGTGCCACATGATCCCCTTGGAGCAACCAAGTTTGCCTATCTGCACCGCCTGGGGGCATTCTTTGGACGGCCCGGCGCTGCAGCGACAGTCGCAGGAGCAGCTGGAGCAGTAGCCGAGGGAACGACTGCAGCTTCTGGCGGAGTTGCCGCCGGATTAGTGGCATCCGCTAGCAACGAGAATTTTCTCCTGCCGCGCGCCATGCTCAAGTACCAGAGGTGAGTACTGGGGAAAAGAAAATATTAGCTGCAAAAGACAAGAATAAATACTGGAGTAATAGGATTATGTACACGCAAAGAAAACTGTCTGGTTTCCCAGCCTGAAACCACCAAACAAAGAAATATTTTAGCCGCTTATAATTACTCACGGCAGCATCCGTTCTTTCGCCTCTTTATATCTCCTTTTTCATTTTGATCTTTCAAGAACTTCTCTAGAACTGCTCAAGTTTCATAATTTTTCCTTTTTTGAATTGGTTCTCCTCAAGAACAGCTCAGTCCATAATTTATCTCTGTGTATGCTCAATTAGCCCCAAATATGCTGCATAATGCAGCGACCTTCAGCATTCCGACAACAACCTTGTGAGGAGGGACGGAGATGCCCAGAGAAAAGCCAAGACCCGTCAAGAGCGTATCCCAAATCGTATTTGTTGTGCATGCAACAGCTCGGACTTCAAGCAACACTTCACTGAAGTGCAATGAAGCTGCAACAGCAGCACAAGCAGCAGCCACAGATATTTTGTAATGATGTTTTTCCACGGCAATTAGCAGGGCATTAAGGCGGCGATTACAATCAGCGGCAGAGTGTGGTCCTAAATGGGGATTATGATTGCCAGAGATGGTTCTCGGACAAATGAGGCAACCAGCAGTTGCCGCAGAGGCAGGCAGCAGCGGCAGCACCAGCAGCAGCTATGTAAATTATGTCTGAAGTTCAAGTGGTTGCTGCTGCTGCTGCTGCAACTGCAGCAGCATCGAGCAATGCGGTTTTTGGCGCCTGTTGTCAGCCTTCACCTCTTTTCTCTCTCTGCAGCAGTATGCATGTGGTTTTTGTTGTTTTTGGAGGAGCTGCCACTTGTTGGCGGTCAGCCGCATCAGCAGCAGTATCGCCACAGCGTGGGCAACAACTGCAGACAGCTGCAACAATTACGTTTATTAATTGAAACTAAAGAAGCCACCGGCTCAAGATCTTCGATTCGCTGAAGGTCAGCGCTTGAAGCCAGTTTGGGTTTGAAATATCTCTCAAAAATATACAATAAATACTTGAGCTTATATGTACAGTCATACCCACAATATATAGAAATCTGTGCAGGCATCGATGTCTAGAGTCGTGCCGCGCACTGACAGCAATTTCCATTAATTGGCAGATATTCGCATTTGCAACTGGTTGGCTTGTGGCCATTTCGGTCAGTGGCTGTCTCAGAATATGGTAATCATGATAAGATGCTCGTAGTCCAGCAAGTCAAGAAAAGAGCCAAGCAAATGCCAAGAGTGTTTCCACCAAGTTCAATGCAATTATATGCTGGCCGATATGCTTCGGGGTTTAACCCAAATTCGTCACTCTCTGAGCCCTTTCCCAATCCAAAATTCGAGCCGAGAAGCCAATTGACAGGCAGGCCACGTTGGTGGTGCTATAACTATTTTGATCAACAACTCACGTAGTATGAAGGCAGGCCACAGGCCTAGGGAGAGGCACGGCACGAGTTTCGCACAGTAGCTCCTCCAATCTGACCTTCTCCAAATGCGATTCCATTGTCCGATCGGCCATCATCGCTGCAGTTAGATCATAGTTAGCCATCAATTGTGGCTACACTGATCGTCGCTAATTTGTATTCAATATTTGAGCCGCAGACCGTCTAGGCCATAATTATATCTGTAGTTTATGGCCCTAACACCAGCACCAGCACCAACACCAGCACTAGCTATGCCAAGGTCAGCGTTTAGCCAATCCATCCAATTCAATCCAACCATTCATCCATCCACTCGCATAGCAAACATCCATCTCAACCAATCAGCGATTAAATTGCTTTGATTGATGTGCAATTGATAACCAGATATATATATGCGATATACTCGTGTAAGAAGTTGTTGGATGGATTGGTGGGTAGATTCGGGCACTGCATTAAAGCCAGGTCGGGCCCCAAACTTGAGGCAAGTGTAATTTGTCTTGGCAACAAGTCAACAACAATTAGCGGCCACACAAAATTATTTACTAACGGCTGCTCCGTATGTCTGTCTGTCTGTCTGTCTGTCTGTCCGTCCAGTGGGTTCCGTGCATGCAAACGAGGCTGAACATTTTAATTAACACAGTTCGAACAAACAAAATAAACATATACTACCCGTAGTATCCAAAGATTGCAAAATATTTCATGCTCTTGCCGGGCCCGATTCGATGGAACCCAAGTTAAGGCTAACCTTGCGCCTGCCTGCCGCCTTCTGCTGCTGCTGCTGCTGCTGTTGCCTGCAAATTTGCAACGCATCGGTTAACATGCAACCAAATATCAGACGAATGTATAAAGAAAACCCAAAAAAGAGCAACTGACCGACGAAACCTATCAGTGTTTTGGGTGCGTAACGCACCGAGACCAAAACCATTCAAGAACAAACACCAATAACCAGCAGCGGCACGGCAACACGGCCAAAACCAAAAACCGTTATTACGCAACGCTTGAGCATGGCCAAAAGCCAGCCACTGACCTAGTGCCGATCGCACAATGTATGTGTGTATGTGTGCAGAACCGATACTGGGGGCTTGTTAGCGATCGTAAGTGAGTTATTAAAGCATTGCCACTGGCGCCAGGCCACCATTCGAGCATATGCAAATGCCCCAAGAAAAAATGCAAATGCAGTGCGATCAGTATCAGGAATAAACTATATAGAGTACAGAGCTATTAAATCTATTAACATTTAAAGGTCTTTCAAGACTAGAATTGATCCAAGGAAGATGATGTTAAGCTCTCAGTGAATTAGTTTTTCTACGCATTTCATATCTCTGCAATGTGTCTGTTTTCCATCTGTATATGTATACAGACCCAACCAAATAAGTTCCTTTCCAGTCGCGCCATTCAGTTCGAGTTTCCGCTTATTCTCGCTGCATTTTTCTCTGTTTTTCCACTACTCCTGTCGCGGTTCCACCACGTCATCAGCCGCATTTCGTGGTGCACCGAAAAGTTTGTTCAAAAACTTAGACACACACTCACACAGACATATATGTTTCAGAAGAAACTCTTGAACAATCCGAGAAGTAGTTCGAAGCAGTAAGTTTACAGTTAGGCAGAAAAAAAAGAGCGAACGCGAATGCGAATGCGATTTGCAACAGTAACTGAAGCCGAAATCCTGTTTAGAACGAGTTTATTTGAATTGAAATCGAATTAGTATGTGGAATTTCTAAATTTAATGGCAAATGTTTGTTTTTCGGTGCTGTGTGTCGCGCTGCTGTTGCTGGGTAGAGCGGGTAGAACTTGCAGCGACTGCCTGCGATATCTCCCGAGTTTTCGGTAGATCTCTGGCCAATGAAACTCTAGGGGTTCCTTGGTCCTTTCTAGAGATTTTCCAGAAACATTTCAAAATATAGTCTGACTGTATCAAGTCGAAACTGTCAATATGGGATCTCTAGGATATCTTATCTTATAGGATATACACGCTCTGATTCTCTTTAAATTTAACCCAGTATATGTGGATTTTCATCAGTTACTTCTTATCGGGCTTAAACAAACTCTTCGCTGATTATTCTAGGGTATTTTTATGGTAGATTTTCGTTCTCTTCCCTCTTGCGATCTGCCACTCGTCATTTGCATGGCCCCAAAACCAAAAGCGACAGCTGAAAAACTGCCAGAAAATGGAAAACTTAGGCAGAGCCACTAACCTAGTTAACCAGTTTTCGCTTTCTGTTTGGCAGCTTTGACAAAACGTAAACAAAACTCCAATTGCGAAAAACCAACAGCGAGCGAAACCACTTTCCAACGCGAGTTTTCCCTTTCATTGAAGCATTTTTACTGATTTTGTTTTCCTGTCTCTCTCTCTCTCTCTCTGTCACTCTTTGCAGTGCGGCGACAACTTCAATGCCATTGACGACGCTCTCGAAGAATGGGATTGGGAATGGGAGTGGGAATGGGAATGGCAGCGGAATGGCCCATGGAATGGGAAAAGGAATCGGCCACGACAAGTCCCATGACATGGCAGTGTCCGCGGCGGGAGTGGAGCGTAGCAAGAAGTGCTCGATTGCCTCCAATGTCAGCAGCACGCATTCCACGGCCTCTGGACTCCCAGCCTCTGCAGCAGCAGCTGCAGCGGGGGCAACATCAGCGACATCTGCAAAATCCACAGCAGCCAAAGCACCAGCCACAGCTGTTGGGAGTGGAGTCGGAGCCGGAGGAGGAGGAGGCGGCGGTGGCTCACATTATTCGACGGACAAAAGCGGCTCATCCGGTTATTACAGCTCCAATGTGTGCTCCACTTACTCGCTGGACGAGCACATCTATTGCGAACCGGTCATAGACATCCTAGACGCCGCCGGAGAGGAGCAGGAGAAGATCAAGTCTGTGGCCGCCAGGCAGCGGCTGCGGCCGCAGCTCCAGCTGCCGAGGAAAGTGGCCGCCAAAGAAACAGCAGCAGCCCCATTGTCACTGCCACTGCCACCAGTTGCTGCTGCTGCCACTGCAGCATTGGATAAGCTGTCCACAGTGGAGAGTCAGCGCTTGGACATGCAAGATGCAGCCACCGGAGCTGCCATCGAAGAGTTTCATTCAGGCAACGGAGTCAACGACCTGGAGGCGACGGAGGAGGAGGGACACACGCTGGAGCATATGCTGCCGCAGTATAGCGATAAGTTGCGTATCCTGGAGACGAGCATCGAGAACCTGGATCGCCACCTGAAGACCTTTCCCCGCCTGTTCGCCCAGGAGCAGATTGTGTCCTTCATGCAGGCGACCGATGCCCCACCCCTGGCTCTGCCACCACTCCCAATGGACATTAGCGAAAAGCTGAGGGTCTACAACCAGCTGCCGACCATCATGGAGCAGCAGCAGCAGCAACTGGTGGACGACTCTCTGCTGGACATCGATCTGGATGCCTTTCTGCTCGATCCGAAGCCCCAGTCGCAGTCCCAATCCCAATCCAAGGCCAAGACCAAGTCGGGTAGGGGAATCGACAATCCGAGCTTCCTCAGCGACGAGCAGCTGGAGGAGAACAACTACAAGTGTGCCAAATACATCAACTCCTGCCCGGAGGACGCGTACCGCGTGGAGAGCGAGGCAGCGGCTGGCCACGCCCCCGCCATCGAGGAGCGGTTTGTGAAGCGCTACGAGGATCAGCTCCATTTCCAGAGCACCCGTGAACTCCTCGAAGACGTTCGCGACAAGATACGCCTCCTGTCCCGGGCCACGCCCTCGCCCACGGCCACGCCTGCACCCACCCGCACACCCCCGCCGGACATACCCAAGGAGCTGGAGGGCATGATCCACACGCTGAAGCAGGAGCTGGAGTCCTACCTGCAGCGCATGAACCAGCACAGCGAGCAGGATCTGCGCCAGCTGTGCAGCGGCCTGGGCCGGCAGCAGCACGTCGTCCGCCTACAGAACGCCCTGGAGCGGAGGCGCAGCTGCGCGGACCTGCTGCACCTGAACACCTACGAGGCCGTGCACGACGGGGTCCTGCTCTCGACCAGCGGCCGGCCGCTCAGCGTCCGCGAGCAGATCATGACCATCCGCTGTGCCAGCGACCCCAACTTCAAAATGAAGCGAAAGTCCATCACCGAGATCTTCCCCGCAGCCGAGTGCTACATCGAGACCGCATCCCTCTCTCGCAGTGCCACGCCCACGCCCGCCTCGACGCCGCAGCTGGAGCTGGAGGCCCTGCATCCCCCGTCGCTGCCAGGCACCATGGTGGTTACCCAGATGCAGCGCAATCTGACCTTCCATAAGCCCATCCTATCCGGAGCCGGCTCCAGCAGAGGTGCCAGTCAGGAGGAGGCCCTGGGAGGTGGCTCTGGCGCCGGCAAGGGCGAGCGGGACAGTTTCGCCGAGTGGCACCGCAAGAAGCCGAGCATCTGGGAGATGTACTATGGCACCAACCGCCTGCATCAGTCGCTGCTCGGCAAACAGCGGAGCGGCAGCGAACTAGTCATCAGCAGTCCCCAGCCCACGCTGTCCTACGTGAGTATCTCACTCCATCCAAGAATTTCCCACGAATATTTTAGTGGGAGTCCACTAACTAATGCTTAAAGAGTAGAGAGAGAGATCTAATCAGCGATCTAATCAAAGTTCCACGAATATTTCATAGCAAATTTCATTCAAAAGAAACAAAAACACTTTGAACTGAAGGTTGCAGCAATTAAGTACAGATCTAACAGCTACATCTGCAGTTGCCCCAATCAATATTTATTTGATCATGAGATCTCATTACAATTCCACGAAAAATGCACTCCACTCCGAATCGTGTGAAATAATTAATAAGAATTTAATTTGAATTTTATTGAAATGGAATTTGTTTCCAACTTCGGTTCACTGAATAATTCATAAGGAGACGGAATACTTCTGATATACTTCTTTCTATAGCAAATGTTTGGGTATCTCTCTCTATGCCTTTCGCTGAATGAGTTTTGTTTCCATTTCTTCATCATGCAGACACGTATATATATCATTAGAGTCGACTTGGGTCAAGTGCGTTTCGAAATAATAGGCAAATGTAGATCACCCGACCGACGCCCCGACCGACTGGATTGCAGAGATAATTATGAGCTGGTCGGCCAACAGGGCGTATGATTAATGCCCTAACTAATTGCAGCCAAGCGGAGCTGCAACGCAAGGTCGGCCAGCCCCATGAAAATTGGACAAACTATCACAATAATTCATAGCCGATCGACCAGCGATTTGCATGAGCCAAGATGCGTTGCTCATTAAGCCCCCAATTCCTATACCGATTCCGATTCCAATTCTGAGCCAAGTGCAATTCAGCTGGGAGCCCCGGCTGCCGCCGTTCGTGCAAACAGTTGTTCAACCTCATCCTTGGCCGCGATCCGAGCCATTTTGGTAGTGCTTCGTGAGCGTCTCGAGCTCTCAACACCCCCGCACTAGCCGGTGGCAGTGCCAGGCAACAAGAACATCAAGCAAGCGGCCCCCGGCGGATGTCGCAGCATTGACGCCACTCGCATACTCATCACCAGCACAGGCAGTCACTGGGGGCTTTATTATGCGGCAGGCGACATGCGCGATAAGATCACCATAGTCGGGTGCCCCCTTCCATATGGCAATATGATTAATTGTGTTGCGTGCCACGGAGGCTACTGTTCCACAGAGCGAGTGGAGGGGGGGGGTGGGGGGGGGGGTTCTGGCTGTTCTGATAGCTCCATAATTACATCTAATGTTGGATGCACCACTCGAAGCTAAGCTGTTGCCTTGCTTCTGATTCTATGGCTCTTCAGTTAATGCCCGATTAAGTCGTAAATCTCGATGATGCTCAGTCAAAGCTGAATGAAAATTGAAAGCAAAGATCTAGCTTTGTTTAATGCCAAGTCTTGTACACTGTAAATAAAAAAGCGATCCCAATAGGTTCCTTCACTTAGCCATAATATTCATGCAGGCTTAGGGAAAAATCGAGAGAAGAAACTAAAGTTTCTTATAGTCAAGTCAATACACAGACCTCGAAAATACCGCTACCAATTTTGGTTTCCGTTCTACGGCCAAGTGAATGATGCAATATCCGTAGCCGTGAATCGAATGAATCTCTGGCCAGTTCAGCTTTTGTGCGCCATTCAAACGCACTCGAAACGCGAAATGCGCGACGCGAATCCAAATGAGTTTTCACTTTCAATAGCTTGGCCGCTCGGGGCAGGGCTGGGGGGCGAATCGATCACTCAACTAGGGTTTATTCACCTTAACAGCGTTTTTGCATTCACTGATCGATCCGATCTATAATGTGAGTGCAGGCAGCGCACGGCCGATTTGAACTTGGAGCCATATTACTCGTATTATTGGGCCATAGTGCGAATCAAACAGTTAAGCGACTCGACCACTGTACCAGTTAACCTTTAAATTCCGTTAAGCGGCCGCATCTTGCCAACTGACTGGCCACTTAATTGGCCATCGATTGTGTCCGCGATAACCAGAAAAAGGCATGCAACAAGTTGCAAGAGGCAGCGGCCGCGGCCGCGGCAGCAGCCACGTATCGCATCATCATAGCCAGGCCCAAACTTGAAACCGGTGCCAGTCGCACAGTTGCCCTACAACTCCGGTGACCTTTAAGGACGTTTGCTTGACTTAATGGAGCAGGGAAGGAAGATGCCGAAACGAGCTTTTCGCAAACAGAAGCAGCTGCCCCTCCACTTGCGGACACTCTCTCCCTGCCTCCCTGGGGTGGCAGCTCGAAACTCGTCCCACGGCAAATGGCCGGCAGCGAAAACGAAAACAAGTTTACAGCCATGAATGCCAAAATGAAAATGAAACTGCAAAGCGAAAAACGAAAACCGAAAACAAACCAGAGCAAAATGTAAGGCGACTGCGTCCCAAAGTGGACGCTGCACGCGTTTATGCGAGCATAGAAGTGCCTGCCACAAAGTGTTGCAATCGCCATCGGCATCGCATTTGCTGCTGCTGCTGTTGCTGCTGCTGTTGCTGCACAGCCCCTGGCCGGTGGGCGGCAGGCTGTCCCAAACTGGGTTATGGCAATTTCCATTTGTTGCAGGCTGCGAACGCAGCCTGTCGCTGGTCTCAAGAGCAGGCCAAAACGTTTGGTCATGGATTTTGTCAACCTTCTTTGGCCGGGTGCGACGCCTTGCTCCGATTGCCATTTGCATTTGTCCACGGGCAGCCTTTTGGCCAGAAATTCGAGCTGACTTTTTCATTGGCAGCCACGGGGTGCCGATGCTTATATAAACGTAAGTGGGGGCTATCATGGCCCCGGCAGGGCATTACTTCCACGGAAGCTGAAGCTGTAGCTGTGGCAGCTCCAATTATGTGATCAAATTTCCTCCCATTACTCATACGCCGTGTTCAACCATTGAGAAAAGGCAGACATTAGTCGAAGTGACTGCCACAAATGTCTGAGATAATTAGGCAGCCACTGGAATTTTGCAATTCTGCCACGCCCCAAACAATAGTTACAGCAGCAACAGCAGCCGCAGCCACAGCCCCTGTGGAGTGACTCAACTGGCGGACAACTATCTACCAGGCATCCACTATCCACTGCAACGCTTTTCCAATGCACTCCAAAGCAGAATGGCAGAAGAAAATTCATTTGCAATTGCATAAATGTTCCGCTCATGCTCTGCATAAAAACAAATTGAATTAAATCCCGTCTCGTGGACGTATTGCCACACTTAAGCCGAGTTAGCGTAGATCTGCTAAGTGGGGGAAACAAAACAAAACCCGTACAGAAATACCCACTATGGAGACATTCACCTGGGGATGGATCTCCGATTCGATCAGATCAGTTCAGTTCGGTTCGCTGCTAGCAGCATAAAGCGTGGATCAGTGAGACATTGGCTCAAAGATGGTGAGCAGGCTCTGGAAGAGGAAACTCCTTTTTCATGATAGAATGATATACAGTGAATATTATTAATACCCAAACAATAACACTGAAATGCTAAAAAATACAATTGTGATCTGTGGAAATCAAATGGAGTTAGTGATCTATTCTTTCTGGAAAACAATCCCTGTGAATTGGGATTTATAGGGAGAGACAATTCGTGATTCATCTGTTGAGTATTTCTAGTGCAAGATCCCATAAGTATTCTTGGGGAATGCTGGAAAAAGTGACAGAAATATTATTTGTAGTGTCTTTCAGAGTTGATAACACCAGATAGCTAATTATAGCATCGGCATCGAAGATCTCTTCATGGTAGAAACGTGAGAAGTAATATGGATTCCCCCACAATCACCCTCATTGAAAGACAGAGTGCAGGGGCGATCTGTTTGCGGACGTGTCAAAATGCAGTTTTCTCTCGGAGTAATTTGTCAAACCTGATGTACTCTATCTCTATCGCGTCGCGTTGGTAGCACAGCATGAAACTTGGCCAACTTCCAGCCAGAGACAGAGCCACAGAGCCACAGCCAGAGACAGCAAATGGGCGAAATGAGTTGGTCGGGGCAAGACGGGCGTTTTCAATGTCAGTGAAAAACGTGTGCGGCACATTAAACGATGAATTTTCTTTTCGAAATTAGCGCACACCCAAAATCTTGGCCCCAAACATGGGGCGGCCCCAAATTTCAAGGCCGGGCTAAGCGGGAATTTACACCTAGTAGCCATCAGCGTAAGATTTCTCATCGCTTTGCATATGTTAAGCGAATTTTGAGTTTGGCATTTTTTATTTATTTTATTATTTAATTTATTATTTATTGCGTGTGCATCCGCGTGTGTGTGTGTGTGCGTCTGGCATCATTTGCAAATTAGCTTCAACTGTGTTTTGGTATGGGGCGGGTGTAAAAAGCCATCAATTTATTCAATATTCATTCATTCATTCATCCAAATCCAAATCCAACCTTCTCCCCCCACTCTTCTCCTTCTTCATCACTTTTTCTTCTTCGTAACAATTGCACTTCATAAAGCCGTTACACACGAACACGCACACAGAGCAACAGAAAGAGTGAGAGAGAGAGAGAGAGGGAGAGAGATGCAAATGTTGGAATGCGGTAACATCCACCGACACTTCATCAGCGTCTATAATGGTACGGGGATATTATGATTTTGAGCATACATATATGTATTTACAGGGAACGAATTATGTAGGCAATGGCTCTAGTTGCCGTCAGTCCACTGTCTCTCTTGTCTTTTTGATTTTTTAAAATCTTCAATTACCATTCTTTGCAAATCATTAAACCAAACTTCAGCTGCCATGGGAACGATGGAATAGCAAGGGTATTAAATGCTTCGGTCTTCGCAGCATGTCTGCCCCTCTTGTTTACCGATTACGTCTGTGCCTTTTCAAAGTACTTTGCCCGATAAACAGCAGCGGTAACAATACCTGTGTATGTGTGGGGGAGTGTGTGTGTGTGTGTATCAGCAACAAAACGACTTTGAACAGCATCACTAACCTCAGACAAGCATCAAAAGGGAGAGCAAAGAAGCCGGAAGGCAACCAAATTTACCGCAAAGTTGTTTCATTTAAATTTCTCCTTTCCAACCGCCTGCCGTGTGTGTTGTGTGTATGTGTGTGTGTGTGTGTTCGCTCGAAAAAGAAATGATCACCCGAAACCGAAAACAATGCAGTCGTGTAGTGAAGCACAAAAAAACCAGTCGCAATCACAATCAAATGCAAACAACACACAGAAAAAAAAAAGTTTGCAAAGATTTTGCAGGCAAGCTACGGCTCAATTACATACACACACACACACACACAGAGGCAGGCCCTGAGTGTGAATGGTGTTAGTGTCGAAAGCACTTTAAACACACACAAAATTACACTTGAATGCCCTTTTAATGACCGCATTGCGTATGCGCAGCTTTCACTCAGAGGCGGAATATCTTTGGAATTCGATATGCGGCTCAAAACCAAGGTGTAAATGTACTGCTGTATGAATATATTTGGTATGTAAATGCAGGATGCTGCATGAAAACCCATGCCTGCCCATGGAAACTTCTGATGTAACTTTTACAGTACATACAGTGGAAAATCCTCCGGAAGTTTCTTAATGCCAGAAACTCCTACAAGTGACGCACATCTTGCGGGCTTTTATCCTGCTATACACTTCACAGTGGAAGTCGCCATGTGCCGCAGAAAAGGATACCGGATTCTCATTCCCCTCCTCCACCAATTATGATTGCACCTGACTAAGTGAAATTTCCAAAAGTGTTTCGTAACTTTTAACGTGTTTAGCGAGAATCAGCAAAGAGAAACAAAAACGACGCCAGCAACAAAAACTGTTAACGCTGTGTTTCATCAGTGCTTTGCTCTTTTTGTTTTGCTGATACTGAAAAGATTTCAAGGTTGTGTCGCTAAAAGTAAGATGCAAGACGGCGGCAATACAGAGAGGGAGCGAGAAAATGGAGATGCGAAGAAAACAAAAACCTCAGTGGGTCAGAGTTTTGTGCGTTGAAGCCCTTTTTGTTGTACGACTACTCTATGTGTTGGCTTGGGGGGACCACGCCTTGTTCCACTGCAAATATTTGCGAGCGGAGATGCTTATGCCATGATTTATGGCTAAGCGTTTTGCGGCCATACTTATCCAATGACCTGAAAAATCACAAAAATAAATCAGATGAGCCCCCATTCCAATTTACATACGCACATATGTACATACATACATAAGTGTAGGATCCAATGCAGTCAACGAATATGATCATGATCAATGTCAAAACAATCATTCAGGGCCCGATGATGGTGATGGTCGACGATTTACATAAATATACATATACCAAAACCCGAAACGTTCATAACGTCAAAAATTAATGATCTTAATTACAAGCAAAACTAATTTTTTACATAATTAAATGAGAAAAAAAAAGCAGAGGATGCGAGGAATGCGGAAAAGGCAACGGGAACGTCAAAGGGCAGAGAGTGCCACGGCCAGATCTACTTTAATATAACTCTACCAAATCATCACCAAAAACATATTTCTTTTGTATTTACAGCCATCCTCACGACCCGAATCGGACTTTACGCTCGATCTGCCGCGCGCTGAGCAACTGCGATTGAAAATGGAAAAGGAGAAGAAATTCCGCCAAAGATGTCGCTTCATCACCACATTTTTAAGTCTGGTCTTCTTTTTTTTGACCGTTATGGTAGTCAGCTTGGTGTTGACCCGCGGCAAACGCATGTTCGGTAGCATGATCTAAAGATGATGTACATATGTATATTGTAAACGAACTAATTACAGTGCCAACAAAAAACAAAAACAAATGTAACAAATGTTAGCGAAACTCAAATTTAATGTTAGTAATAAGCTTCCTTCCTCGTCTGGCCAGGACAGCCGCAGTATTGTTAATAAATTATTTATGTGATCTTAGTTGTTTAAGCCGCGAGTGCATTTCTTTCTGTAAGTAAACAGAGCTGTCAACTGCGTGTATGTGTTAATGTACTATCCCAACCTAGCGTTTGTCAAATTTACCATTAAGCTTATAGAATTCGTTAAAGTTTTAAGTCTAATTCTACGTCCACAAGTCTTATGAGAGCATCGAGAATAAACAGAATACCACAACCGATCTTTGTGCAGTACATTTAATATAACATTTATTGTGAAAGCATCCGTAGACCGAGATTGGCATGCCTTCAACAATATATTCTTACAGACATATTCATATATCGTTAAAGTTATCACAAATGGTTTTGTTTTCTTTTGATTCGTTAAACGGGAACCAACTGTGGGAGAAAGTAACACAGAACTCAGTTACCAAGTAGGGAATCAGGCAATTCGCATAGTTAGATAGCGGTTAAGACGTAATTCTACAAGGATTAGATAGTTACGGAGACCAGCTAACCAGGCAAGTTGCTGAGAAGTGTTGAGAATGGTGTGGCGACCAAATATCTCTTTGGCGTGCTGTTGTGTTAGCTGTTTCATAATATGCGTATATTCTGGCGATTGACCTCGAACACGGTGTGGTCCTCCTCGTCGCTGTTGACGTCCTCGATGGCCATGGGCAGCGGTGTTAGCTCCTGATTGGCCCTGTCGCCTTGCACCCCATATTTGCGCTCTGCCCGTGTTAATCGCATTCTATATAGGGAAGATTTGAGTTCAGTTTAATACTATCATATGCGCTGATAAGCCCTCTTTTCTCACAGTCTCACTACTTACCGATAGACACGCAAGACAAGCAGCAAAATGGCGGAACTTGTTATTGCCACCAGAACGTAGACGACGGCTTGTCCCGGAAAGTCCACTTCATTGCCCATGCTAGAGTGCTCGATGCGAACATCCTCTACAGGCAGACTGGAGGGTGGCGATGCTGACTCCTGGGCTTGTTCCTTTAACGCTAGCGCAGGCTTTTCAGCAATGACGACATCGCTATCCTTTCGATTGGGCACTGCATCTATGGATAAAGCCTTCTTAACGGTTTTACGATCATCCGACTTTACCGCTTCCTGGATTGCAGCCGGTGCACTAAGCTCTGATATTTCAATGGCCTTTGTGCCATTCGTGGATGCTGCCGACACTGCTGCGTCACTCTGCTGTTGCTCCAACGCCAGCACAAACAGCCAGATGGCTGTGACCGCGATGGAAGATCCACGGAAGTACATTTGTTCTTATTTTACTTATTATATCCAATATACAAGCAACTATGACGTTTTAAAATTTCTGATGTTTTGATTTGCTTTGCTGTAACTTGTCAGTGCTACCAGACACACACAAAAAAAAATACCTCCCGATCTGGCAGCTCAAGGTATATTAATGGTAGGTATATATAGGTTTATCAAAGCAATTTTAAAATTACCGCCAAACTCAATTCAGCGCACAAAAAATACCAGAATTGTTCGGTTCTTTGAACCTATTTATGTATACAATTCAATAAAAAGGACTTCGGAAGACTAGCCAATCTTATAGAAAAATTATGTATCTATCGGATAAAATTATTTGTTTAGGCTGAGGGGCCAACTAGCTAGTAAACTAACGGATACAAACGGATACAACGTATGTCGTGCCGTCATGTATTTACGGCTTATTTTGATATTGGCATGGTATATTTGGGTATATTTCTGTGGGTCAGGCGGTATATTTTATTGATAAATCTTGTGGGTCTGTCTGTCCTTCAGAAACTAGAGCTGTCAAACGTTGAGCAATCGATAGTTTTGAATCTTTTGAAAAAACAAATAATTATTTAAAAAAAACCATTGAAACCTTTTAGGATCTTGTCCATTGTAAAAATTACAAATGTTTACAAATTTGTCTTCGTATTTTATAGCAGCCAATCCAAACATATCAAAAGCGCAACGACTGTAGCTCGATACTAACATGATAGTCTCAAAACCATTGATGTAGAGGCTATCGATACTATCGATAGTGCCCTCTTTGGTTTGACACCTCTAGTAGTTCAGGAAACAAAAAAAAAACTTGCTTTTTAGCTGAAATCCGTATATTTGGAATATTAAGTGTACAAATAATTTAGTTTTACTTAGAATTACTTGATATCTGGCGACAGGTAAATATGTCCACCAATTGGTGCTTTTGGGGTCTAGCGCAAACCGTATTGTGAAATGCGAAAATGGCGAACAAGTGAAAAAGTGTGTGCTCTAAGGGAAATCACGACGTCACAAAAAGAAAACGAAAAACGGGCAATGCCCGAGTCTTTCTACTCAAAATTACAGTTACTATTAGGTTCTACAAGACTTGTTGGTGGTTTCAGTGCTTGTTTTTTTTGTTTTTTGGGTGCATTGTTCGTTAAATGCCAATATTGGTTATGTGCATTGGTTTGCTTTGTATCAGTGTGTGTGAGGTGGTCATGTACTTACATATATGTGTGCGAGTGTTTTTAACCAGGAAGTTTACTGAATTTTAAGACGCGTGAACGTGAACGCTACCCTATTGCAATAGGCAGAGTCGTGTTCGCCGCCCACTTGTTTATCCGATAGTAGATACTCTACCGCGACGTGACTCAAGGTCGGCCGTGTATGCTTTTCAGGGAATGCTTTTCTTTGTGTCGGATTACACCTTGAGCATAATGTATGCGGGGGCAACACATGCACAAACGCACGCACGCACAAATACACTTGAACGTACATACACGCCAAGTCTCTCTTTTGGCTACATTTTTTTGTGGCTTTATGAATGTGACATTGGATCAAAACGGTCGACCTTCGGTTTGATTTATTTACGTGGCTTGCATGGTGGAGCGAGGTCTACTACAGTACATGTTCGTTTTGTTTCCTTTCAGATCAAATTTCTTGAATCTCTAAATTACGATCACCCAATTTGTCAAAATTCCGACCAAAGCACCGAGGACGAGAGCCGCCAAACGACGCCATCAGGATAGCAATCCCTCGCCCCCGCTGTTGTCGTTGTCGTCGTCCGCGTCCTCTACAACAACAGCAGCCAGAGAAAATCCTCCAAAGCCGCAAGAGCAACAGCGGCAGTCTCCACAAAAAGAGCACTTGCCACCTGCCACAGCAATGAATCGTTCGGGCGCACAGACCACACAGAAGCCAGTCAATCTGGATGACATCTGGAGTGAGCTGGTCGAAGGCATACGCCAGGTCTTTGAGCAGGAAAAGTCGCTGACCCGCATCCAGTACATGCGCTTTTACACACACGTCTATGACTACTGCACCAGTGTGAACGCAGCTCCAAGCGGCCGCAGCAATGGAAAGACTGGCGGAGCCCAGCTGGTGGGCAAAAAGCTCTACGATCGGCTGGAGCAGTTCCTCAAGACCTATCTGAGCGAGCTGCTGACCAAGTTCAGGGCAATTAGCGGCGAGGAAGTGCTTCTGTCGCGCTACACCAAGCAGTGGAACTCGTATCAGTTCTCCAGTGTTGTATTGGATGGCATCTGCAACTACTTGAACCGCAACTGGGTGAAGCGCGAGTGCGAGGAGGGCCAGAAGGGTATCTACAAGATCTACCGTCTGGCTCTGGTCGCCTGGAAGGGACACCTGTTTCTGGTGCTGAACGAGCCCGTCACCAAGGCCGTCCTCAAGTCCATTGAAGAGGAGCGCCAGGGCAAGCTGATCAACCGTTCGCTGGTGCGCGATGTGATCGAGTCCTATGTGGAATTAAGCTTTAATGAGGACGACTCCGACTCGGATCAACAGAAGCTCTCCGTCTACAAGGATAACTTTGAGAGCAAATTCATAGCCGACACAGCCGCTTTCTACGAGAAAGAGTCGGATGCGTTCCTATCAACCAACACGGTGACTGAATATCTCAAGCACGTTGAGAATCGCCTGGAGGAGGAGAAACAACGCGTCCGTGGCCAGAACTCGAAGAACGGCCTTTCGTACCTGCACGAGACCACAGCAGAGACTCTTAAGTCAACATGCGAGCAGGTATGACTGCCGCAGTCGTTTTTTCCTTTTGATTGAATTTACTAAATAATATCCCCTTGTGTCACTGTTCTCCCAGGTTCTCATTGAGAAGCATCTTAAAATACTCCACGCCGAGTTCCAAAATCTGTTGAATGCAGATCGAAATGAAGATCTTAAGCGCATGTACTCTTTGGTTGCTCTTTCACCGAAAAACCTGACGGATTTGAAGACTATCCTCGAGCAGCACATACTGCATCAGGGCACCGAAGCCATTGTTAAGTGTTGCACCACCGATGCGGCAAACGATCCCAAGACATATGTCCAAACCATACTAGATGTACATAAAAAATATAATGCCCTCGTGCTGACGGCATTTAACAATGACAACGGATTTGTGGCCGCATTGGACAAGGCATGCGGCAAGTTTATCAATTCGAACGTGGTAACGGCTGCGAACAGCGCCAGCAAATCGCCCGAGCTGCTTGCCAAGTACTGCGATCTTTTGCTTAAGAAATCCTCCAAGAATCCCGAGGATAAGGAGCTCGAAGACAACCTGAACCAGGTGATGGTCGTATTTAAGTACATAGAGGATAAGGACGTCTTCCAGAAATACTATTCTAAAATGCTCGCAAAGCGTTTGGTAAACCACACATCAGCATCCGACGATGCCGAGGCCATGATGATCTCGAAGCTGAAGCAGACCTGTGGCTATGAGTACACGGTCAAGCTTCAGCGCATGTTCCAGGACATTGGCGTATCCAAGGACCTCAACACATATTTCAAGGAGCACCAGCTCACAAATAATGTTTTGTCCGAAATTGATTTCGGCATTGAGGTCCTCTCCTCTGGCTCGTGGCCATTCCAGCTAAACAACAACTTCCTGCTGCCGTCAGAGCTGGAGCGCTCCGTTCGTCAGTTCAACGAGTTCTATGCGGCCCGTCATTCCGGCCGCAAGCTGAACTGGCTGTATCAAATGTGCAAGGGAGAGCTAATCATGAACGTGAATCGGAACAACACGTCGACAGTGTACACCCTGCAAGCCAGTACCTTTCAAATGTCGGTGCTCTTACAGTTCAACGACCAGCTCAGCTTTACAGTCCAACAGCTGCTGGAAAACACACAGACACAGCTGGAAAGCTTGATACAGGTAAACGTATAACTATATAATACTGAGGAATATAACCAACCAAATGCATTTGATGGCTCCACACTCAGGTTCTGCAAATACTGCTCAAGGCAAAGGTTTTGACGTCCAGCGACAATGAGAACTCATTGACAACCGAGTCGTCTGTGGAGCTGTTCCTGGACTACAAGAACAAGAAGCGGCGCATTAACATCAATCAACCGCTGAAGACTGAGCTTAAAGTGGAGCAGGAGACTGTACATAAACACATTGAGGAGGACCGTAAGCTGTTGATACAGGCTGCTATTGTTCGGATTATGAAGATGCGCAAGCGCCTCAATCACACTAATCTAATCTCGGAGGTGATCAATCAGCTGTCGGCGCGCTTCAAGCCCAACGTGCCCGTCATTAAGAAATGCATCGACATTCTGATTGAGAAGGAGTATCTGGAGCGCATGGAGGGACACAAAGACACATATAGTTATCTTGCCTAAGGTTATTTTAAATTTAAAACTGTACGCTGTTTCATCAACGTCAATCATAAAAAAATATATAATTATCGCTGTAGTACCCGCTCCGATCCCTCCCACCCTAATGAACACCCAAATAAACTGCCGCCTAAATAATCGAACTACTAGCGAGATGAAAAATACTCCATCGAATCGACTTGGATGTGCGGCTAGTGTGTCTGATCAACGGGCTTCCTGATGGCGTTTTCCTTTCTTAAACATATCGTTTTGTTTTAATTTACGTTTACGTTACTCATAGTTCGATGTATTCATATTTTCATTCATTAATTATAATACTTCGATGCAAACCAGTGTTTACCTTTGTGCTGAATGCTCGGTGGCTCACGGAGAGGCAACATCAGAGTCCTGCTGCTGCAGCCTCTGGTCCAGGTTCATTCCGCTCGCTATAGCGTACACTGTGAACGCAAACTTGGCCACCTGCAAAAGAACCACAGTTCAGTTATCTTCCCGCAGTCGACGCGCATTTACTCACATTGATGTTGGTGGCCAGATTGATTGTGAATATGTTCATGGCCGAGAACGTTATGGGCTGCTGCAGCTTTTGTAGAAACTGAAGGGCCGTGCTTCGGTAGCGCCTGTCCTGCATCCACCACGCCGAGTGGAACAGGGCATCGGCCAGTTCATTGCAGTCGTCCACAATGGCGTTGCAGTAGAAACAGAGCGGAAAGGTCTGCAGAAGCACAGCCATTACGTAGGTAACGATTCCAAAGCGGGTCGATTGATCAGCGAATAGCACCATGTTTATCATGACGACGCCCAGAATGGAGCCGCAGATGATGAACTGGGCAAATATTGTGCCCGAGATGATGGGTCGAATGGTGTCGCAGAAGCTTAAGGAGAAATGTTACATTGATCCTACTTTAAAACCCCAGAGGAGACTTACTTCAGCATCGTCCTGTGAGCCTTGATGCACTCGACCAGCGATTTGAAGATGCTATCTGGATCAGCACTCCCCTCGTTGTTGGCCTCGCCCAGGCGAACGATGCGTTCCTTCAGCAACAGAATGTGAGTTCGCAAAGCTGCTATGTAGATCACGGGGTACGAGTCCGTGGCTGTAGCCACGAATATGGCGTAGCCCACAGTGAAGTACTCGACAAAACTCTGTATGTACAATTGGCGTCTGTCGAGACGCCAGTCAATGAACGGATAATAGGTGTTATACGGTACGCGGTCGTGGAAAAGTCCATCCATAAGAGTGGAGGTTGCGTAGAGAAAGTAGACAATCCCAAAGATCAGGTACAGTTTGTTGATGGTGGCCACTGCAACGCGGACCTTGCGCTTCTCCTCCGGGGTGACACAGTACACGTCCAACTCATCGAAGCATTTGTTTGCCATTTCCAAGCGTTCCGTAAAGATGGCCAGGGTGAAGAACTTGATCGAAAAGCACCAGGTGTTTAGGCATAGTTGAAGCGACTGCAGCAGCAGATCGGGTGGAAACTGGGAAAAGTGTATCTTGTAGTTAATCGGAAAGCTAAGCGGCAGGTAAAGAATGTTGTAGCTGAAGGAGATCACCCGCCAAATCTTGCGACCAATTCCAAAATCGTTGTAAAAATCTAAGCCAGAAATATGAAGTGTTTTGAGCAAGTAAATATTAGAGTCCCTCGTCCCGATTGGCTCCGACAACGGAGCCGGGTTAACAAATTTGAAGAACATTTTTCAATGTTTTAGCTGTTTCTGGATCACCAAGAGTACCGCGAGCCCTTTATAGCCTGCCAATTGTTGACCATATTGCGTTTCCTCCGTCGCAACTTTTAATTAATGGTTATACAACTACTGCTGGGGCGTTGCCCGAAATATTTTACAAGTATTTGCGCACATATGGAGGATTCCTAAGCTGTCATAATATTATTTAAAGTGTGCGATGCATCACCGACAAGGAGGATAACTATCATCATATTGCTGTCCCCAGGACAAAATATAATTTCAACCGATATACCCAATAAAATAAACATTATTTGATATTTTAAGGGGTATCTTATGAGCGGCTTCTTCGCCTTAGATATGATTTATTATTTATGTATATTTACATTTTTGTTGTATTTTTTTTTTGGGCGTTACGTGCAATAGAATTTAATATATTATTTGCAATTTTGCAAACGATTCTTTCGATGGGAACCAAACTTGGTGACTTGGGAATAATTTAAACAAATAAAATCTGTTACAGATCCCGAATTAAACATTTATAACTTGAGACTTCTTTGGCCGACAACAGACGTTAAAAATATTTACAGACATATACTCAAGCCTCCTACTTCGGTACACACGTTTTTCTCAGCCTATTAATTCATTTGGATTAAAGGCTATATCATATTCTACATATTGTATATGTATATACAAGTTACTTTAAATATGGCGTCACTTAACTAAACATACATTTAATACTACCTAAAATAGGTTTCAGTTATACACAAAGTTATTAACAAGGAGATCCAGTGGGAACAACCGACAGTGTTCAATCCTCGTCCTCAAGTGTGAGGACCTTTGTGTGAAAGCGCATTCTCTTTGTGTTCTTCACCACACCGTTGTTAAGCAAATTGACTCCTGGATTTGGATTGGGCAGATTATTCCACAAGCGCTTAACACCTTTCTCGACAATCGAGTTAAAGTCATACCTCTCTGGTGCGGAAGGCGGTTCAGGTACAAGTTCGCGTGGCAGTTTGCGAAGCTTGACGACCGCCTGCTTGAGGCGCAAGCTGTTGTTGCTGCTTACGCTAGCCTTCTCGTCGCCATCATCTGCTCCATTTGTATCTGCGTTGGTGGCCATGGAACAGCCTCGCTTCTGCGGCGAAGAGCCCTTGGACTTGGCCAAAGACAGACTTAAACATTGAAATAAATTATTATAGCTATCAGGAGTAGAATATCCCAATTTATTACCTTCCTTTCTTGTCGTACACATTGATTGTTGGCGGATTAGCAGGACATAACTTGCCTGGCTCCTCCGGATGATACCCAAAGTCCTTTCCCTCCAACCAGTTATCATAGCGGTCCGGCTGAAAGTGGCGCACAAATGTCTCCATTGAGATTTTAACCATATCGCTACGGCACCTGCAAATGCTTGCGCGCTTGCCATACTCTATCCAGCGCTTTGACGCAAAGTTGGTCGACTCTGCACCATTGAAGCCGTGGTTGAAGCCAGAATGGTAACCAAACGGAAAGGTTATCATAATTTCACCCGCCTCTTGGGTAATCTTGTTGTATGGTATATTATGCTGGCGCAAAACTTTGGGACTTATCATGGTCATCTTGTGACGGAGGTACGCATTGCATTCTTGATAGGTTTCAGGGAATAATTCATTGGCCAGCTTCTCCAAGCGCCTTCCGTAGGCCGGTGGGATGGCGTACCATGTTTTGGGAGCACCAAAATGAAGATAGTTTATGGAATACAGATCCATATCTTCTGTGTGCCAAGCAAAGGAACTCTTCCACATGCCGAAGTAGAGGTAAGCTGTATTCACCCCGTCTATGGTTATGTTATAATCGGTGTTAACCAGGTTCAGTACGGTGTCTAGCCTCCCGATGTTCCACACATCCAGATCGTCGTCGCTAAGCGTGCCCTGGACATCAGCTGCATACAGCGGAGACACATATGTAACATTCTTCCAATATTTCCGCTCTAGATCGTCGTAGTCGGTGTGGCGCGGTGTACTGTGCAGCTCGGAGTTGGCCTTCTCCATGAACTGACGCAGTGTCATCTGCTTGCGCTGTTGCACGTTGAATTGCTGGTACACTCCTTGTGCTCTAAAAACCAAGTCCAGAAAAGTTTTTACTGTATAATATCCATTTACTGAAAAACGCAATTCCTTACCCCTGGACCAACTGAGAAATCGGTGGAGGAATCGTCATGTTGATGTTCTCAATGTCGTACCCCGACTTCCTGGGGACCCACTCTGGCGGTGGCTGCATTAGTTAAGGAGCACGTTGTCAACAAACATATCCACATTCATGTTTTTTTCGATTTACCTGAATTTTTACCAGGCCAGCCCTGTGGGCTCCGCGACTCTCCATATACTCAACGTAGGACGAAAAGTTTTTGAACTCTTCGTAGCTGGGACGAAAGGTCATGATGCGAGGAACTGTATTTAGTTCCCCATCTAGATATGAAGACTGTGCAGACATTTTTAGCCGCGTTAGTTATTAATTATTATTTTTTAGCCGCAAAACACAGAAGTGAATTGGGTGGCAACGCAAGGCAAAACAGCTTGACGTTTGCACTCTGTCAATGATCGGAAATCATATTTCTCGATTTTAATATTCGGTTTGATATTACTGGCTAGCTAGAGCCTTCAACGGTGCCTATTTAATTTTATTTGATAAACTAATACATTTTCTTCAAGATTGGTCAGCTTTAAGTACTCATTATTATTAGATTGTTTAAAAATTGTTGTTTAACAAAAAAGTTTATCAACGAATTACACAAAATAAATGTTTTTTCATGGTAACTTCACAGTTGCTACATACTGTAAAATACTAGAAAATATTGAAAATTCTAGAAAATATAAAAAAAAAGTATATGTATGCAAGGTGTGTGGACCTAAACAGGAAACATATTGAAAAAACGTCCATCTATCGCACTAAGCAATAAATAAAACTCAACTGATTGCAGCAGCCACTACTGCCACTGACACTGCAACGGAGAATGCAACGAAAAGTGTAAAGTCATTAATGGCAGCTCGAAAACTGGTGTGGTCTGGCCACTCTTCGCAAAATGCAACCCGGATGCCCGCGAACCTGCGCGCTTGATTCAAATTTTCCCAACAACTTTACAGTTTATTTGTTTTCATATATTTTTATTCGCATCTGATCTGATCATAAAAAAAACCGTATCTGTCCTTTATGGTACATAATTTCAATCATTTTCAATTCGGATAATATCAAATAAATTTAAGCCACCGTTCAAATAATAATTATGACCACCTGATATATCTTATATCTTAATTCGCGGAATTCAGAGTACCGACAAATCGTGTCGGTGCCATATAACAATTATCCCTTGGGTAAATAACCGGCGAAATTCTGTGAAAAGTGCACAAAACAAGAGATTACACTTTTGCCAACGAAATTAAAAGGGCTTTTAAATGCAACCCAGCAACACTGAAGATGTGAGATAATCCTTCGTCTTAGATAACATTCTGGAAGAGCCGAAACGAATCAGCAGTAGGAACTGACTGCGATAAGGAATCGTGAGCATACAGATTGATCGAATGAATACAAATTTCTTTGTGAAAGTGTGTCAAAAGCAATGGGCATCATAATTCATACAATATGTGATTTGCATTGAGCCTGGAGAAAAGCCGAGAGTTTGTTCCCGTCTAGGTTTATTGTTGTTATTTTATGATTATGGTCGAGATAATCACGAGCAATCTGCGTAAAGTCATTCGCAGGCACTTCGAAACCGGCCCAGCTGTAATCAGGAAAAATGGGTTCCGTTCTTTGTGGTATCAGTATAAAAGCAAAAGGTGCACTCAAACCCAGAAACAGTCGTCGTCGCGTCGCCTATTCGTATTGCGCCCAAGAAGGCCGACCAATTTTAAATCAAGGTGTTATCCCGAGTGTAATTAATATACGACAATCAAATAGATATGGGTTTCGATACCTCTTTGGATATGGCAAAGCGTGAGTAAATCCAAGCAGAGTTTCACTTGTGCGAATAACCGAATATAAAGGAACATGGAGAATAAAAACATATATGTTTGTTGTATTGATCGAAAGATACCATCTGAAGTGTTTCCGTGTGCTCGTATTCAATCGTTGTGGCCGAACTAAGAATTGTTTTTCTCAGGCAACTATTAATAGGTTATTGATACGAGTTTGCCGGTTGAGAACCCGACTGAATTGATGTCGATAATCCCAGTGTTGCAGTGATCGACTCGCTCTTATACCCATAATACATGGTGCTTTTCCAGTCTGTTTTCCAGACCTACCCTATAATCCTATCGTCGTTGCTTTCCTGGATGTCTGATTGTATTTGCAAATCATATCGTGATCGCATATCAGACATTTGCTGGCACATATCATGCCGTATCTTATATGTACATATGTACATATATCTTTATACAAATCAACAGAAGATAATTTCGTTTGGGACAATAAAAATATTTACATTATTCTTAAGGTCACTTCCCATCTGCAGGGTAAACAACTTTTTGGGGAATAAAAGTAAATCTCGAGATCTATTAAGAGCAATTAAGAATTATGACTTGATTCACACTTTTCGGGGCGGCCCCCTCCCTTGACTACTCCCCCCCTGTGCTGGGTCGGCAGCAACTTTTCCATTGAGAACGCGACGGGTTTTGTTTTGTTTTGTTTTTCCTCATTTGCATGCGGTAATGATAATGAAAATAATAAAAGACAAAGCATTCAGTCGGAGTCGTTAATTAATGGCATCAGCACGCACTATCAGAACATTGTTAAACGGTCATAAAACGTAAATTGAATAAAAAAGGTCCTAGAAATAATCAGGCAATTGACAAACAAATCCCACAGTCAATTTATATAATGGGGCAATCGGCTGATTACTTTGCCAGACGACGATCCGCTCCAACATGGTCTACTTAGTGAACGGGAACGGGGAGAGGACACCTCTGCTGCTCCGTGTGGTGCCAAACAATCTCAAGACATTAGCCTGTAAAAAAATTATCATTGCTAATTAACACTAGGGAACATTTTCAGGATTTTAATCAATTCTTTTCTTTTGTTCTACCGATAGCAAGTGGCTTTGGAGCCCGCCACTGGCAAGCGATCCTCCTGTTCGTCGGCATGATGATCAATTACTTTCAGCGCGTCGACATCTCGGCCGCCATCGTACCGATGACCCAATCCACTGCCGGGGCCCCCTCCTACAGCTGGGACATGTCGGATAAGTCCCTGATACTGAGCAGCTTCTTCTGGGGCTATGTCGTCTCCCAGGTGCCATCAGGTCTGTTAGCCAAACGTTTCGGGGCCAAGATAGTTCTGGGCACAGCTACCGCCATCGGCGGAGTCTTGTCGTTCTTCCATCCCATGGCGGCGGCCAATGGCTGGGAGAGTGTCTGCGTATTGCGGGTCCTCACCGGTCTGGTTCAAGGCACTGTCTACCCCTGTGTTCACACCTTGTTGGCCAAATGGGTGCCGCGCACCGAGAGAGGCTTCCTCACCACCGGCATCTATTCGGGCGCCCAGTTCGGGACGGCTGTTATTCTGGTCACGAGTGGATTCATTTTCGAGTCGAGCCTGGGCTGGCCCGGCCTGTTCTACTTGTCTGGTGTCCTAAGCATGGCCTGGGCGCTCCTATTCTTCTGGCAGGCTGCCAACGAGCCAGCCACAGCACGCAAAATCACGAAGACGGAACGAGAGTACATCGAGAGCCTCACAGGCAGCAATAGTAGCAGTCAGGTATGTACCACACACCATTTGATTTTGTTCCAGAGTAAGCAGTAGTCTGATTTCGTTGTCCCCTCCACCCACTCCAGTCCATTCCAGTGCCCTGGACTTCGATCTTTAAATCGCCAGCCTTTTACGGTCTTTTGGCCGCTCATTGCGGCTTCACCTGGGGATTCTACACGCTGCTTACCGAGATGCCCACGTATATGAGCAAGGTTCTGCAGTTAGATGTCAAGTCGAATGCATTCCTCTCCTCCCTGCCGTACTTTGCCATGGGAGTGCTGTGCCTGGTGGTCAGTCCCATATCGGATCTCCTCATAAACCGAGGAACCATTTCAATTACAACTGCTCGCAAGCTCTTCAACTCGATAGGACAGTGGGGACCGATGGCCTGCCTGATTGGACTGGGCTACATGTCCGCCGACGAGAAGACCTGGGCCATTTTACTGCTGACGCTTGCAGTGGGCATCAATGCGGGCTGCTCTTGTGGTTACCTCATTAACCACATTGATTTGTCGCCCAACTTTGCTGGTCCCATGATGGGCGTCACCAATGGAATTGCCGGTGTGACATCCATTGTTGCTCCATTGGTGGTGGGGGCCATTCTAACCGACGAGGAGGATCCGAGCCAATGGCGTTTGGTCTTCTTCATCACCGGAGCAGTTTACTTGGTATGCAACACCTTGTTTGTGATATTCGGCAAGGCCACTGTGCAGTCCTGGAACGAGCCAACGAACATGTCCAGCACGATAGCCCTGCGCAACAACTTTGAAAACGATTCCAGAACCATTGCGCCCACGACGGACAAGGACAATCGCTTCTGATCTGCTATACCTCGACCCTCATCCACAATCTCGTTTATACCACCATGGCTCTATGAGTTACGTTACCCATAATATACATATCTACATAGATCTTCTGTATATATAACTCGGCGCACGAGTGTCCCAAATCAGCGATACATATTTGAAATATGCTTAGGTATAATTAAATAAATTATTTTATGTTTTATTGTAAGCTTAATGTGCCGTCAATTTGTGATAAGCTTAATATAAGTTTATGATGTGTGGCACGTTTCATATGTATTAAGTCTGGGAATATGTTTAAATATTTGAATTGTCTTATCAACGTCTGCCTCTGCTTGCTCCGAGCGTACTAATAAATATTTACAATACTAAATTCTTTGTGCGTCTGACGAGAGTTAAAGGAACCTAGTTACTTTTATGGATCGTTCGTTTGATTATCATTATCCACTGTTTTCAGCATCGTTCAGAACCGTCTCGATATTGGAATGGAATCGTACCGATTTCGTTGCATGTTACTTGACCTTTCGCTGCAGCTGCCGTTGCTCGTTCAGTCGCTGGTTGATGCGGCGCGATGATGATAGTGTGCGTAGCATTGTCCAAATGGCCATCGTCCAGGTGAGTATAATTGTGCCATACAGAACGGGAGCATAGGCATTCGTATTGCCAACGGGTATTTCGGCTCTCAGAGGCGCCCTCAGCTGATAGTCCACATGTATTTGCTTCCAGTTGCAACGCTCCAGATTATGGATGGTTGTCGGCTCTCTATCCGTGACGATGTTTTCATCGAATCTGCTTTTGTGCGCATTCAGGCAGTACAGCTTATCGGGTCGAGCAACCAATTCATTGTCAACCAGCTCATTATCGGCGATCGGACAGTTCAGATAGAGTTCTGGCGTAGCTATAGCTACAATGCTAGTGGATCTGTAAGGTGTATGCGGTTAATATATATACAATCGCGTCTGGTTGACAATAGTCAAGAACACTCAAACCTCTTATCGCTGGGTGAATGATAGCGAAAATGAATTGGAAGCTTTACAACTTCCATCAGTTTCGGCACGCCACGCAACAATACAGAGAACGGCTGGGCCCTCTCAGTGGCCTCTTCAATGTTCACAAAATTCGGGTAGACGGCACTTAGCTAGAAATTAATGTAATAAGCCTATTATAAGTCCTTTTGAATTAACTGCATACGAACATACTCTTTTTAGTCGCTGCAAATCATCTAGCTCGTCGGTGCTTATGTAAACGGCCGCTGGCAGCGGTTGCAGCAGCACATAGTCACAATCCTTGCCCGCCAGCGGATAATCGAACTGCACTTTGTACGTTAGTGTTCTGACTTATACAAAGAATACAATTCATAATATTTATTAGATAGACAGAGGTGATTTCTTGTACCGACCTGTGCATGCCGGCCTTTTCCATATCCACATGAACTACAGGCTGTTGCAGAAGATAGCTGCGTGCCGCACTTGCCAGTAGGGTAAGCACACATATTGCACTCTTCCAATTACGATTTGAAAGCATTTTTAGCTAATGAAACACAAAATTCTCTAACAAATTTGTAAATAAAAACATTCCTCCTAGGGTTTTCACTGTCTGTAATTTTATTCGGGGTTGCCATATCGGTTGAATTCCACACTTTGGTTTGAGCGCGGAATTCAAAAACTAATGTCTAATTGAAGATTATTTTAAATTCAGTTCTTTGTACAAAGCGGATCCTTCTCGCGCCAATTTATCAGCCATTTCGTTGCCTTTAATGCCCTTGTGGGCCTCCACATAGTTCTAACGGAAACAATCAATAGTAAACAATAAAGATAAGTTGAAACGAAATACAAACCCATTTTACTTTGATGTCCCCTTTTTGGAGTAGTTCATCCAGCTCCTTGAAATCGACTACATTCTTCACCGGCTGATTGTTTGCCAACATCCAGCCCTTTCTCTTCCAGCCTTGCACCCACAAGGTTATGGAGTTGATCAGGAACTGAGAGTCTGTGTAAATGCAAAGCTTTCCAATGCCCAAATCCAGCGCTGTCTTGATAGCATGAATCGCTGCCTGTATCTCACCCACATTATTTGTGACGCGTCCGCTCACTGGCTTGGCTGCATTTCTACATGTGCATTTAACAAACAATTAAATAGCTTTCCGACAGTGGTTTGCACGCACTTCCTTACAGCAAGTGATTGTCGCCAAAATAGACTCCATAGCCGGCACATGCTCCTTTGCGACCATTTCCTATGCAAGAGCCATCTGTGTACACAATGACATAGCCGTCGGTGTCGATTTCAAACTCTAATTCGCCGATGTGCTTGATACCAGCTGCTTCCGCAACTCGGGACACATGCCGAGGTACTTTCTTTTGCCGATCGTCGCTAGCGTCCACTTTGCGTTTTTTTGTCGCCCCATACATCTAAAAAGAGAGTCCTGTACATTATGGACATCATTACAAACTAGTTTTCGTGGTTACCAGACTACTACTGCTGGTTGGTTTGGGATCTCCCTCCACTTCATTCATGGCTGCATTCTGGAAGGTAAACAGAGAACATGAAGCCTCAATCGCAGCCGAATAATTATTTTTGCCTACCAGCTCGTCCTCCACCAGGTCGTGATCTTCGTCTGGCCATGCTTCTGTATATTGAGGCTCCTGTTGCTTGACAGTGCCCCAGTTTGCTGGCGGAGGCTGCCTTTGTCCCAGCGGCACTGCTACTTCATGGGGTGCATAGGAACTTTTAATGTTGATAAATTGCTCCGCCTCCTGGCGTGTGTTGAACTTCTTGTAGACTGCATTCTTGAAGCCCTTCACTTGCTGCTCACATTGGGCCCAAGTGTCGTAGATTCCCGCCTTTCGCCCACTCGCAACAGCATAATACGCCATTGTCCGCTGGATACGCAAAGAACGGAGTAAAAACATGTTAATTAGGGAGGAGAAAGTATCGATAGTTTTGTCAAGGCCTTGCCAGATCTGCCAGCACAACATAAACAAACAGCGAGAGTGCCCAGGTGCCCTCAAGCATTGTGCAGACAGTGGATTGGATTGAAAAAAAATATTTCTTGATTGGAAATGTATCAGCCTCCGCCTGCAGCACTGCAGCAAGTGCCACTTCTACCGCCGCCCGCTGATGACCCACCGCCACCTGGGGTGAAGGATCTCAGCACATCTTCCTACAACTACAGCCAGAATGCTACGCCCCCGGTGAACGAGTATACTCAGGGGGGCTCCACACCTTATTATAGGTATCCGGACGCCTCTTTCAACGCTTCTGCAGCGCCAACTTATGATGCCTACCATCAAGGAGCGTACGGGTATGAGGGTTATCAGTACCAAGGGCCACCATACGCCCAATACGACCAAGGCGCGTATTCATATGAAGGCTACAAATATCAGGATCGGTACTCGTACACGCCAAACTTTCGCCCGGCTAACCCAAGACCCCATTCGTATAATGTGAATCCAGCCTACAGCAACCACTCGGGATACAACTACTCCAAGCGATATGATCCACGACATGCGTACTACCCGCAGAGGGAACCGCGCCCATCGCAGCATACCTATTACACTCCAAGAGGTGCCCCTGGCGAGGAGTACGCCCCGCGAAGCTATCGAGAAAGATGTGAGCCAGCTGATGGGAAAGCGACGCAATCCAAGGCCAAGCCCAAAGTGGAAACGGAGCGAGATCGTTTGCTCCGCCAATGGTGCTCCAACTATTGCGAGAAGCCAGAGGATTACATTGAGAAAATGAATGCCCTCAACGAGACGGCAGCGACAGTCGAGTCTTGGGTACGATCCTCGCCAGCGGAGCCATATTACGAACGCACCAATAACGAGAACGAAGTTAGGAGCAAAAAGCGTTTGCAGAAGCTGTGCGATCTCTTTGAGGACGAGCTACTTAAGCGAGCAGATCGAGTGCGTAAGACATTGCCTGCCTATGCGCCGCCACCGAGGAAGGCGCGACGTCGCATCTGCAAGCACAAACACAAGTCCGAGGCCTGCTCCTCGTCGTCCGATGACGACTCGGACGAAGACGGCTTCAAGGTCGAGCAGGACTGCTGCATGGAGGAATTGTCGCGCAAGGTGCAGCATCCGCAGCGTGTACATGCCGATCTCTGGCACAACGATGCGGGCGAGATGAACGACGGTCCCCTATGTCGCTGCTCTGCAAAGTCGCGCCGCAGTGGCATCCGGCATGGCATCTATCCCGGAGAGACCGGCTACAAGTTGTGCGACAAGGCCACAAACAATGCCAGCCGTCTATTCCATTATCGCATTACTATTTCGCCGCCCACAAACTTTCTGACCAAGACGCCAACTATTATCAAGCACGATGAGCACGAGTTTCTCTTCGAGGGATTCTCGCTGCTGTCCCATGTGCGCCTCACCGATCTGCCGGTCTGCAAAGTGATTCGCTTCAACATTGAGTACACCATTGAGTACGACGAGGAGAAGATGCCCGACAACTTCACCATTCACGAGTTGGACCTTTTCTGTAAGAATGCATGAGCCATATTTTTAGAATCTTTATTGACTATTCTCTCCACCTTGCATCTCAGTCAAATACCTGTTCCACGAGCTGCTGGAGCTGGTTGACTTTAACCTGGAGCCCAATGCTGGATCTGATGGTGTTAAGTCCTGCCCAGCGTTTCATTTCCTGCCCCGGTTCGTGCGTGACCTGCCCGACAATGGCAAAGAGGTGCTGGCGATGTGTGAGGTACTGAAGTATCTGCTGGACAACTCGGCCGAACTGGTGGAGCGGCAGCAGTTGCTGCACTTGAACCAGATCAGTCAGAACGAATGGCAGAACTATGTAGACTTTATAAAGGGCATGCTGGTGACCAAGCCGGGCCATAAGCCGTGCTCGTTGCGTGTGGACCAGTTGGACAGGAACAACTCGGACTTGCCCGAGTGCGTGCACCAGGAATCGGGTATCTCGCATCCGGCCATTGTCCACTTTGGCATACGTCCACCCCAGTTGAGCTATGCGGGCAATCCGGAGTACCAGAAGGCCTGGCGGGATTACGTCAAGTTCCGGCATTTAATGGCGAACATGTCAAAGCCCTCGTTCAAGGACAAACGCAAGCTGGAGGACAAGGAGCAGCGGCTGCAGGAGATGCGCACCCAGGGACGGATGAAGCGCAACATCACGGTGGCCATCAGCTCGGAGGGTTTCTATCGTACTGGCATCATGTGCGACATTGTGCAGCATGCCATGTTGATACCCGTGCTGACGTGTCATTTGCGCTTCCACAAGTCGCTGGATCTGCTCGAGGAGAGCATTGGCTACCAGTTCAAGAATCGCTATCTTCTGCAGCTGGCGCTGACGCATCCCTCGTACAAGGAGAACTATGGCACCAATCCGGACCATGCTCGCAACTCGCTCACCAACTGTGGCATCCGGCAGCCGGAGTACGGGGACCGCAAGATCCACTACATGAACACACGGAAGCGGGGCATCAACACCCTGGTCAGCATTATGTCGCGCTTTGGCAAGGATCAGGAGACCGTTTCAAATATCACCCACAACGAACGCCTGGAGTTCCTGGGCGATGCTGTCGTCGAATTCCTCAGTTCGATTCATTTGTTCTTCATGTTCCCAGAGCTGGAGGAGGGCGGCCTGGCCACCTACCGGGCTGCCATTGTGCAGAATCAACATTTGGCTCTGCTGGCGAAGAAGCTGCAGCTCGAGGAGTTTATGCTGTATGCCCATGGTTCCGATTTGTGCCACGAACTAGAGCTGCGTCATGCCATGGCCAATTGCTTTGAGGCTCTGATGGGTGCCCTCTTGCTGGACGGCGGCATCAAGGTGGCTGACGAAGTCTTCACGGAGGCATTGTTCAGGAAGGAGGGAAAACTTTTGAACATTTGGAAGAACCTGCCGGAGCATCCGCTGCAGGAACAGGAACCGTTGGGCGATCGACGTTGCATTGACTCCTATCGCGTGCTAAAGGACCTCACTAGGTTCGAGGACTCGATTGGGCTGAAGTTCAAGCACATCCGCCTTTTGGCCCGCGCCTTCACCGACCGCTCTATCGGCTTCACCCATCTCACGCTCGGCTCCAATCAGCGCTTAGAGTTCTTGGGCGACACTGTCCTGCAGTTGATCAGCTCGGAATACCTGTACCGTCACTTCCCCGAGCATCACGAGGGTCATTTGTCGCTTCTACGCTCTTCCCTGGTGAATAATCGCACTCAGGCCGTGGTGTGCGATGACCTGGGCATGACCAAGTTTGCCGTCTACGCTAATCCCAAAGCGGACCTGAAGACCAAAGACCGCGCTGATCTGCTGGAGGCATTTCTGGGTTCGCTTTATGTCGACAAGGGTCTCCTGTTCTGCGAGCAGTTTTGCCATGTATGCCTGTTTCCGCGCCTCCAGTTGTTTATCATGAATCAGGACTGGAACGATCCAAAGTCCAAGCTGCAGCAATGTTGCCTCACACTCCGCACCATGGATGGCGGGGAGCCGGACATACCCTACTACAAGGTGGTCGAGGCCAGCGGTCCGACCAACACGCGTGTCTACAAGGTGGCCGTCTACTTCCGATCAAAGCGTTTGGCCACCTCCAGTGGCGCCTCCATTCAGCAGGCCGAGATGAACGCAGCAAAGCAGGCCTTGGAGAACTCGCGGGACCTCTTTCCGCAGTTGGATCACCAGAAGCGGGTGATTGCCAAAAGCATTAAGAAGCAGACGGGCAGCGAGGTGGACAACGATGCCGACAAGCAGCAGGACGAGGACAGGGCCAAGAAGCCCAAATACACGGCGCTCCTGCAGGACGAATCTCACTTGCCCAAGCAGTATCGCATGCACGAAAACATCTCCAGCGACGAGTTACCGGAGGATGATGAACTTGACAATGGCACTGCCAGGAGTCCGACTGGTGAGTACTCACAATCATTTTCGGTTGCTGCAACAGTTGGTAATCGCCTATTTACAGCAGCCCATCGCTTGCCACGGAGTGGTGTCGACAGCGACAGCAGCAGTGCCAGCGACAGCGACGACTCCAAAATAACTCCCAAGCGGCGGCGTCGCATGCGAAAGAGCTTGTCAGCGTCATCATCCCTGTCCTCGCCATCGTCCTCTTCGCCATTATCTTAGAAGGGAAGTCGACTGAATGTGTACTTAACTTCTTACAAAGTCGCTTGCATTTCCAAAAAGTACTTTAACTAAAATGTAGCTCTGCCAAAATAAAATAAATTGAAACGAAGTCAAATTGAATTTTGGTAAATATTATAGCCAATTCAAACAAAACATGAATGCTCTTCGAATTACGAGCCCAACAATGTGAAATGATTTCTCATTTCATGGAAGTCTCAGGTCCAGTGCTATTTGAAGAGGGACAATCGTCGCCCCAGACCGGAGCGTCCAGCACCGCCAAGGGCGTTGGTTACATGGCTCATTTCGGGCAGGCCGGTGATGTCCCCGCGCGCGGCCAATGATGGTGGGGAGCTGAGCAGTCGTGTGGCCACGCGTTGAATATCAGCGGCGGACACTTTCTCTGTAAAAGATAGCATTTACGAAGACAGTTTAACTTTCTCAGGGTACCGATATTCTTACCGATCTCCTTAATGAAATGCTCTGGCCGCTTACGATGTCCCGTCACGAGCACCTGACGCCCAACGTCTTCGAACACAACAGGTCGTGATTCCAGGTTCATCAGTAGCATCGATTGCAACTGTATTTTTGAGCGCATCAACTCCTCGCGGCCCGGTTCGGCTGCCATGCTCAACATTTCACGGATAATCACCTCGACCATGTCGTTCAAGTGCTGCGGCGGCGCACTGCCGTGTATGCAGAACAAGCCGGTGTCGGTATAGGCATGATTGTATGCTGTGGCACTGTACATCCAATGGTAGCGATTTAGGACTTTTGTGTAGAGCCGCGAGTACATGCCCTTGCCAGGACCGCCGGCAGAGAAGGAGCCCCCGCCGCCCATCATGATGTTGAGTACGCATAAAGCCACAAAGTCCGGATCCTGGTGGGAGCATCCCTCAAAGCCAAGAACGACATGAGCCAGCTCTGGCAGACCAGCCGCCGCATAAATGGGAATTTCGCAATGCTCCTAGAAATCATTTAAATAGTTTTTTCTTGGGTAATTATTTTATTGCAACTCTTACCTTCACAATTCCGCCAGTGTACTGGGCGATAGATGTGTCTACTTGCTTAGGTCCTACTTTGCTCTCTGGCTCGTTCTCCCAGATGGCCTCCTCTTCTACAAAATACTTCCTAACGTGTTCCACCAATTCATCGTGATCCACCTGCAACGATCCACGATCGTTATGTAACGAGAAAAACTAATGAGAAAATCAACTTACACCAACGCCCGCAATAACCATGCGGCTGGGAGAGTGATGATGCTTCAGGTAGTTCATTAGAACAGACCGATCTATGCTTTCCAGAGTCTCTGGCGGGCAGAGCTTTGGCAGGCCCAGAGTATTGTCCCTGTAGGCAGCCGCGTGTATCATGTCCATAAGTATCGGTTCCTGCTCGGGGCGCATGCCCAGCGTCTCTAGCTCAAAGTTTACGGCACGCGCTGCTTGATTCACCTCCTGCTCGCTTATCGTGGGCCGCAGAGTGACATCCGCCAAGAGACGCGTAACAGAGTCAATGGCCCTGCTGTCAATGCTGGCAGCATAGATGAGGGTATCGCGCGAGCTCTGACAGTCGCAGATGCCACCGTTCTTCTCCAGCTCTTTCAGTATGGCATCTCTGTTGGGAAAATTAACTGTGGACTTTGGAATATAACGAAAATTAGGGATTATCCGACATATGTACATATTTCAAACCAGACTTACATTGAAGGCTAGCTTTTCGAGAAAGTGCGACACACCGCCGGGGTAGGCCACCTCATAACGTGGGCCCGAATCTATAACCAGGCCGACAGTACAGAATTGTCCGTAGCGCGGCTCCGAGGCAATGCGCAGTCCATTAACAAGGGTCGTCACCTTTGTGATGGCACTCTCCGCCAATGGCGCCGCGTATACAGCCTCCGGCATGTTGGGCAGTGGTTCTGTTAGTGGCGGAAGATGCGTAACGATTTCCCTCGACGGCGTATTAACCTTGTTGTGGCCATCGTTGTCTCGCACTCCGCCGGTGATTTTCCCTATGCCTGTACCACTGCCTATTTCATCGCTCCCGATTTGCGTTACCTTCGTGGCGAAACGACGTGGAAATCTGCGAAATAATCGTGAAATGATCATGATTACATTAGCCGGGTTTGACATGCACCCACACACCCACACCCCCCCCCAAACCACAACCAAAAACCATCCCACACGGTTCTTACGTGCGCCAGGAGTGCTTGAGCGTTTTCATCATGCCGATGCCACGCGCGTTCATGTTGCTGCAGGTTTGGTGTTGTAGCCGATATTTACAAATTTGTTTTATTTATAGTTGAATTTGATTCAGAAACATATTCTATTTTTTCGGAACCGAAACAAAAAAACTTCGATGGAAAAAGAAATGTAGTCAGTGTGACCATAAAAAAACCAGGGAAATCCGTCGATCAAACGAGACTTAACCCACTTAACACCCATCTATTTAAAAAGTTTAGCACCCTTTGTTAAACCGCGGAAAATAATACTATTTGTAAAGGCTCTTTGTAGCTCCATCCTCCTCTTTACTTACAAAACAAAAATGACCACCGACATCTTTCACCTGTAATTCGTGAAATATGTTAAAGTCACATAAATTTCGTGGAAATATTAAATACCCCCCTGGTCGACAATGGGATAACGTTCTATTTTATTTTAAACGGGCTAGAGTTGCACAAACGACCAGCGCTGCCAACCCCCTACGAAGTTCCGAGCGTTTTTCCGTTAAAATGTAAACATTTATTTTTCAAATCCATTTTTCATTTATTCTCTTAATAATCTAATCGAAATTGAATCGGCGCTTTCCATCGAAACGATACCCATAGGCTGCTGCATTTTTCGTGTCCACCAGCGCAGGATTGCGATGTTTAAAGAAACTGCCATGACCATGAGCGGGGCGAGAGGCGCTATTCGGGACTCCTTCAACTTCACGCGGATAGAAAGCCTCGAACATGCCCTCAGGTGGCAGGCAGCACTCTGCTATCTTAGGATCATTGGGATCATAAGCTTTGGCATTCATCAGAGGCGTTCGTGCCAACAAGAAAACGGCCAATATTTTGAATAGTTTCATAATAACACTCATTATTATTTATCAATTACACACGCACGCGAGCTGTTTGTTGACTTTTACTTTTCGGCTACAAGACAAGACAGAACCACCGAACCCGTTTAAGCCTGACCGCTGCAAGCTGTGGACCAAGTAAAAATGTTAGCAAACTCGAATTATTGCGTTGCGTTGCTTGTACATATATGTATTTTGTTATTGTTGGTACAGACAGCTGTTGAATGCTGTTTGATTAAACCGGGTTGGCAGGGCTGCCCAAATAAGCTTTTTTCCCCCGTCTGACAAACTTTGAATCCGGCTAATCCATCCATCCTCCGCCCATAATATTGCTTTGTACCATAAAGGCCGGGCACAGACAGGACACAAAGTTCCTAAATAATATTGATAAAGAGAATTCCTTTTAATAAAAATAATAATTAGTAACCAACAATGAACGGTAAGTTTTCTGTTTCGTCCGGAGTCAGAAATATTCAAATGTGTGGAAGAATTTTGCCGACGTAGCAAACGAATATACATTTCCAAGAAACGAGTATAAATATATGTACATGTATGTATGGATCTGTGTATATGTAAGCAAAATAAGGATTGGCAACAAGCGCTTTCAAATAGAGATAAACCATTGATGGCAATTCCCAGAATTTTGTATGCATACACACATATGTACATACTAGCTTGTACATTTGCATAGGAATATCTAATTTTTTGCTGATAATCGCTAATTCCAGTGCCCCTTAATAATCATGAACGCTACCCACCTATTCCCCTGCCGCCGCCTGAAAATCCGTCAACATCTCGGGCGTTTGAGGCTGCGGATACCTTGGAGTCTGGACTAATCATAATACGAGCACCTACCCATGGTTATGAGGAAGTCTATGGTGAGGTGAAGAACGTCCTCTTCAATGACCAGACCATACGCAAAGGCTTCATTCGTAAGGTTTATTCCATTCTGCTGGTAAGTATTATCCAATGCCAAAAGATATCCATAATGGGACTAACGTTAGTTTACAAATTTACAGGTACAATTGCTTTTCACCTGTGCTATTATCGCCCTTTTTTTGTACCACGAGCCCACAAAATTCTTTGTGCAAGTGAATCCCGTTGTGATCGTTGTGGCCGCAGTCGTTAATATCATAGTTCTGATCATGATATCCTGTATAGAAAGCGTCCGACGCACTCATCCCACTAACCTTGTTTGTCTTGGCATCTTCACCGTCACCATGTCTCTGATGCTGGGTTGTGTTTCCAGCGTGATGGATGAAAACTTGGTGCTTATCGCTATTGGAGTAACAGCGCTGCTGGTCACAGCCCTCTCCGTGTACGCCATTCAAACTAAAGTTGATTACACTGCCATGGGCGGGGCCCTGGTCACATTTGTGATGTTTTCTATCGTCGTTGGCGTGAGCGTTATGGTCGTGCCGAGCCTCAGCGGAAACATAGTCGTGTCCTCTTTAATGGCCATAATTTCCTGCTTTTTCCTCATCTACGATACACAACAGATCATCGGCGGCCATCACGAATACCAGTTCAATCCGGAAGAATACGTATTTGCGGCTCTCACACTGTACGTCGATGTGGTTCGCATTTTCGTTTATATCCTACGGATTCTTCAGAGGATCAACTAGGGGACAGAGTACTTACAGGGAGAAAACTTTGAAAGCAGCCGCGGATCTTTTCCCAATTTAGCTCTCAATTCAAGGAACTTACTTATGCATGTATGTTTGTTGTTAAGATGATTAACATAACCATTTGATGGTTAGCCAAAGCGAAAAGCAGTGCCATATACCGGAATTAACTCTGGAGAGCTACCAACTAATGTGCTTCTGTGCCAAGTACCACCTACGAGTGGCACACTACATGCCAAAATGTTGTATCCAAAAATGAAATAATATTCTTGCATTATTGGTAATTCAATATTTTATAAACTTAATTGTTTTTGGCTCATCCTGTCCTACGATAGTTACAATAAGTTTTTATTATATTTATATATATATATGGATATCTGAGTGTACGTGTACGAGTACGTGTATAGTTATGGTTATTGGTATGGATGTAACTATAAAATACAATCACAAAATGTATGCCATTTGATATACTTATGTATTTACAGGGTATTTACGCGGTAGAAAATAACTAAACAGGGTAGTTCAACGATCCGCGAAGCGAAAAACGAGTAAGTTAAACAAGTATAGTAAGTAACTAGGGCTTGACTAAGGGGTTGGTTGTATCGATAAGCTACACGTATTAGTCTGCTGCTTTGATCTGGTCCTGATCTTGGTCTCCGTCATCTCATCATCTCAAGCGTAGAAGCTGCCATGTAAACGCCACTCCAGATCACGATGACCCCATCATCGACAAGCTAAGAATAGCATGCGTGCTAGCTAAACTAGATTAAAGACTTTTATTCGGTTTCAAGTTTTTGCAAATTGGCATCAAGCTTGCTTTGATCTACCGGCTCCTGAGTGTGTCGTGTGTGTCTGTGTGCGGATGCTCGTATAAAATGTTATATCAAATGCTGATCCCACTGATCCTGCCTGCGCTCAGTCCTCCGTGAACGGATGATCGGATGTCTCGCTGCTGTTGCGTCGTCGACTCTCCAGTATTCGGGTTGCCTGCTCCAGTGTCTCCTTGTAGAACATGTTCTTGGCATCGTCGCTGGGCAGCGAGTACTTTGAGTTGTCCCAGCGCCAAGTCAGACCCAGGACAATATTGAAAGCGGATGCATCGTAGCCATGGCAGCCAGAGTACCGATACAGCGGCTTCTTGTTGAATTTGCAGCCGTTCGATTGGGCACCTGGGGACACATACCGGGATACATACAAATTAGATAAACGATTAACTGGAAAAAGCTGTGCTTATCAACTATCAACGAATTATCATCTACCACAGTGCCAATTAGCCAAATATCAGATATCAAATATTATTCGTTGGTCGAATGGTAAAATGGACACGGCAATAATAGCGGATAAATCAGCCATCCAGGACACGGCTATCCAATGCGAGCTGCTTCTCCCACAAGGACACCGCCGGAGGACCTACGTATTCGACATAGCAGACATTTGCCTCAGACGCCGTCTAGTGCGCCGCTTCTATGGATTGCTAGTCGTAGGCCACGCCGAATCCGAACAACTGCAACATTACAACATTCCCATAACCATTACAGCTTCAGGTGGCCTGCACCCTGCCCTGTCTGAGGGTGATGTTGGACTACCCACCGCCCTATCCCGGAGCGATGGTTTCGTTTTTCTATCTGATGACCCTGTTCCTGTACACGTGCCTCTACGTGTGGCGCGATTGGCGCCGACCGGCACCCTACAACTACCTCGTCCTGCTCCTCAGCACGGCGATTAGCTCGCTGAACCGCAGCTTCTATCTGATATACATGGCCAAGTCGCATTGGGTGAGTGGCTACCACTGTGGCAAGGCAGCGATTAAATGGTTTACTTTCAGATCTACGCCTACCCCATCATTCTAATGGCGGAGCTTTTGGCGCTGATGCTGTACTCGGCACAGGAGCGCTTCAGATTCACCCAGGCTCGGGGCATTCTCATCATATTTCTTGTCTTTGGCATGTTTTCCCTGATGGCCTACAGGCTGAACCTGCTGTTTCAGATAGTCTACAGCATGGCCTGCACATTCGAGGCCTGGTATGTGGTCTACGACACCCACTGCATGCTCTGCGGACGCCATGGCTACCAGATTGGCGCTGGGGAATATGTCTATGCCGCCGGTAGCATTCACTTCGATCTCCCCAGGTGCATATGGAGGTTGCTGAAGATATTGATCCTAAGCAAGTTCGTTGAGGCTTTCCGCTGGATACAGGAATGCTTCAGAACGGAGGTCTGCTAGTCTGGCAGCTCCCAGCTGTCCCCAAAATAAATGTTATTTTTAAATTAATTTCGTCATTCAAAATTTCGTAATAAAGCAGTGCCACCGTGTTGCTGTGACATTTTTCAACTCCTGGGAAACGCCCCCACTGATTAAAGAAACGCTGGACCAACAAATAATCAGCAGCAAAAACAATACCATAGAAATAATCTGCAAAATAAGAGATTCAGGGTCAAACGGGATGATAAACCCGACCTGTGCTGCCACTGCCATGCGACTTCATTCGAAATCGATACAAACACCAAGAAATGGGAATTTCTGACTCGTACGCGAGTCATCAATGTGGGGGGAAATGTGCACATGATGGATCCCAAAACTGTTTCCAATTCGAAGTGTACGAAGCTCCCGATGTATCGTACATGCTCTCGCAGAAGTGCTTTTGCTTGGCTTCCGATCGGATTGATTTACAACGCGTCAAACTGAATCGGAAACAAACAATCCAGTGCTCTGAACTGCTCTTCTTCGGGTGAATGCATATGCATTCACTTTGTGGGCTCCCTTAGTGAATATCTTTACTCGGTTATGGCATTATGTTTGTACATAATATCGTTAAAGGCATGGCCGGACGGCTGGCAATATGTTTGAATTGCCTGAATTACACAGCGGAATTTTTCTAAGAAATGACATACATGTCATCATTTGGCCATAAATCCCAAATCAGGTGGAAGTAATCACACAAATTTACCCCGATATGAGGGCCATCACACAAATGTCGTGCAAATGGCGGTCATTAGTCCTCCAGGGGGCTGGTGGATGGATGGATGGTATTGTAGTTTGGAGCGGGGTATGTGATATGAAGGTAATTTTGATTGATTCCCCCAATCGGTTGGGGGCAAAGGAAAGGGCAGTGAAGGCGGCAGTCCCTAATGACAGTTTTCCATATCGCTTCGCTGTCTATTCCACTCACCAATTGGATCGATGCACTCCTGGGTGAGGCAGCACTTGAGCCACGGCAGCAGGATCTTCTCGGTGACAAACAGATTGTCCACGAAGAAGACCACATCGAGATCGACCATCCGGAGGAATATAAAGTCCTCGGCATTCGACTCGAAGAAGTCGAACATCTTGGGATGGGTGAGCGAGGAGACCGCCGTGGGCGTACTCCAGCCGAGGACACCGGCCACCATGCCGCGACTCTGCAGCTCCTGCAGCTCGTGGTAGCCGCCACGCATCCGCATGTAGTTCTCCACGAACAGCACTGACCGGGCACGCAGCAGGGCGTCCTTTATCACAATGGGCCGATAGGCGTGCGTCCGCTGGTCGCCGACGAACGAGGGGAACTCGGACAGGTCGTAGGTGATGACGGCGCAACGACTAATGTTGCAGTAGGCGTTGAGGGCCTTCAGTTGCTCCTCCGACACGCCCAGGTCGTAGATGAGCAGGTGCTCGCCGGGCAGTTTGACGGCGATGTTCTGGGCCAGCAGAATGGCCGATGGTGCCTGACCCTCCTGCACGTACGTGACAATGGTGAAGTTGCTCTTGGTGCCATTGTACGGCGTGGTGATCCGCTTGCGCTGCCCCACCTCCTTCTCCGGCTTCCCAGCGTTGGCGCCCGCTTCCTGTGCCTGCTGGCGACGCAGATCGCCAAGCTCCAGCTCCGCCTTGGTAGCAGGTCCTGGGTCTGTCTGTGGCAGCTGCTGATGGTCCTGCTGCAGCTCCTTTTGCTGCTGCTGCTGCATCTGCTGTTGCGAGCCATCCTTGGCGGTGGTGAAACCGAGCAGCACCAGATACTTGGCATCTATTTCGAGCTTCTTCCGCTCCAGCCCCACGCGCAGATTCTCCTGCAAGAAGCGCAAAGCAAATGAGATTATGTAAATGGGATTGCTTCTCGCAAATTAAGTTTCAATCAAGGACAGAGTGCTGACCCAGATAGCGTTCGTATAGGACTCCTTTCAGGCTGCTACCCCACGGTGCAAGCCCCAGTGCAGTGCAATCAATGCCACAAACAGAAACAGAGGCAGGAAGAGACACAGAGACAGAGGCAGTAGTGCCAGTAGCAACGGAATCCGCCTCGTCATGGGAGCAATATAAAAGGGACACATTCGCCACTGCCGGTAACTAGTGTGGGAAATCTTTTTATTGGGCCTCTCAGAGCGGCCAGCCCACAAACTCCCCAAAAAACAAATAACTCAAACTCGGCCGCGTGTGCCGCACAATGGAAAATTTTTGTGTTGATGTCAAATTCTTGTCTATTATGGCCACGGGTGAGCGTGCCACAATGCCCTTAAAAGCGATTCCCGTCGTCGCTGCTTTGCTGGTGTCAGGTGTTCGGTTTGTGGCATAATAAAACCCAGAAGGAATTCCACAGTCGATAGTCGTACAGAAAGATACCCCAGAAGACACGGAAATAAACTGCACACAAGGATATGCTGATTATCTGGTATCTGGTATAGTAATTCTAATTGGATTTTTGTGTAATTTTAATGGGTGCAAATGTTTCACTGGAGAACGGCTTTTTCGCGTTTCCGAATGTGACATATATATATATATATATATGCTGTATATACCCTTTTCCACCAGCAGTTCGACTTTATGTACATAGGCAGAGCAGGGTATTTAATTAACCCGCGCCAATAGCCAACTGACAAAGGGCCAGGCCGGGCCGGGCCAGGCTTGTCGTCGCCAAGCACAAATCGCATGACAACCTGTCGCCTGTCGCCTATGTCGCCAATGGCGGCCCGCGTGTCAAGGACCTTGATTGAACAGAGCGAAAGCCTACGCCTTTATTCAAAGCACACCTGCCCTGCCCAAAATGATGGAAATAAAAGCAGGATAGAAAATGATCGTAAGCCTCCTCCCCTTGGCTATTCCTTGGGGTTATTCGCCACATGTCCGCCCAAAACCCCTTGCATAACTAGTTTATTGATTTTATAGGAACTGGCTAGAAACGGTCGCCCTGGCCGTTGTTATGGGATGTTCCCTGGCGAAATCGAATTTTATTTTTCATTTCATTTGCCGCTGTTTGTGTCCATTTGCTGTGTGGCGCCGCAAGAAGGAGGCAATCGTGGGGAATCGATTTCAACAACATGGCAAAATTGTTTGGGGCAACAACCAAGTGAGCATTGGGTAAACGTTCCACTCACTCAATCGAGAATATTGTTAGTCCGCACGGGAGAGTAATTTGTCGAACTACAGCGGCAGCAGCTGAAGCCACAATGGAGGATCTACCGGATGACGAACGAAAATGCATCGAGGATGCTTTCGCTATAATGGACAGAGAGCAAGATGGTTCCGTCACCGCCAAAGAATTGGCAATCGTAATGCGTGCCCTGGGCCGCGCACCCACCGACAACGAGCTGCAGTCTATGATCAATGAGGTGGATGCGGATGGCAACGGCTCCATCGAGCTGGAGGAGTTCTGCAGCATGATTCTACGCAAGATGCACGACACCAACCACGAGGACGAGCTGCGCGACGCCTTTCGCGTCTTCGACAAGGAGAACAATGGCTACATCACCTCTGCGGAACTAAAGGTGGTCCTAACAGCCCTGGGCGAGAAGTTGCCCGACGACGAGATAGAGGAGATGATACGGGAGTATGACATTGACCAGGATGGCCATCTCGACTTTGAGGAGTTCGTCAACATGATGACGTCCCGCTAGCGTCGTCTTTATGTGAGTGCTGGGTTGGGTGTACTTTCTCTATCTTTCTCTCATCACCATCCTGTTCATATTCCCGCTTTTTGTTGTGCTTTGCAGGACGAGGCTCTATCGTTGACATATCTGTCACAAAGTTTAGTTTAAGATTAATTCAGACTTATTTACACTTCGACAAACAAAAACGAAACATAGTAAAAGACAAAAAAAACACACACACAAAGAATAAACCACACATTTTGGCAAGCCAGTAAACACAACAACCAACCAATCTTCAAATGTCTTCAAACTTAACACCAGATCAGATCGAAGAGATTCGCGAGGCCTTCCAGGTGTTTGATCGCGAGAACAAAGGATGCATCACCTGCAAGGAGCTGGGCACTGTGATGCGTTCGCTGGGCCAGAATCCCACCGAAGCGGAGCTCTACGACTTGATTGACGAGATTGATCTGGATGGGGATGGCACGATTGACTTCTCCGAGTTTTTGCATATGATGTCGCATCGAATGCAGGATATCGGCAGTGAGGAGTCCCTGCTGCAGGGCTTCAAAATCTTCGATCGTGACGGCAATGGCTATATATCCACACTCGAACTGAAGACCACAATGATGATGCTGGGCGAGAAGGTGACGGACGAGGAGGTGCGCGAAATTATGGCCGAAATCGATCAGGATCGCGATGGCAGGATCAGCTACGCTGAGTATCTCAGTGCCATGCGGAGCTAAGCAGGAAAATAACCCAGAACATAACCCCAAATACTCTACAAAATTCAAAGCAACAAATACAATCACATGAAGGGAAGTATCAACCCCATTCCGAGGAAATCTTTTTTTTTGTTTTTTGTAGTTTTTCTGGGGTCCACTTAAAGTTTCTAAGGCATTCTTGCTGGTCAGCGCCTGAGAGTCGGCCACACGCGGCACGTGAAGAAGGCTGGAGCACCCTTCCTTTGGGGCTTGGGGGCGCGTGACTCCGAAATGGTTGCATGTGCCTAATGGCCCTTTTTGGGGGAGTGCCCCTTTGGACTAGGACTGGGCCTAGCAGCAGCGTAAACAACCAGAGCCAAGAACGAGCCACATTCTGATTACGAGGCAATTTAAATATTTGACCAAGCACCAAGCATTGGCTGGCTGGCTGGCTGGCTGTTTACCCCTTTGTCTGGCCCCAGTTAGGGGCATTAATGGGAGAGCATAGTTCAATACTCGAAGGTGATGTGTCACCATCATACTACATATTTGTACATAAGCATTCTCACATATGCCACAAGGTCCAGTGGTCAGTGGTCAGGCCATTTCATATGTGAAGTGGGGTTCCGAGCACTAAGAAGTCTTGTTGGACTCCCCTTAGCTCTGGTTTTTTTTGGTAAACAGCATTCCTTGGATCGATGTGTAAGATGTCTAGAAACCAATTGTAGTAAACTATTCATTCATTCATTCAGTAACACACAAAAGGTGAATCCGAGTAAACAAAAATAAATAATTTTCTTTTTTGGGAAATTCCCAGCAGCAAAAAAAAGAATTATACATTTGCTAGATCTAAAATACATGAAGATACAATAAGAATGGATGGCAATCTGACTCCCGAACAAATCAAGGAGATACGGGACGCTTTTTCCGTTTACGACAGAGACAACACTGGCTCGATCACCTGCCAGGAACTGGGCGTCGTGCTGCGCTCCCTGGGACAGACGCCCACTGAGGCCGAGCTGTACGACATGATCGAGGAGATCGATGCGGATAACAGCGGTACAATTGAGTTTGTCGAGTTCCTTCAGATGATGGCCAAGAACTATCAGGTGCTCAACAAGGACGAGTCTGTGAAGGCCGCGTTCGAGGTGTTCGATCGCGATACCGATGGGTTTATATCAGCGCAGGAGATGCGCTACGTTATTGCCAGTCTGGGGGAGAAGCTCACCGATCAGGAGTTCGATGAGATGTTCCGCGAGGCCGATTTGGATAATGATGGGCAACTGAGCTACGATGAGTTCCTTCATGCCTATCGATCCTAGTCCCTGATCGAATTACATATTTTGTTTCACTTTATATTTGACTTTTGCTTCTGCCGCAGTGGGACAGGGACCCAACCTTGAAAATGGAGACTTGCCGGCTTTAGCAGAGCCCAAGGATTGCTGGGACATGGCTCATTTGTTTCCCATTCAATTATTAAAGACTATCGAGTGAATTCGCGACGCAACTGTCAACTGTCGACTGACTCTGCCGCCTCTGCCTTTCCCCCTCTCTGGGAGAACTATTTCATTCTGCCACTAGAAGTGCAAGTAAATTAGTCGAATTACAGCAACAACTCTGCAATTTATTCATGTTAATCAAATGTCACGGGGTCAGCCGGTCTCCATCATTGGTCAGGCCATGAGACCTACGCCCCACCCCACCCCACCCCTTTCCAAGTGCAATTTAAATAGATTATCTACCAGCCAGCCCCCCAGCCGTCTAATTGTGCTTCAGTGGGTGGACAACACAGCAGAGGACTGACATTGATCTGATGATGATGATGGCTGTCAGAATTCTCGATAATTCATCCAGCGGTCGGTTCTATCCATGGATAGGGCCATAGGACAGGCGCCATACAGGTTCATTGTTAAGTTACATTTTTGATTACCTCAATAGCCTTATAAATAGCTGGGGATATCAATATTTCATGCTGACTGAAAATAAAATTCTCAGAGCCGTCATGTCGGGCTCTACAGTTATTAAAAACTATTCTCTCACCTGCTTCGGGCGGTATTACGCGTACAATATCTCCATTCCGAGTGGTAGCAACTGTTCCAGTACTTTGGAGAGTCTTTTGGTAGCTTTTGCATTGAGTGCACGGTCTTTAAATGCGGTCAGCTCTTGGCGAAAGGCTTAAGGCCCCCCCGCCTTATCAGCTGCAAAGCACTCAGTCAGCACTCGAATGAGGGATATCCATACATACATACATACATATATGTATGTGCATATAATCGAATTGGGGAAACTCTTGTTATGATACTAGTTATCATATGTAGTGTGTAGTGTATCTATCCGATGGTCGTAAACTTAAATAAACCTTATATGCACATATATACGGGCGGCAGAACAGCTGGGCGTATTCCCACTCAACGAGCACTTAACCGTATGAAAATTGTAGAATTAATTCTAAGGTACAATTTATCACATTCATCGCTGTAGAGCGCTCAGCAATAAAAACATGGCAAGCCATGGCAGCTTGGCAGCCGAAGCTTTGAATACCCTGGCAAGCACCAAGAACTCTTACACGCTGCAGCAACTTCTGTAACTCTTTAGCAATCGATCTGATCGCAATACCCTATTCTAGCTTTTCAATTCGTTTGCTGTGCATATCCGAGAGGATGTGGCAAAGCACTCAAATCGAGGGAAGGCATCAAGCTGATGCATTAGAGACACTGGTCACTGGTCACTGACACCACCTGCCCTGTTCTTCCCTTGTGAAATTGATGGAAGCCGTCGTTATGCGTCACATGTGTCATGTATGGTAGCTTACATCGCATTATAATGAAAATTGAATTGAACGCATAGCTGTAAGTAAGCTGTAGCGTTATAAACTGTCTGTACTTGTGGCAAACCAGTTTAGTGCATTGCTACTGGTGGAATACAATCAGCTTGTTGCTACGAGTCGCTTTTATTGTTTCTGTTGATTGCGGCTGCGAGAACGGGTTTAAGAAGCGGCTGCAAAAACCAATCCAAATTACAAAATCAGTCGGCTATAATTTGTTCAGACTGCACTGCAGTTGTAGGGAATTCGCGTACATTTTTTATAACAGCGGGGAACTGCGCCATGCCATAGATAGTTGGATGATCCATGCCATGTCAGTGCGCCACAGAAAATCCATTTATGCTTTCGCTATCTTTGTTTGCACTGATACCGGAATGCCCAAATCGTACAGAAACGTTCTTATTTTCCGGGCAAGGCCGGGCCGGGCCGGCCGGGGCAGGGCGGGGCGGGTCCAGAGATAACAGAAAATGTTGTAAACTTTGTGCCAAAGACTCTTCTTTTTTATGACCCAATTATATTTTATTTTTTATGCGCGAACGTGTCGAGCAAAGAACCGAAATACAGCCGCACAAATCGGTGCTTTGAAACACCATAATTCAGTCGTGCAATCTGCTGTGTAATGATGTGGAGACCTGCCTGATATCGGATCACAGGATGACTTACTCGCCTCTTAAATTCGCTGCCATTGGTAGCCTCCAGAGGGTCTAGCCTGGTTGTGGCAGCCGTGGCCGCAATTTAATTAATGTAAACACAAAAATTGGGTAAACAACGAACCGTCAGGTTGCCTGAATTTGTGCCCCAAAATGAGTTCCATATGTGGGTCTGTAGGCAAACAAAAAAGGGCTGGGCAGAGCCCACACTGGAGATAACTTCCAGCGGTAGCTGACCTCACACAATGACCAACGGTCCACTCTGTGGGATGTACTACGCGTACTACCACATACATCATGCTGATGACTTTTGGGTTGTTTGCTCACTTGGCAGACAGCCTGGCAGACTGGCCGCGTGGCGTGTCTTGGAGTGACTCTGTGAGTGCCGCCCACCCAATAGGACGTGCTTCAATTTGGCTAAAAGCATAAACTGAGCGGAAAATAAGCTTAGTGTAGGCATCGTGGCATGTGTGAGCACAGTTCAAGGGCATGTCTGTTGCCAAAAAGTTGGCAAACATCTAACGTGTTCCTGCCAAAAGTGATGATTGCCAGCCAATCTCAGCCAAGTATCCCTACCAGAACTATCTTTAATATTTCTCTATCAACATTAAAGTATCTGCACTTTATATAAAGTTGGAGTACGTTCCATGTTCCATCTGATATGATGCGTGGCAGGTGTGAATCCTCAAAAGGTCGCGGGGGTAAAATATCAATTTCATTTCTCATGTGACACGTTCAGAACTTCAGACATGCCAAATCAGAGAAAAATATTTGTTCCTTGAGTCACATTTTGCGGAAAAAAAAAATCTCATTTGTGGGAAAACCTAAACCGTCATTTATTAAGACAAATTATGGACGAAAATTTCAGTGGGATCCCCTTGGGGGCGGGGACTTGCTCGTTTGCTTATCGACGAAAGCTTCAACAACAAAGCCGTCAGATATAGATATATAATTGTTATTTAATACCCTTATCTGGGCCATTGGTGCGAGTTTTGGGACTAGTGTGGTGCCGTGCTTCAATTGCTATCTGTTCACCAGACTTAGAGCCCCATTGCCGCCATGGTTGTTCCCTGACTCACCTGAAACTCTTTCAACTGCTGGTGCGTCTGGACGACGATGTTCTTGAATGAATCGTTCGGCTCGCCGGCTGGCCCAACGGCGATGAACACAATCGTTGCGAATATCACCCCGATTAGTATCAGGATCAAGTGTTTTGTGCGCATGGCCGCTAAAATTGACTTTGATTTCGTGTTGTAGCCAATTTTGCGGGCAAAAATGCGCTTCAAAGTAAGTGAGGCCTCCAGTATGATATTTTTTCCTATGGCCGGTGTAGTATTTGAGTATTGTCACGGCAATCCTGTTCAATTTCTCCCTCTAGGTGTCTTTTTGCATGGCGAATTATCCAATTATTTGAGCATATATTTGCCTAATTGGTTTCCTTCATTATACATAATCGTCGCTGAAGCAGCTTATTCTCTTGTAGTGGGTGTTGTCTGTATTGTCTGTAGTTTATTTGCGGGCCTGTTAATAAAAAACGAAAGCAAAGAACAAATATTATACTCATTGCCAAGCAGATTTGTTTCCGCGAATAGCTTTAGCCCAGACTTTTGGATTGCAGATTGTACCATAAATTGTACACAGAATGCGAATAAATTTAACATTTTCTTCATCTGTTTTTCTGAAAAAATCAATTTTTATTTCAGCGGCTTTTTTTTTGGGTAAATATTTGCGCTACTATAGTCGACCATAGAATGCCCACTACTTGGAATCATTTATGTACACTAATTAGAAACACGAAACAGAATTACTAGTACATCACTTTGTAGATTGCAATATGAATATTTACGGATATCTGTACCAGACACTTATCTATCAGATGAGATGCCTCGATCGATTCGGATGTTGATGTTGGTCAGGAATATCTGTAGCGTAATGATTCTGTTTGTGGCTAACAATAAAATGTCACACTGATCTAATCTATTGCACTGCATCTGTTAACGCCCTCAATCGCATTCGTAGATATGTACATATGATGCGTGACGGCCGCCCCTGGTGGGCGTTTATGGCGTCGAGCCAAAGACAAAGCAAAATGTGCACAAGGTGAGGGCAATGGCTCAATGAGCAGAAGATGATTGGGGCGATGACAATGATGGGCATTGACTGGCGCTCAACTTACGATTCGAGTGGCGCTCAACAAGGGGCTCCGGCTATTTTAAGTTTCTGCTTGATGTGCCGCTGTCGTTGTCTGTCGCGTTTCTGCTGCTGCTGATGCTGTTGTGTGTGAAGGAGGTTTAGCACTGATTGCGGCAGGTAGCACATTTTGCCGGCGCAGCTTCCATTAAATGGGCAGACACTCTGATAAGCGAATGCCACACTTACGCACACAAAAAGGCAGAGAGTTGTTGTTGCTATTGTCTTTACATAATTTTATTGTGTGTTCACCGACATTCACTTTCGTTCCGCGTTTGAAATTGTGAAGTATGAATTATTCGAAGCACGTTGAAAGACTAAATAACAAAACACTTGAATGCGGTTCAATACGACGCGACGCGATGGGACGCGATGCGATTGGCCTGCGGCTCTGTTGCTGTAGTTGTCGTTATCAACTGTTATACATATATGAATGCATCAAAATGCACAGGGCGTGTGTGTGCGCATCTGTGGCAGTAGTGCAGCCATTGAAGGGGAATCAATCAACACGCTGAAGCTAAAACTACACAGCCCGTCGTATCGTTGGACATTCTATTTTCCGGCTCGGCTCGGTCGTTTGTGCAATTACTTTTTTTCCGCGAAAGCACTCAGCGGACGCGGTGAACAGCTGGAGTAGGGATGTGAGTCTATTGATACATCAGCATATCGATATGTATCTTTGCAAAACAGTATCGATATTTTTGTGCGATATTATGATCTTCCTCTTCCGCTTTTTGTTAATGATTGTTGCGCAACTTTTTTAAATGTTGCTACAAAAATCGACGACAGGTGGTGCTCTGTATCCATCTCCACACTTGTTAGAGCCGATTTTGTTAGCTTCCCTTGCCAAAGGACCGAAACATTTAAAAAAAAAATAGACACCTCCTGGATTAGTTTACTATGAAATGTTACTTTATTTCTTGACTTTCATCATATTTTGTTTTTCTTTAGCCCATTATGTGCTTTACATGTTTGTGATTTGTATTTTTTTTTTTTGTATTTCGTTTACGTTTCTTTATATGCGTTTATAAGTCGAATACTCAATTTCCATTTACTAATGATATGCGCACACAACTAATTTTTCACTCCGCGCCATTAACAGAAAATAGAAAACCGAAAACGTATAAGAATACAACTCAAAAGATAGATTTGTTTGCTACAACATTTTTATTTAAGTAAATTATAATGATGAAAAGAAGGCGATTCATTGGAATTCTAAATGCTATTCAGCACTCATGCCCGCAGTAAACATAATTTATAAAGATCAATTCGTCTTCCCCAATTTCTCTGCTCTTCTTCCAAACCTTTTCGCTTGGGGTTTGTCTCATTCTTTTGCTTAATATAACGCTAATATAAGATTTATATTTTATATAATGCATCTTTTTACTTTGTATGGAATAACACTTAATTATACATTCACTTTATATAGTTTGATTTCAGTTGTAATCATAACGAAACAGAAGAATGTCTGTGCGGGCTGCTGTTTTCAACAAAAATTGAACATACTCGTTATGTCAATAATTAAATTTAAAAAAATGACTGATAAATGCAATTTGTAATTGTCTGAAGGGGATTTCGTAGTAGTAGTTCTTTCTTTTCTATGATTTGTGTGTGTTTAAGTGTGTGCCTTGTGGTTCATTTGTTGCCTTTGCTGCAGTATATAGTATCAAAACCACTAAATACTTGCCCATATAAATGTTTTCGTTTAAATATTTATTTATATATCGATTTATATATTTTACGCTAGATATTAACTATGCAAGGTCTGCATATATGCATTTTGCGCTTGATTCATCGTTCCGTCTAGATATATCCATTATTTCGTTTTTGTTAACAACATTCATAGAAAGGGGAAAGTACAAAAGTATACATATCTCATCCATAAGTTTTAGTTTTTCTTATTCCCCGCCCCACAATGGGGTACGATCCTTCTTCATACGCAGATTTGTATAAAAAAAAAAAAACAATGAAAATTGTGTAAAACAATTTAAACTTAAAGTACATAAAACACATCAAAGGGACACAACACGTCACAAGTTCTACCCAAAAATTCAGCTACACTACGATTTGTTGATGTTTGATTGGAGTGTTGATTGTGTTGAATCATAAGGAAACTGCTAATTATATTTATTCGCTCCGCTCATTCACTGTCAATGTTGAGGCCCACACGCTTCTCCTCCTCGAGCATGGCGTCCAGCTCGTCCGTGAGATTGGCCAGCATGTTGCCAATATCGTTCAGCACATTCACCGACACCTTCGGCGGCACACTCGTCACTGGGGCAGCTGTCTCGGGCGAAGCCATTGCATCGCCGCCGCCACCGCCGCCGCACGCTGGCATTGACGCTGACGATCCCCCTCCTGCGCCTGCGTCCAGGGTGGGGGAGCGCAGATGCAGGGCACTGCCTCCGCTGGCCGTGCTGCCCATGCTCTCGCTCCGCGCCAGAGTAGCGTCGTGTAGCGAACTCGAAGATTTGAGCGAGTGGAACGAGTGCGCAATGTTGGCAATAGTGTTGGTTGAGGAGGAGCTGGAACTGGAGCTGGAGGAGTGCAGGTGGGGTGGATGGCTGCCGGGAAGGGTTGTGGCGCCTGCACTGGCCTGTCCCAACTCTTGCCGGTTCAACTGCCGCTGCTTGATCGTGCCCGTGTTCTCGTTGGCAAACGGTATCGTGTCAATCGAATCGATACTGGAAGTGGACTTATTGTCGTGGTATTTCTCGCAGTGTATCTCCGCCGTGGTCTGCTGTATGGTGGCATAGTTCGCATAGATCGGCTGTTGGCTGCCCGCTGCCGCGGCTGCTGCGGCCGCTGCCTGCTGTTGCTGCCAGTAGAACATTTGTTGCGCCTGCTGCTGCTGCTGCTGTTGGGAGCCCACTGCCTGTTGCTGGGGCTGTTGGACTGAGCCGGCTGCACCTCCCTCTCCGCTCAGCGTGCGGGAGTTGCGTATGCTGCAGTGCCGTCGGGGCGGCTCTGGTGCAATCTTCTTTCCACTCAACGGGCTGCCACTTAGATAGTTCTGCAAGAAACAACATGTAACAATCATCTGGTCGGGATGTTCCAATGCCCACTTACCGCTCCTCCTTCGCCGCCGCTGGCTGCCCCGTACTCGGCTGCCGCCGCCGCATTCATATAGTGATGATGCTCCAAGGGTGGCATCGTGTTCAGCACGGCTCTCTGCAGGATTCCACGCTGCTGCCGCGGCAATGTGCCACCACCTTCCTCGTAGAGCAGCTCCCGTGTGGCATCATTGGTGGGTGTAATGTCGCCGTCGTCGTAGGAGCGCCGCCAGGCCATGGCTGCCGCATTGCTCCCCAGTAAACGGGCTGCCGCCGCCTGCTGCTGTTGCAACAGTTGCTGATGGTGGTGCTGCTGCTGGAGCGTGGCTGCAGCGGCCATGGCTGCGGCAGCCGCTGCCGTTGTGGGTGGCCCAAAGTGGCCGTAGTCCGTGGTCGTGTAATGGCTAAAGGTCAAATGGCTGCGGGTGCTGTTGTCGTGTATGTCCTCCAGCGATTCCAGGCTCTTGCCACGTGGCTGACGTACCTGCAGAAGGACGGAAGGAGACGAAGGGGAATTAGTTTCACGTTGCACTCGAAAGGTCAAGGCCATGCGTTTGTCAAAAGAAACCCCAGTCGGTCCCACCTTAATGAGCACCACATCGTTGCCCGAGCAACACTCGTGATTGCTGCCCGTGCAGTAGTAGGCATCTCCGTTGTTGCTGCTGCTGCAGCTGCCGCTGCCGCTACTGCTGCTCCCCTGCCCCAGGCACAGGCTGCCCGCAGGGGCAGTGGCATTCAGCACATTGCTGGTGGCATAGATTTTCGTGTCGTCCCAGGAGACGCGAGTGGTTGGCACATAGGATGGCGTACTTGGTATGGGCACATTAAATTGCCATGGCTTCCGCTGGTACTCCTGATCGTCGGATACCAAGGGCAAAATCATACAAAATGGAAAATCAAATTAGGTAAAATTATAAAAGAATAATTAAATTAAGCAATAATCAAATTAAATACTGAAAAGGACGTGACAGCTCTGCCTTTAAGGTGGAACACCGGCCCCCCCTTCCATTCACTGTATACGCGTCTCACCTGCTGTTGGTATGCATTGGCACCGCCTGGATTCCATTTGCCGCTAATGATGTCCTTGACCCGCTTGATGGCCAGCAGGATCTTCTTCTGGTGGCCCAGCTTGACGATGCCAATATCCTCGAGATCCTCCCATGTCACTTGGGTCACATCGCGCACCGTCTTGTAGTTCTGCTCCAACAGGGGCTGTATGTACTCCTCCAGCCGCAACAGCTGCAGCCATTCCTCGATAGAACCCTGAAATGGGGAATGGGAGGAGATGGGAGGGAGGGTCATAATCATTATGGTTTATGAATTTTCCAAATCAAACGCACGCCTCTGTCAGAGCTAATCACATTTGATTCATGTCAGGAAAGGGAACACAGATCAGCCCGGCTACAAATTGTCCATGAACTAGTTCAGACCCCACTGATACGATGCGGGGATTGGATGGGTTATGTGTTTTGCTGGTGTCTACCATGATGTGTTCCCCATCGCGTTCGTCGTCGTCGTCGGCGTCGTCGTTGCCGTTCCAGCTCTAATCAGTTGTAATTGATAAGATATGACATAAATCGAGTCAAAGCACAGGCATAAAGAAATGAATAAAAGCCAAAACTCGTTGCTGTCGTCATTAAACGGTAGCCAAGCGAGTAGGAGAGCCAGCTCCAATGGACGAGACGGGTCGCGACTCGTAGAGACGCACACACATGCCCCAAGAAGCACCAATGCAGCAGTCGAAAATCATCAACATTGATGCGTGGAAAGCTACATATGATATTTTTGTTGCTTTATACGACGATATACGATATGTACACGAACGCTATGATGTGTTAATAACTTTTTCAAGCTCTCTGCTCTTTTGGTCTTTCGGCTAAATTGCTGTTGATTTCGATTTAATTAAATGTTTTCTTGTTTCTCTGTGATGCTGCTCTAGTATGGTGTGATTTCGTGGTGGTGGGGTCTAGGGTAGGAGTCTGGGGTACTTTCCATTGAAAGAATTCTGCGAGTCGCCGTTTGGTTGTGGATATTTGAATAGAAAGGGTTTGGAAACAGTTTTGGAAATGTAAAGGAACTTAAGACGTTTAATGGGAGTATTTAGCAATTTTAGTTGAGTTGTGTACTGTACTGTACTACTCTCTGTAGCCCCAAAGAAACCATAGAAAACCCTGCACATAGTAAAGCAACATACTTATCTATGTATTGTATGTATGTTTCTACCAAAACTTTACCAGAAATATGCATGTATGCATGTTTATTCATATGCTAATCGAAATCCCCTATCCCCATTCCAATTGAGTGAAGATCTCCCAACAAATATTTTTATAAGACTTTAACAAAATATTTATCTAAATTACAATTTTGGTTTTTGGTTTTTGGGTATTTTTTTTCGGTTGGTTCAGTGGCGGGGCTTCTTCGAAATCCATTAGCAGGTAGCATATGGTATGACACTAAACAGACACACAGAGAGACCCGCAGCACAGCACAGCAACACCGGAGCGTCACCAGCGTCAATACCAGAAAGCAGCAACACCAACAACAACAACAACAGCAGCCGACCGACTGTCGGCCATCATTAGCGCAGGCGAAAAACAGGTTTTCCAACCACAACAACAACAACAACAACAACAAACTGTACGTACCGGGGCGAAAAAAAAGAAGCAAAGTTAAGGCAAAGAGTACGTCAGGCCGAAAACTAAATACCATTTTGAGTGTCTAATAACGGGTACCCCAGACCCCAAAGAAGAAACGAGAGAGCCCCTCTATGACCCTCAAGGTCGTTCGTTGATTGCGGTTTCTGTTTCTCTGAACAAAACGGAGATTGGGGCGACCGTTTAATAACTTTGTTCCTTCCCGCTGCTATGTATATCTCTCTCAGGTATTCCGTTTTATTTCCTTTTTCGCCAACAGATAAAAATAAGTGTGTGTGTGAAAAGAAAGCGAAGAAGCTGGTAGAATGTCGGCTAATGAGGGGCAGCAGGCACATCTCGAGGGTTGTGAGTAGTGACTTTTTGCAAAAAATAAGTGACGACTTTCATTTCCAGTGCGCCGTCGTTGTAGGATGATGATGTAAGTACAGGTACAGGTACTCGCACCTCACTCCCCAACCAACCACACCCCAAAGACAAAGAGAGTCGAGCACAGAGCACCGAGCACCGAGCTTCGAGATCAGCAAATAACGAATATCGGAATGGGGCGATAAAGTATCTACAACAACGTCAACAGGGGACGCAGACGCAGACTCAGACGACGACGCCAGTTGGTAACTCGACCAGAAACTTGGCAAACTTGCGAAAACAGTCACGGCGCGTTATATAAACAGCCGTGCCAGAGAGCCAGAGCGAGAAAAACAACAAAACAGAAAAAACAGCGCAAAATTCTACATGGATAGTAAAATATTATGGCATGGAGCATTTTTCAACTGAAATACAAAAAAACGGTCATAAAAGAAACACAGCGAACAGCGAGTTAACAAAACAAAAGCTGAGGTCATTTCTATTTGAAAATTGCATCAGCATAGCATATCATTTGCCCCTAAGAGATTGGAGGCACTGCTGCGATAATGAAAAACCATGCTGGAGGTTATTGCATAGCAGAAAGGAGTAATTAGTTGGAATCGACTGGAATGCGGCTCAAGTTTGAGCTCGGATAAAGGATCGATAAATGCGATAAATGGTATTTGTAACAGTTTTGCGGTTGCAGGTGGGCTGCTGCTGCAACTAGCAGCAAGTGGGCAGGGGCAGGGGCAGGGGCAGGGGCAGCATTGCATGCAATCTGATGAAATCTGTGAATCAGTCGAGGCTGCACACCCAACGCAACACAATATGCAGTTGAAGTTGAAGTTGAAGATTATGGCCGATGGGTGTTAATCACGCTTGGAATGCACCGTGTTAATGTGGAACTCAGGCAGACTCATGTGGATGCCATGTGGAGTGCATTGTTAATTAATGGCAACCTTCTTCAGAGAGACCTAACATTGCCTTGGATCTGTTTTAATAGCTGTTTCGGATCTAGTATTGAAGAGCGATGTTAACACGGTTATATTATGTGCATTTAGGGTTTGCAAATAGACTTGATACCCGCCGTGCTATGTGGAATGCATACTGATAAGACTCCATGGCTTGCCCCTACTCAAGTCACGTACGAACAACTATTATTGTGGTGTGGCTGTTATTTCGGTGTGGAACTATATGTTTCCAATAGGAAAAAAAAAAATGGGATTCCAAAGTCCTAGTTCGACAAGATATATCATGCCATGCCAATTCTATGCACAATCGTTTTATCTGGACACCTCTGGTGCACTTGAAAGTGTGTTAACCCCCTGGCATTGGCATTCAGATATATTATTTCTACATACATTTAGCTTAGATTCAGCTTTGAATGGAAATGGGCTTTGTGGGCAATTATTGTAGCCACTCGAATGGAACCTTGATCCGTCAGATCTATGGGCTAATGAACAGCTTCGATCCGTCGAACAATTATCCACAACCTGCTGCGACTTCAAGTTCACCTTAATGTCAACCCGGTATGGGCGCCAGATTCCACAATGAAATCCACACGAGCGGATTAGAAAATTTGTATATTTATATACTTCGCTCGCCGTGTTTTTAATGAATTGTTGATGTGAATTAATGTGCGCATAATAAATGAAATTCTTTCATTAACAATAAAACTACGAAAAAATAAACGCTGACGGTGCTTTTTCATCTCTTTTTCGCTCTCCGTCTCTACCTCAGTTTATCGCAGTGGTGCGGTGTGTGGACCGCATGTGGGAAACAAGTTTCTTTCGCTTTTTGCAAATGCTTTTTTAATGAAATATTTCAGATAAGCCGGCAACTAAACAAGCAATCAGCGGAAGGGGAGCCCGTCTGGAGCGGAGTGGCGTGCAGGCCAGATTATGGCAGGGCAGGGCGTAGCTATCCACAATTAGTGCCAATAGTGGCAAAAATTATCATATGACTAAGACAGTGGCTCTCCTCAAGGTGACTGGTAAGAGCTACACCGGAACGTATTATATTCAGATATTGTTGATAAAATCAGTGGACAGTTCTCTCTGTCTGCTATGCAAATGATTAAAGCACGTAACGACATAATATTCCATCCATATTTCCCCTGCCTATCACCTTGATTCAACACCCCCTTACATTCAGAGAATCTCTGTACTCTCTCCAGGCATCACGAGTCCAGGGACTGGTTCGAACGATTAGATAGGCGTATTTTATGTATTTCCCTCCTACTCACCGGCACAAAGTGGGGCAGATTGTCGAGCACTTGCAGCTTGTCGATGCGCTGCTTGATGCGTTCGCGATGGTGCGGATTCTTGATACCAATGGCGGTGAGATCCTCCGGGGTCATGCGGGCGATCGTGGGCAAGTCGTAGCCGGCGGCAATGAACAGCTGGGCGTACTCCTCGTGCTTCATCTCCATCAGCCAGTCGATGATCAGCTCATCGTTGCGCTGCCGGTCCACGCTGCCGATGGAGCAGGAGCTGACGGAGCTGCAACGGGGTGAGGAAAGCGGGGCCCGTATGGAGGCGCCCGACGAGGAGACTCCCGTCAGGTAGGAAGAGGCACGACCGGAGTCCAGGCTGGCGGTGCTGTGCCGCGAACCGGAGCCCGCCGATCCCGACGAGGAGCCGGGCGAGTCGCGTCCCGGAGACTGGGTCAGATCGATGCCCTGATCCTCCTGCAGAGCTAGCTGCTGGTGGTAGTAGACCGCCGCCTTGTGGGTCAGCGGTTCTCGCAACGTGGCACAAAAAACGGGCGGCGGGCATGGCACAATGCTGGGCAGCGGGGCGGAGGTTTTCCCGGCGGCCGGTGGAGCCGGAGTCACGGCCGCTGTGGGCGCACCACCCGCCTCATCCTTCATACGCAGGGCCACGCTCGTCTCGCGCGGCAGATTGAAGCCGCCCTCTTCCAGCGAGGGCGACGAGACAATGCTGCTGCCACTCATGCTGATCCCATCGTCCGCCTGCTGCTGCTGTTGGTGGTGGTGGCGGAGTGGTCCGCTAAGCCGGTACAGCGGTATCAGCGGCTGGTGGTTGCCTCCACTGGGCGATGAAGGCAACTGCTGGAGTGGGTGGTAGTGCTGGTGATGCTGCTGCTGATGCTGCTGCAGCGGATCCCCAGGAATTGTTGGCGGTTGAACCTTCTTAGCTTGTGCCGTGGACGCATGCGGCTTGAGGGAACGATGCATGATGGGCCTCTACTGGCCCCCGGGGCCGTACTTTGTCCGACTCCTGTGGAAAAAGCGAGAGAAAGAGAGGGAGACTGCAGTTAGAAAATGTGTCCGCCAGATGTGTGTGCCAGAAATGAGGAAATCTGCATAATTGGTCATAGAAATTTTGATGTGCTGGCAGCATCTCTAAAAATAGGGCTCACACTGTGTTTACGCGATGCGGCACAAGTCAATAAACCGCTCTCGTCGGGATGGCGATGGGGATGAGGCAGGGTCTGCGTATGAGACTGGGGCAGTCTCCAGTTTCTAGTCCCCCCGCCGCCACATTTATCGACTCTGTGCCCCACGAGGGGGGAAAGTAGCAGACGCCGCAGCATCGTATTACCAGTTTCATTCACAAAAAAATGTCAACAAAGTAGGTATTCGAATGTAGAGTACCCTGTCTAGGTCAGATTTTTACCAATTAATTCTAAAGAACTGTTAATTTAACTTAGAGTTCTCTCTCTACGTGGTGTTCTTCCCAGCACTCTCTTTTGGCAAGCTGTTCTAACACTGCTTAATAGACTCGGGATCTTAGAGCACTGCACTGCACTGCTTGCTATCTTGCGGTAAAATCTCTTCTCTCTTAATGCAAGCAGCTAATACGCCCTTGATACCACCAAAAACAAACACACACACATAGCCGAGGAAATAAGCAGAAAAGATGAAGAGAGAGAGAGAGACTGAGAGAGAAATGCACCTAGGGAGACAGAGAGAGAGAGAGAGAGGCTGATGGCGAGGGTAAGGGCTCGGGCTCGGGCAGGCGGCCGGCACGAGCTGTGTCAAAGTTCGTTGACTGCGCTTTGCGGTTTGGGGCAGGGCGGGTATGGTATGGTACAGACATGGCAGCTGCTTGTCTAGTCGGCAACGTCATAATACACTTGAAAAATGCACGGGCACGGTCCGGGCAGCCTCCGTCCGTAAAATCTGGCAAAAAGTCACGAACAATCTCTCCTCCTCAGCATGTCATTAACAGCAAGAGCGAGACATAAAGCCACAATACTTCCAGTACTTGGAAATAATAAACAACAGCAGCACACAAGCCTTCCTGCAGCAGCAATTTCCTGCGAAACAATGAAACAACTACAAAGTAATCAGAAGTGCACTGGCAACACACACATTCCGAGCCGATAACAGCAGCAGCCACCTGTTCGATCAAGTGCCGCCTGATGAACGGCCCGGCCCGGCCCGGCCCTGCTTGGTACGGAAAGCAGTGCACAAAAGCAGGTGTCATAATCCGCTCTTTTTGCGTGGGAGTGTGTGGGAGGCGAAATGCAGGCAGAAAACGTAGCGGATAAAACAAATAACGGTGGCAGTAGTAAATCTCATTTACAAGCTTTACCTCTGCTCCGCCGCAGCCGGTGGCACCGCCTTTTAATGAATTTTTATGTATGCGACGTGCCGAAAAAAAAAACTGCAGTCAGAGTAAAGCCGAAACCCCAGCGAGGACACGCGAAGAGAGCAAGTGAGAGCGCGCACAGGAGAGAGAGAGAGAGGGGCAGTGGCAGTGGCAGTGCAGAGCAGAGCAGTGCCGCTTGCATTGGAGTGCTTGTTGTTGCTGTTGTTGGCGTAGTAGGGTAGTATATCAACGAATGTGGGTTGCATGCGGTCTCTGTTGTTACCACCCACACTCCATGCCCGCACCAATCGTTCCACACTCCCCTGCCAGATGTTGTTGAACCGTTTCATGTGGCCGGCTTTCCTGCATTTTTCTTTCAAATGTTGTCTTTAGCCCCCTCCTGTAACCACATTTTTATGAGTTGCCATTGTTGTGTCGTTTGGATTGTAAGTTTAATTGCGAACATGGCCCACTGTACACACAGCAGGGTTGTCGCTCCCCACCACATTGCCATTCTTGTGGGTGGGTGAGTAATCCTGTAATGAGCATAACACTTGCTCACAAATACTACAGTGAATGGTCGCTATCGAAATCGATTCCATTTGGACAGTTTCCCTTTAGCGAATGTACCCATCGTACATGGTATACAATTTTGTCTGTGTGCAGCATAAAAACTGATTGGAAATGCAATTGGAGGCTTGGGACCTTTTTGGGTGTTGGGAAATATGTACATACATCCATACATACATAAATATATACGTACGATACATAAATACTCGTACAGAAAGGGAAATATTAAGAGAACGGGGGAGGAGAGGGAGTAAGGGAGCGGTAGAGGATTGGGCAGCGGCTGAAAGATTTATTGATTGTCGTTGTCGTCACACTCGCTCCCACCCATATGTACATACATACATAAATATGTGCATACATACATACACATTTATGTATTGATAAATGTACAATGAAGCGGAGTTGCGGTTTTGAAGTTGGCAGCAAAAAACGCTGAGCAACTAAAAATAATTATGGCTGCCAATGCTCTCCACTTAGAGAGAACGAGATAGAGATAGAGGAGAGCAAGCGAGCGGTGGGAGGTTGTAAAAGGGATAGATAAACTGATAGAGCAGAGTGACAGCAATTTGTATACACTTACATTTGAGCAGATCATATGCATAAAACTATTATTGTCGTATTTAAAATTATTTTTACTATAATATCATGGATTTTATTCTGGACGCAGAGTAAAAAAGCGGTCCACAATATGTATACTATATCTTCTAAGTGCTGAGCTAAAGAGAGTAAACGTAACCTTATATTTCACCAAAGTATTAATCTACATAACTTTACATAAATTGAGTATATGTTAGACATCCACGCACTGTGTATCGATCAAATTGACCACTAAGCAGCGAGAGAGTGATATCATTGTACGCATCAACGCAATATTCATACACTCATCAATACATCACGCACACTAAAAATAACTTCTATACACACAGCTGACGAAAGCGTATTTAATCTTCGTTAATTTTCCCATTTAGTTGCTCATTCTCCCCCTTTTTCCCCATCTATTGTATCAGGGAGAACCGTTAAAGTTTACTGGCATGAGTAATCGGCCAAATGGAGCGCAATAAAATGGCAAACGGTAACACGGCCAATCTATCACAAGAGGCGGACCGGCACCAGCACCAGCACTACCACACCATCACCATCACCAGAGGGGGGCACCCACCATATCATCATCGACTTGGTTTCGTTGCCCAGTCAACGACCACCCAACCTCCCTCCCTCCCACCGGATGGGACACAGGCTGGAATCAAATGAGGCGCATCTCAATCTCATGTTTATTAACGGTGCTCAACTGTCTGTGTAGATACATGCATGCATGTGTGTATGGGTGGGTGGGCAAATGTGAGTGTGTATTGGTGCTGGTGTCATTCAGCCAGTTAGATAAAGGAGGGCTCTTTCATCCTACACCCCACACTTCCCCCCGCCCTTTGGGCCAGCACTTCATTATCGACAACAAAAGCTGGTTCGACTCTGTGCCTCTTCTTCGTTATCATCTGGTGCGGGTGCTTTGCATATGACATGTTCATGCTGAAGCCTTTTGTTTCTCTCACTCGCACTCTCTATCCCTATCTCTGTTTCCCATATTTCCCTCTTCATTTTCTTCATTTTGTCCCAAAAATGCAATGGACAAAGTTTTTTCGTGTCTACCACGCCCCAGTCTGTGGGAAAGCAGAGGCAGCGTACTTAGTAGAATATTTTGTCAAATAAAAAAAAACCGAAGAAAAAGCAGAACTGCACAAAAGATGGTGTCGATGATGCTGCTTACTTGCCCCCTTCCTCTGTCCCTGTGCTGTGCCCCCCCTGTGCCTCTTGCTGCCACAGTCTGTCGATAGCTCTCGAGAGATGTTGATCTTGCAACTGCAACAACAACAGCAACAATACATGGCCAGAGGCAGCCCAAACTTGTTTTGCCTGTAAAAGGGAGTTGTCGTTGCTGCTGCTGCTGTTGTCGGCTGTGCATTGTCTCTGTCTCTGCGTTTTGTTTCAGGTTTCAGAAAACGCCAAGAACAGGCAAAAACAGTACCATGACAGCTACATACATATATGAGGCAAAATGCATTAACAACACGAGTTCCTGCACCGAGAATACCCTGCAATAATCTATTCTGCATTCTGAAGGACTCTCAAAAAATATTAGTTTTTGTTTTGTCGTCGCCACCTTTTAATAGAGCCCTGCCTCCACGCTAGTTGCTAACGAATATAGTCAAAGAAATGAAGTACAAAAATTGGTAGTAATCCATGTGTCCGACCAGGAGAGATATTTCCTTAAGAGAAGCTCATTCTGAATGTTGAAAATATTACTCTTTGCAATATTTTCTTCTTGAATAGAACTCTCAAATAGCTCGTCCATCTCTTTCCCCAGTAATCACATTCTGGATTCCACACATATCAAATATACCCCTGGCTTACCCTGCTATGTCTGTTTGGGCATGAAAGAAACAGCAACACACAAGAAAAAGCTCGTAGGAGTAAAATGCAGCGCTGAAGATGTGTCGAAGGTGTGGGCGGACGGGCGGAGGGGTGCACGGATAACTTACGTGCAGTTTAACGGTTAATGCAAACGAAGACGACAAACGAATGCGTTGCGCATATGGCACAGCCCCACAGTCGGACTGTCCGGCTGTCCCGTCCCGAGTCCCCGGACAGCAGAGACGAGACGGACCAAATAAGGCTGACAGCACGTACACAAGAGAAAAAGAAATACGAGTATAACCAAAGAAAGAGAGACACCAAGCCAAAAGCGGCCATCAATTCCTTCTTTTTTTTTTGGTCAAAGAAGGCGCAAACGGAACGCGAACAAGTTGTAAGGCGAGCAATGAGTGCAGACAAAAGCAGTTACAAGACATTGACGGAGAAGAAGCAGTGCCATAAGAAGATAAGGAAAGGTGGGGGGGAAAGAGGAGGAGGAGGAGTAGGTGGAGGAGAAATGAATAATGGAGGGCAGCCGCTGAGCGTTTACAGCTACATTGAACTTTAGAGACTTTTGAAGCACTTGCCTCGCCTTGGCCCCCCGCTCACCATCCCTAATTCCTCACCATTACTATGCCGAAAAACCGAATGCGGCTACTACGCACACACACACTTTTACGCCATTGCACATACATACATGCATACACATGCGTGGGCTCGTTCGCAAAAACAACTGTGCAAAAAACAGGGAAATTACCATTGTTAAAAGCTGAATTTGCTGAAAATTTTTATTGATTAACACAAAAGACACTGGAAATGCACATTAAACATCAAATTCAATTAAATTGCAATTGATTTTCCGCTAGAAAATTCTGTGCAAAAATCTCTTTCACGCCAACACGAAAACGTATATGTACACACACACACACATACACAACCACACGCGCGAACGAGAGCTGCGAGCGTATACCGAAGTGTGGCCAAAAAGCAGTAGCATCAAACAGCGGCAGGCAGCAGGAAAATATTTAGCTGGCTTTTAGATTTTAGGTTCCGAGGAGGCGGCACGGCACGGGACCGACGACGACCGCAAGCCAAAGCGTATTGAAACGCGGCTCCAACAGCATTCAAAGCCAGGCCAAAAGCCAAGTTGGAGCTAGAGTCCTCGAAGTTGCACCGGAGCGGGAGAGCGCCAGGTTGTGCGCAACTTCTCTCTCTCTCCCTCTCCGGCTATGGACTCTCTCATGTGCGGCTTGACGGGGCAATTTGTTGCAATTGAAACAATAACAATTCCACAAGGCAATTTGTTGTTGCCTGGCAAATTAGTTTGTTAATAAATGAATGAAAGATATCAGCGAAGAAGGAGAGAAAGAAGGGAAAGGGAAGCAAAGAGTTTTATTCCCTAAAGTACGAGCTACAAAGCGGTTTTGTGGTTGCCATTGGAAACGGTGAAAATGCATTCATTCGGTGGGCACAGTGGGACAAGTCGAGTCAAAATGAGGCAAATAATGAAGAGAGGCTAGAATAGACCATTATTAATTTGAGCGAATTTAACAAGACAAGAAATGCCAGTTGAAGTTGGTACTACCAATCCATTATCTTCGAAATGTGTCCGTCCCACTGTGCCACACGAAGCAACAAAAAGGCAAACAAAACTCCACACACAAACACAGACATAGGACCGAACACACACACACCGACTGCTCGTCAACCACTTTTCATGCTGCATAAGCCAATAAGAGAAAGAGAGAACCATAACCAGAGAGCCAGAGCGAGTGAGAGTTATGCTAAGCTTCAAGCTGAAAAAAGGCTCCAGCGGCAACTTTATTCATTTGACGTGCGCGCAGTGCCCTCTCTAGCTCTCTTTCTGGTATTCTCTCTCTCTGGTTAATCTGTTACTAGCGCTGCCCCTCTCCCAACAACAGTTCTAACACTTCATTGGAGCTCGTTGCGACAACGACATCAAGTCATTTGATTCCCACACAAATCTCTGCATGTTGAGCGCGACTCTCCTCCTATCCCTCGCTTTTTCTCGCTCTCACTCGTTTCATTATGGCAAGTGAGTTATGGGATCTGGTATGTGTCTCTGTGTGAGTGTGAGTGGACTGCGCTTTCTATTGATTTATATGAGTTTTATGGCGCAATCTGAGCCATACAAAAAAGACTTCAAGTCCGACGACCGCTTAGAAGACATCGAAAACGCTCTCTGCATTTTACATTTAATTGCGCTTTGTTCAAAAACTAACATAAATTATGCAAATTTAAATGAAAACTTTACAAATCAGTCAAGTTCTACTCCTCCCCCGATTCCATTGTTAACCAGAGTTGTCACGCGCCAGACGACGGCGGCGCTCGAGCATGACGCTGAAGAGCTCTACCCCAACCCCTGCCAGCAGACACGTGTTGGTTTATTAATTACATAAGCCGCACACCAGCTGCAGCTGCAGTTTTCGTGTTTTATTTATTCCCTTTCTTTTCGGAAACCCAATTTCCTGCAGATGCTGGAAGATGCCGCACAATCAAACGGTGAGAACAGCTGGCAACCCCTAAAACTGGAAATGACAGATGGCGGTGTCGACGCAGACGCTGGCAGCGCAGGACGAGGTGTCCCGGCTTCAAAACGTAAACACTGCCAGAGTTGCCGACGCACAGTTTTGGTTAATGGGACTTTAAATACTAGTACTTACTTTTAACAAATCAAACGTAGAGTAGACTCTTTTCCAGCTTTTAATTATCTCTCTTTTTTGTCATAAATTACAGGCGCAGCGAAAATGTAAACAATTGTTGTTGCTGTTGTTTGTCGCCTAATGAATTTCACGTTTTTATGACATTTTCTACAAACACAAACCGGGTGAAATAGGGAGAGGGGGGGTCAAACAAACACTCGCGCTCACACACACATGCACATACACTGATACGGTCCGACGTCTTTTATTTTATGTCTGCGACGCGCGCGCCACAAAGTAAAACATAAAAACCAGATTAATTTCGAGCAGCCGAAAATGTTTCTTCTTTTTGGTTTTAAGCTGCGCGCTGCTTACGTTGTAGCTTTTGTAGTTGTTTACTCCGCCATTTTCTTTCCCACCATTTGGGCTTCACTTTTCGTGGCTTTGGAAGAGCCCGTCCATCACTTTACACTTAAACGCAGTACTGCTGTGATTTAAATAGCTTTCAGATAATTTTTGTGCTAAGCATTTTCAAATTTCAATCGCTTTTCAAACATTGCACAGCGGAGCGTGGATTCGCTTCCGTTCCGCGTAGAAACAAAAACAAAAGTGGTTGGCAGTGTGACCATCGATGGCAATATATCGATGAGCCCTATCGATAAAATTACTGCTAGTCCAGGCTATTTTTTAAATTATTGGTTTTGCGACTATCATGATTTTTTTTCGAAACTTCAACGTTGATGCTTCTCAATATGTTTGGATTGGCTAGCTACTAAATACGAAGACAAATTTGTAAACAAATACAGGTGGATAATAATTTTTTCAAAATGGACAAGTTCCAAAGGTTTCAATGGTTTTTTTACATAATTAAGGTTCAAACTAAAACGACATAGTATCGAATGTGTCTCGTTTTCAAAACATTCAACGTTGATATTCCTGCTGCCATTTCGTGATATTCTGTGATAAAATTCGTCAATTCTAGCTATGCTTAATTCTAGATAGTTGGCCCTCCCCGTAAACAAATAATTTTATCCGATAGATACATACATTTTTTTAGAGATTGGTTAGTTTTTAGAAGTCCTTTTTATTGGATTATTTACATATTAAGGTTCAAACAAAAACAAAGCATAAAACGTAAATGTTGTCGTCGTTTGTGTGGCGCTGCCAGACTCGTGCAATTCGTAGTTGCTGCGGGCTTTTGCCATACCTTATTTCCTTTTGTGAATATTATGTTCCAGTGAAATATTAATAGATTTTATCCTAGATTGGTTTATCCTCTTATTTTTTGTGTTTTTTCTTCCCAGTCCTAATACTAAATAATTTTTTATATCTTTAGAACGAGATAGAATAGTTTTGCATTAATTCACATTTTGTTCAGGATCGTGCTAGTTTTCAGACATTCTTTTTCCATTGCTGAAATTTTCTACATTCCATACGGGTACCCGTTGGAATGGAACAATGAATCTTTATTCTACACCATTGGTATGGAAGGTAATGTCACCAACGAAAACTCTCTCTTCACCTCGGAGAAGAGAGCAAATTTTGAAAAACCACCACGATATGACAACGAATAATATCGATATTTTTGTACGATAAATGCAGTTTGGCGGTCATTTTGAAAAGTATCTTAATATATTGAAAAATAAATATTTGATTTGTTTTGTCGGTGCTGTTCAGTGTGACTGGAACCTCAAAAATATACCATCTGTTAATCAAAAAGAACGTAAATATACAGAGGAAAATTATATTAAAAATTTTGATATTCGATTAAACCAATGAATCAATTTGCACATCTTAACTACACATTTATACATATCAACGACCTATTTGTGGAGAATGGCACGTTGAATACCTAATTGTTATAAATAAACTTTAGTCCTAAAGACTTTTTTTCTTACTGACAAACATTTTACCTGGAAACATAAATAACCTTACCCTACCTAAAAGGGTTATACCATGGGTTCATTTTCTCGCAGTGCTGGCAAACGTGAGTTTTAAATAGTATGCAAAAATACCTTTGGGATATTTTGAAGTATATTTACGGTATATTATGAAAATGAGAAGGTATATTTCAGTATATTTTGCGGTCACACTGTTGGTCCCCGTCCTCGCTCCCCAGCGATGTTAGATTTAATTTATTTAAACAAATTAAACTGCATGCCAAAGCCAGCAAAGAGACTTTAAATTAAACTCATTCGAGTGCCTTCAATTAAAATGTGTGTGACATTCTAATTGGCTTTCGTTTCTGTTCTCGGGTGTGTGTGCGTGTTTCGTTTTGTGTTTGATTTGTCATTCCTTTGCGGCGTTTGTTCGTTCGTCGCTTATTTTTGGTTAAACAAATTGCGTTTTCTGTGTGTGGTGTAAGCATTTGATCTAATGAAAATTGCTTAGAGTTAAGAATGGTATTAAATGGGCAATTTGTAATTGTAAATAGACAGCGGCACAATTGAAAAATGCAAATTTATAAAAACAGGTTGTTGAGACTCTTTCTCCTTCTCACTCCCTGCCCCTACTATACCTCTCCTCTCTCTCTCTGTCTGTCTGCTAATCGTACGCTTTGGTATTTGTTGCGGCATTTGTTGCCAACTGTGTGAGAGAGAGAGAGAAGGAGAGCTTGTGCAAGTCAATGCACGGCATTAATTATACCCCAAGTAAAAGATACCAAGTAAAACATAACAAAAAGACAACTAAACTTATTTTCCTTCTATCATGCTTGCTGCTGCTTCCTCTTCTTCTGCCCTGCTTTTGAGGGGCGTTTGTTCTTCTTCTTTGGGGCATGATTCATTTTGGTTTGTTTTGGATTTGTCTCCATTTTGCGCAACAGCAGCAACAATAGCTACCTGTGGAATGCCTTCCAAATGTCAAAGTTGACAACAGCTGTTTTGGCGCCAGTTCAAATTAGAAGTGAACTAGTATTTATGTAGTATGTGGGCGCTATCTTGATTAATCTTTTATCTTGTTCTTTTGCAGTTTTGCTGTTATCTTTTCGTGTTTTCGTTTGTGCGTTTTCGCGTGTGTGGTGTGTGTGTGTGAGTACGTGCGTGTTTTAGCAAAAACAAATCTATAAAAGAACGGTAAAGCAAATGCAGAAAATGCCATCGCAAATCTTAAACGACGGCAGCAGTGGCGCCGGCAGCCTGAACAGCGCCAATCCGCTGGCCAGCACTCCCAACAGCATTACGGTGAAGACCGCCTACAATGGCCAGGTCATCATCACGACCATCAACAAGAATGTCTCCTACGAGGAGCTCTGCTATGAAATACGCAACATATGCCGATTTCCCATAGATCAGGTAGGTTTTGCAGATTGACCCTGTTATACCTGCATAAACAAAGTTTAATTCCCTCTTGCAGCCCTTTACCATCAAGTGGGTGGACGAGGAAAACGATCCATGTACGATATCCACCAAAATGGAACTGGACGAAGCCATACGATTGTACGAGATGAACTACGATTCCCAATTGGTCATTCATGGTGAGTTCTTAAGCCATTTAATGTAAGATATAGAATCTAAAAGATTCCCATGATGAACATTTAGTACGTAAGTCCCCATAAAGTCAACTGTGGTTGGATGTGGAACAAGTACGTATACTTATACTTATCAAATGAGGTTACTTCACTTATCGTTTGAAAACTACTCACTTAACTGAGTCATATTATATGTACATGTGTATATATACATATACTATACAACGCAAAACCATACAAACTTTCAATATATTTACGTAAGATAGTAGAAAATTTGTTCAATTTTCATTCTAGTTATGTCTTTATATTCGTAATCTTCTATCTGTGACCTCTTTTGCATTTGGCGGAAGTTTTCTTTGCTAATTATTCAAACCAAAGTTGTATCCCTCAATTTTGATTGAATAATCTCCGAAAAGTAGACTGCAATAAATCCATTAGCCAATAAGCAACACCATCAAGGGCCCTGTTTGAGCCTGCTTAAAAACATTTAAGCTTGATTAGACGGGATGAGAGAGGGCACAGAGGGCTTTATTAATCCAATAAAGTTGGGCATTTTCTGGCTCACATGCAGCCTACCCCTCTGAACCCAGTCATTGCCGAAAGGCAAAAGCATCTCTGCGACTTAATAACATAAAATATTAATTAACTTTTACACACACACACACACACACACAGAGTCACACACGCTCAATTGCCAGAGAACATGTCTTGTGGCATGGCCTAAAGCATACAACGTTTTTCTCCATTTTTCCATATAAATTCTGTTGGCTCTTGGCTTGTCGGCCTCGTTTATAATTCATTATAATTAAATTGTTTGCTCAGTGTGGGTTTCGGTTTTTTGGCTCCTCTTTTTTGGGATTTTAATTTGCACTACGATATGAGAACACACATTGTATGAGAGAACTCACTTTTTGTTAAACGTTTTTGTTCTTTATTTGGTTTGCCACAAAAAGAAGGGTCTTCGTTTGGCAAATGACAAACAGGGAGGGAACCCTTTTCTGGAAAACAAAAACAAAAATTACTAAACTAATAAAATAGGTAGCAGAAGAAATACGCTTTAAATACTTTTCAAAAATAATATTTAATTAATATTAAAGTAACAATATTAATTACATTATAAAAAAGTCTCAAGAAGTTCATTACCCAAGTTAAATTAACCCGATATGTGGCATTTTCTGTAGAGTGTTCACTACTCAGCTTCACCAGATTACTCCGACCAACCCATATGTTTCCCATCCCAGCGTACCTTTGGCCATTCCGTATTCCGAGCATATACCCGGAAAAAGGAGAACTAACTGCAGGACAGATATGATAACTACCAGCAGCACTAAACAAAGTTGGGAAAGGGTCGCACAGGATGGGCAGAAGCTTCCTTTTTGTGCCATTGTTTTTGTGTGCTGGTGCGCCCAGGCTTCCTGATATGTTGTGGCTATTTGCATGCACTACTCTCCTCCTCAAAAAAAAAAAGGAAATTATGGACCCCATTGTTATACCCTTGCAAAGAGTATTCCGACGCAAGGAATAACCATCGTTATGAGGTAGCAACGATCGCACTATTGTTATCGAGTTATTTGATTGGATTTCTCTTTCGGAGACAATTTAGAGGAGTTAACTAAAAAGATTGCGAATATTGGGGACAAAAAGGGATGGCGAAAAACAGTGAAAAAATTGCTACTGCCTAGGTCTTAAATCGCTCTGTCGCCAAGTGACACAAAGAAAGAACTTGGGTGAACGGAAGTGTTGCACTTATTTAGAGATAATTCATTTCTGTCAGTTGGTTAGTGGAGTGGAGCCATGGAATCACAATAAACTATCAACTTGTAAGGGTATAAGGAGCTTTGGCCTTCGCAGTTAGACTTCTTTGCATGTTTTTTTGTTTTGTTTTGTGGCCACGTGTGAAAAAAGCGGATTAAAAGCATTCTGCCTGTGCGTGTGTGTGCGTATTGTGTGGGTATTATGTTACCGTTACAACAACTAGAACGGGCCGACACACACACACACATATGTACCTGTACCTGTACCTGTGTAGTAAAGGCATTACACGACAAGACTTGCTGCTTCCCCTGCTACTCCCTGCTGCCCTTGCCTGTTGTTGTCTGTTGTTGGTGTGGTTACACTGTCCCTGAGCCAGTGTTGATTAGTAAATGGCAGTGTTGGTATGTAAGCGTGCGCTTGTGCGTGTGCGTGTGTGTGTTTTAGAAGCCCTTGTTTTGGATCCAGTGTATGTGTGTGGGGTGGGGGGTTATTTTTGTATGTTACCGGCTTACCTTCCGGCTTCATCTCCGGCCAAACAACAATGCTGGGACCACCCTCCTGTCCACCCCAAAACGGAACAGAGAAACAGAAAGTACCGTTATAATTTATACGCCTGCAATATGGCAACGCTGCCCCAGCCACACACAGGGACACAGACACACCACACACACAGGGTCGCGTCGAGTCAGAGAAAAACTTTATCCAGGTCCAAATAACTTTGGAGCACATAAGGTCGGTCGATACACAAGATGCCGTTACACCAGAGCGAGACACGAGACGGTGATGGAGATAGCCAGAAAGTGTGTGAGAAAGAGAGAGAGAGAGAGAGAGCATTTCCCCAAACGTAACAAAAAACAGCTGAGCCGATGCTGAGGCCCGGCATTGCCAGCTCGGCGTGTTTTAAGCTGGCTGGCAATGCCCAAAGCGCCGGTCTGCGGCTTTTATTTGTCCTGCAAAAAAACAACTCCGCAGCGGAGGAGCCCAGGCGCGGGAGAGCAGCCCGTCCGCATCACCTGACATTGAACTCTCTCTTTAGCTATTGCTCTCTGGCAACTTTGGTCCTCAGCCGATGCGAGAAAAATATCCCCAGCATAACGGACGGGACTGCTTCGGCATTCACTCGCGCGTTGGCTGTTTGCCTGTGTGGAAGTGCCGTGCGGATCGAACCCGACTCCGGGCCCCCAAATCGTTTTTAGCCTCGCGTCTCGCACACACACATACACACACACACCCCGTTACCGCAGTACATACATATATAATTATATATATACATCTATATACGTACATATATGTATGTATATATAATAATGTACATGTATTTGTGCACATATTAACGGGATAACGAGTTTGCGGTGTAAAGTCGAAACAAAATCATAGACGAAGCCGAAAAAGTAACACACAAAAAAAAGTGCCAAACAACATAATTTTATATAATTATAAGAACTTCTGCAAGTCCCCCAACCCGCACCCACCCCAGCCCGTCTCTGTCTTCTCGCATACACTGGTAATCCTGAAAATCGTACGAAAAAAATCAATTGCCCCTGGGCAACATTTTTTGACGGCTTCGCCGGCGTGGTAGTCGTCGTATTTCTGATTAGTTGCCATACAATTTCCTTTTTGGTAACGAATGCGTCGGTGGAAAAAGGGCTGGCTGAAACGAGAATGATTAACATAAATTCATGTAGATTTTTGAGCTGCTAATGAAGTGGAAACTTTCGGAATGTGTTAACTCAGAGCAGGGAATCGGACAAGGAAAACATGAATTTATGACTTGAATTTCTGGAAATTTGCATCTTTATTTATTCTACAGTGCGAGAAATAACTTGCAACAATTTCAGGATATTTTGTTTTTCAATTCGTAAAAAGTATAGCATACATTGAGGCGTTAAGTCCAAAGCATTTTTGGAATTCATCAAATTAGTTTCTTTAAATTTTTAAGGGAGTGTGTTACGCAGGACCGCGCTCCTTAAATTCATAAAACCATAAACAAAGTGTTCAGGTAAAAGATATCTGACTCCACCTGCCCTACGATTTTATGGGTAAACTTAGAATCGTTTCCAAAACGAAGAAGAAGCGCTTAATATCTAGAGAAACAGGACCTTCTAAAATGGAACCATTGATTTCCATGTTGTTTTTAGTTTTTGTTCGCATTCGCATTTTCCTTTAGCACACTTTTGGTGCCAGACCAGACACACACATAGACAGGCGACACATAAGGCTGGACGAGTGTGTGTGTGTGTGTGCGAGAATCCCCACCCTAAACTTGACCCCAGGCATTTGCACTTCATCAAGCGTTGCTTGCACCACCGAACATGTCTCTGTGCCACACCAGAATCGCCAGAAACTTGTTCGAACAAATGGATATATCATGCCAGTATAGGCATGCATATACAAATGATATACATATGTACACCACCAGAGTGTTGGTGTGTCAGCCAGAAGCTGCAGGGCAATGGAATTTTCCTTTTTGGCAAGACATTTTGTTGGCCAGGCTGTCGCAATGCCATTTAAACTTTTTCGTTTCTTTTTCTTGTTTCGCTTGGCTTCGTCCTTCGTCCCTGAAGGCTTTTGTTTAGCGGCCACCCCCGCAACCAGGTGTTCAGCTTGCTCCGCAAAAAGTTAAATCAGCAAATTTCCACTTCTCTCTGAATTGGTTTTCGGAATCCACATTTTTTTTTGTTGTTTCTGTAACCTTTTGGGATATTCAATTGGCTTGCCGGTACGGCACGGCCTGTCCTGGTCTGGTCTGGCCAGGCCTGCGCCCCATTATGATTGTTTGGCAAATTTTAATGATGCCATTGGGCTTAATGAAATTATTGTTAGTTCAGCAAACAAGAAGTCCACTTTGATGCAAAAGTAGAGAGTGGGAGAGAATTTTATAGGGTCCTCCATTCAATATGCACACGACGTCGCTTTGGTTCGCCTACGCCATAACGCCCGGTATTTTTCGTGGAAACTTTATACTGCCACACAGCATCCATCCTCCTTCGTATAACCATTTCCCATCCTCCAGCCTACCCCCGTGTTGGGTTTGAAATTTTATAGCTGTGTAGGAGGCGAAGTGGGAGCAGGTGGCCCGGCTTAGTCCTTGGACGTGGCCTCTTGACGTCACTCGGCCCAACCAAATTGATGTTTAACTATTGATGCCCGACGCGGCTTGTAGCTGCCATCCAGGAGATTGTTTCGCATCTCTCCAGATGGCCATTGCCTGCTTATGTTTATCGTTGCATGGCACGGCATTCCGGCATGGCCGAGCTAGAAATGAACTGCTTTCAAACATTGGTTTTCCGTGCGGATGGGTTGGAGCTACATACATATATATTGGGGCGTGTGTAGCTAAATATGAAAGTTTATTGGTTCAGTGATGTAAGCAGCTGCGCTTTGCTGGTTGCTATTGTTCATTTAAGCCTGATATTGAAATATGTTTTGGGAATATTTAAATGGGATATAAATGCCAAGAACAAACATCATAAATAATGGGATTAAAAGGCAGTCGATATGGCTCTATAATTAAATTTGATTAACTATAAAATTATATGCATAAATAACATGCAGTTTAATTAAATTGCATGGAAAATGTAAAAATTAGATTAGAATTAAATAATATTTATTGGGTGGCTAGGAAAGACGAATAAAAATTTTATGATTTTATAATTTCTGAATTATTCGATACGATACCCATGAAAAGAATTGCTGTATTAAATTGCCATCGTTTCGAAATATCTATCAGAGAGCTGGCTGATAATATAATTATCATCTTAAGGGCTACCCAGTCAATTCTCTTCGCCTCTGGAGATGTTCCCATCCTCCTGGTAGTGGTCGGAGAAGAGTAACTCTGGTGGGTGGTTTTGTGTGGGATGTTTTCCCCTACTGGGCAAACAAGCAGGCAACCAATATTCATGCTCCAATAACAGGAAAAACAATGCCGGCCGGGGCCAGGACCCAAGTGTTTATATTTAGCAAACGAATGAGGAGGAGAAAGGGTGAGAGATAGATACATATATACTCAGATTGCTTTGGAAGGAGAGAAGAGTAAGCCAAGTTCTGAGATGCATCACTTTGGGGTCTTGCCTGCCCCTCGAGAGTGCATCATCAGCAGATAAACCAGAAGAAGGCGGCGGGGGGTAGCAGGGAGATGTGAAATGAGGACCAAACAAAAGGATCTGCTTGCCTTGTCACGAGAAAGCTCTTGAGTCAAGTGGCGGCTGTCTGTCCACCTAAACAGCCCTTGGATTTTGGTCCCAGCCTTCGTATCGGTCCTGGCATCAGCGCTTAGTCCTTCCCCAGTGCACAGCATCAGCTTTCGACCCACTTTGGACCCTCGTTAATGATGCGAATTATGCATGAAAGTGGAGTACTTAATTTCAATTGTCTAAACAACAACGTCAGCGACAAGCGATTTCGATGTGACCTACCAATACACTTGAAGAAAATTTTCTATTTACACTTGACTGCATTGGTGGGTGTAAAGCGGATTGCATACTTATGAGGGCGACTGAGCGAATTTCCCTGCGCGCGTCTTACAGGGAGAGAAACCAGGCGCCCCAGAGAGAGAGACAGAGAGAAAGCGGTACTTTTGTTCAAGGTGTATTTATTACGAGGTGAACCATTGGCAGAGATTTCCTTGCCACTCTCTCTTCTCTTTCGCCGTCTGTCTAGAAACAAAATATAAGACTTTGGTATATTTAACAAGTGCAAATAATCGAACTGCATTTGTCATTTCGTGTCAGTTTCAGACTTTATAGGGCGGAAGAGTGAGACACAGCAAAAGAATCTGAACAGCGCGATATTGGGAGCGCAAGTTCTGACAGTACTCCTCACCCTCTACGAATACACCTTGCTCCTGCTCTCTCTGGGTCTCTCCATCTTTCGGCTGCTGCTCTGCCTTTGCTCTTCTCCTTCTGCTTCTGCCTCTTTCACGCCTTTGTCAATTTGCAGCAACTTGTGCGCTCGTTTGACTTGGGTTAAATTGTTTGTGATTGTCGTCGCAGCAACTGTCTCTGCAAAAGTTTGTGCCAGGAGGCCAGTGTGTGTGTGTGTGTGTGTGCCTTGACAGAGTTGTCAGCTGTTTCACTTGCATTTCTTCCCGCTCGCATTCTCTCTTGCCCAGCCTCTCTCTTTCGCTCTTGGCCCATTATTACACAATTTATATATTTTTTTTTTTAGGTGTGGTTTCTGCGGCATCGGCGTCTGCATGTGACGCCCACACACCGGCCACGCCCTTTAGCACAATCATGGTCGGGTATCCTTGCAAAAAAAAAAAAAAACAAAGTTTTTGTTGCTTTTGTTTTAATCAATCATTTTTTACAAAACTGTACGCTGTTTGTGGTAGTTGATCGGCGTGGAAGGGGTGGGGTGGGTGGTCCCCCGAGGAGATGGGTGGGTGGTGCGGTGGATGGGCTTCAAAGTTTGCATAGTTTCTAGTCGGCCTGTGGCGCTTTTGCCATGTAACTGTAATTGCAGTTGGGACCTTGTTCCGCTTTGGCACCGGCACCACCTCTTCTTCCCCTGCCGCCGAAGCTTGTTCTTCGTTTATTTTGTTATGCGCTCCATTTGTGGCACAGTGGGACCCTGAGGGACAAAGCGGGAGTGTGGATATTTGAGGCGAAAAATAATACAGTGCAAAAGAAAGACTACTAGCGAGTGTAAAACCTCTCGAGTAGTGTGTAACATCCCCAAAGAGATGTGCATATGTGTTTGATTTTGTCTGCTATGGAATCTTTAGCTCAAGTTGAAAGAACTTCTGACACTTTCTCTGCACAAGGCCCAAACTAGATTTGGATCAAGTGCAGAAAAAGCAACTTTCAAATTGAGCTACGATTTTGTTTGCACAACAAGTTGTTGCCCACTTTCAGGCCACTGTGCATGTGCCTCACAGGCATATTACATGCCCCCGTCTTCGACTTGTTGTTGTGTGCGTGCCCCCAACTCGAACGTCCTTTGAGGACGCTGCCGCTGCCAGCCTATGCAAATTTGTGCGGAAAATAATCGTGATTTCAAGTCAAGTGCGAAAACCGATTAAAGCGGATACCGAAAGCAAATCGTAATTCGTCGGAAATACGACTATCCACGGAATCAACCAGAGGAATTAGAAGATGGCCTGGGGATACTGGTCTGCCACGACTGTGGATCGCGGACGCTCGCCGCGCCGCCTGACACAGTGCACCCCGCTGCCCGTGAATATAGTGCAGCAGGAGGAAGAGGAGGAGCAGCAGCAGCAGCAGCCGTTGCCGGCATCATGCATACCCCAGCAGCAGCAGCCGCAACCGCATCAGCATCAGCACCAGCACCAGCAACAACAACAACAATCGCAAACCTGCCCCAGCACGCCGTCAGCCAATCAACAGGGAAGCGGCAACCTCTGCTACAGTCCATCGTGTCGCTCCCGCTGCTCGAGTCCGTGTCCGGGTTCCCCCTGCGGTTCCATAACACCGCCGCCACCGCCACTGCTGACGTCCTCGCAGCAGCATCTCCACTCGAACAAGAACTGTCCCGCTGCCCAGCAGCTGATGACACATCTGGACTATGCGGCCAGAAGGCAGTCGTTGGATCAGCTGGATAGTCCGCAGGTACTACAGCAGAGATATAAGATATGCCCTTGCAAAGAGCTCTGCTTGAAGGGTGGGATAAGTCATTGATGATTAATTCCATCCACTGGTTTATAAAACAAAAAAGGGATTGGTTACCACTTACCACTTACTACAGTCAGTCAGTATCAGTCACTCATTTGTCATTGTTGAATCAGTTGTCGCGTTAGATTCATCTGAATCATTTGGAGGAATGCCCCCTTGCTCAATTTCAATCTCAAGCAGAGCTCTACAAAGCGAGTCAAAATCTATACCACTCTGACCCTCCCTGATCTCTGTTTCTACCATATCTCTCTCCCTCCCAAAGTCCAAGTACTTCGACATCCAGGCCAATCAGCTGTCGGACATCATGTGCCGCGGTGCAGTGGTCAGCTCCATACAATCGGCCAACAATACGCTAACCCGCGGCGTCTCGCTGCACAGTCGCAGCGGCAGTGCGCATGGAAGCCACCATGGAAGTCACCATGGGAGTCACCACAGCCACAGCCATCACGGGAGTGCCCACGGATCGTTGGGCTGCCTCCAGGCGGGCGTAAGTGTGGGTGTGGGTGTGGGCGTCGGAACAGGAAGCACTGGCAGCATTGGAATGATGTCGGCGGGTCACATCGATACGGGCGACTATGATGTGCCGCATCCGCACCCGTACACGCACCACTATATGCAGACAACGGCATCGGTGACACCGCCACGTGGCAGCCTGAGTCGGCCGGGATCGGCGGGAGCCGTGTGTGCTGGCCACGACTCCGGATCGGACTCGAGTCAGGGCTGTGGCGGCTCCATTATGGGAGGAATGCTCGTCATGGGCCATCCCGGCCACATGGGCAGCCTGGGGCACCACAGTGCGGGCAGCGGCTCCCTGGGACGGTGCTCCAGTCGCTGCCACAATACGAACACCACAACCACCGATGACTCGGGCGGCGGCAGCAGTGGTGGCGGCGGTGGAGGCGTCGTCGGTGGCAATGCCTCGATCGCCGTGGGTATGCCGGGCATGCTGATTGACTACCATCATGGCCACCACAGTGGCAGCGCCGGCAGCGGCCTCAACGGCTGTGGATCGGGCAGCATCGCCGGCGGCAGCATGGGAGGGCGCAACAGTGTCCTGGGCACCATACACAACGGCCACGGCCATCATCATCAGCAATATCATCACGAGTGCATTCACTATGAGCGTCTGCCCATTCCCGTGCCCATTCCCACAGTGCCCATGGGCGTGGCACTGCCACAGCAGCAGCAGCAGCAGATGCCGCCTCAGATGCCCCCGCAGCATCAACTGCAGTCGGAGGAGGAGATCGAGCCGGCCTATGCGACAGGTAAATGGAACGCGAAAATTTTCGTTTTCCGTTTTTGACACTGCGAATTAAAATTAAACCATAATTTTAGTTTTGAGTTTATTTCTGTTATATCTAGTACTAAATATTTGGTTTGCTAATAAATATTTTAATTTCTTGAAAAAAAACACAAATGATAATTTTTCACAATTTGCATGCAGAGTATTATACTTTTTATTGAATTGTCTGATTGCTTGATTGCTTATTTTATGTGCGGATATTTCGATTTATTATTGGCACAAACAGTAGCCCTGGTTTTACATCATTTGATACAGTTTCCCCCCATCCCTGAGCTTATCGTGGAAGCCCCCCATTTGTTGCGCTCTCACTTGCTCCCAATTAGAGGGACGGTCTGGCTGGCGTTCGGTTCTTGTGACAATTCAATCGACCACTTGAGCACTTGAGGCTGATTCTGTTTTGTTTCGCACTTGAGTTTATTGTTCTTTTGTTATGCTTTTGGGTTCTCTCTGCCTCTGCCGCTGCCCATTCCTTCTGTTCCGTTGTGGGGAGCTCAGTTTACTGTTGAAAGTCGCGCGGTGATGACGCCCCGCGCGTGCCAAAAGCGCCTTAACATCTTTTAACTGGAACATCACCCAATTCTCTCTTTTGCCAGCCAATTGGTCAATGTGTTTTACTCGGCTCCAGTGACCTATGAACCGGCCACAGCCCCGAACTGAGCAGACACACACACATACCCGAACCGAACCGAACCGAACGACCACAATGATCATCTGGAGCGGCTTCTGCGAGGCGGCTCAAATATATAGCACTCAGACGGCGACGTTTATGACTGGTGGGCCATCGTGTTAGTATTGAAAGTGTGTTAAACCCACCGTACAGAATGTTTAAAGAAGTTAAAATAGGACAAATTTGCATTCACAGAATGTGGATTGTATGTGGAACGTAATTAGTTTGGGCATTTTTTTTTAGTAACTTTTAATCGAAGAAAGTACTTGCTGCCTTTCCTTTCGTGACTCCGACCTTCGGGCTGATTAACTCTAGTCCGTTATGAGTAATATGATTGCATATCGCACCTTTTTAGCCACACATCGCGTCTAACTGTTTTCCAATGTGTATTTCCCCAGGGCCTCCTAGTCATAAACATTGCTTACTCGCACGTTATCTCCTGGGGCCAGGCATTTGCGAGGTATGAAAAAAAAATATACAGTAACCGGCAAAAACAGCAAAAAAAAAAAAAAAAAAAACAACAACAACAGAGACCAAACAAATTTTGTCGTTCATATCAGAATTGATAAGACCACCCCAACCCACACTTGTACCCATATACATACATATGTATGTATGTATGTATGTACATGGTAGTGTTTGTGAAATATTTAATTCTAGGTCAATGCAAGGCATGGGGCAATATGTAGAATCTATCACTATTATAACCTTGTAGACAGGCAGAATTATTGAACCCAGGGCAGTGCATACACTTGGGACACTTTAATTGAATTATGAATGAATGATGAGCACAAGCAGAATCCCTGACAGCCGAACAAGTGGTCTCAATTGATGGACAAGTCCCCCGGAAAAGCTTAATTAATATTACTTGGAAAAGGGAGAGAGTGATGGAGAGAGCGGGAGCAAGAGAAGTGTGCGAGAGCACTCCTATCTATCGCACATACTCCCCCCCATTCCATGGCTCATTCTGTATCTGTATCTGTATCTCTCTCGCCGTCTGTATTCTCCACATGGTGCGTAGCGCAGAGATAAGGAGCACTTGGTTGGCAAATGGATTGTCTGTCTGAGTAGCTCAGTCGTGGAACGGGTGCTGGCTGGTTAACAGGCCACCGACAGACAGCAATACATGTGGCTGGGACGGAATCCGTTTATAAGTAAAAATCGCTGAATAAAATCCCATTAAATTGATAAGCGACCACCCCAGGGAGTGGTAATAAAAGACCAACCCGCACAATGGGCAAACTAGCTTTCCGTAAGCATGCCCCCAGCCATAACAAAAATCAGTGACGTGACCAATCCGCTTTATACACCAGAATTCTCACCAAACAAACTTTTTCCTTTATTCTTGCAGTATTTCCCAATGTTCCTCAAGCGCCGGGATTGTCCTGCGATGGCGAAGATCGTAAGTTTGTCTGGCTTAAACACATCATATTATTTTAAATGAAAATCTCTCTTCATAGGCAGCATCTATCGACGTGGTGCTCGACGCTGGCGTAAGCTGTATCGCGTCAACGGACACATTTTCCAGGCCAAGCGTTTCAATCGCGTGAGTATCCACCACATAAGAGACGCACCACCCAAAATACCCATCTAAACGTATTTCGTTTCCCAACTCGATTGCAGCGTGCTTTCTGTGCCTATTGCCAGGATCGTATCTGGGGCCTGGGGCGACAGGGTTTCAAGTGCATACAATGCAAGCTGCTGGTGCACAAAAAGTGCCACAAGCTGGTGCAGAAGCACTGCACCGACCAGCCAGAGCCATTGGTCAAGGAGCGGGCCGAGGAGTCCAGCGATCCGATGCCGGTGCCATTGCCCCCGTTGCCATATGAGGCCATGGGCGGCAGCTCCGATGCCTGCGAGACGCACGATCATGCGCACATCGTGGCCCCGCCACCGCCCGATGATCCCCTGGAGCCGGGCACCCAGCGCCAGTACTCGCTGAACGACTTTGAGCTGATACGCGTTATCGGTCGTGGAAGCTATGCCAAGGTGCTAATGGTGGAGTTGCGGCGCACGCGTCGCATCTACGCCATGAAGGTGATCAAGAAGGCGCTGGTCACCGACGACGAGGATATCGACTGGGTGCAGACGGAGAAGCATGTGTTCGAGACGGCGTCCAACCACCCGTTCTTGGTGGGACTGCATTCGTGCTTCCAGACGCCGTCGCGTCTCTTCTTTGTCATTGAGTTCGTTCGGGGCGGCGATCTGATGTACCACATGCAGCGCCAGCGGCGGCTGCCCGAGGAGCACGCCCGCTTCTATGCGGCGGAGATAAGTCTGGCGCTGAACTTCCTCCACGAAAAGGGAATCATCTATCGCGATCTGAAGCTGGACAATGTGCTGCTCGACCACGAGGGGCACATCAAGCTTACCGACTACGGCATGTGCAAGGAGGGCATTCGCTCGGGCGACACAACCTCCACGTTCTGCGGCACACCCAACTACATTGCCCCAGAGATCCTACGAGGCGAGGACTACGGCTTCTCCGTGGACTGGTGGGCATTGGGCGTCTTGCTCTATGAGATGCTAGCCGGACGCAGTCCCTTCGACTTGGCCGGTGCCTCTGAGAATCCCGATCAGGTGAGTGTTTCTGCAACAAAATTAAACTGCAACAAAAAATATGACAAATGTTTGTTTATTGTTTAGAACACGGAGGATTATCTGTTCCAAGTGATTCTGGAGAAGACCATTCGTATACCGCGCTCCCTGAGCGTTCGGGCCGCCTCAGTCCTGAAAGGTTTCCTCAACAAGAATCCCGCTGATCGTTTGGGCTGCCATCGGGAGTCCGCCTTCATGGATATCGTCAGCCATCCGTTCTTCAAGAATATGGATTGGGAATTGGTAAGTCCAACGAATTTTATTCCTTTCTTTTTCTTGCCGTGTCTGTTGGAACTGTTTATGATGATGATAAAATGTCTGAGGGGAATGGGTTAAATGAGATTTTTAGAGGACCAGCATATAGACGTACTGGAGGCAGATGGTGGCAGTAATTACGAAATAATGCCAAGATTAACTGATGTAGCACAATCCCTTGCCACATGAACGATTTCCAACTATAATAGACTCCTTGATTGACCCTGGACGGTAGGTCTAGGCCAAGTAAAACGTAACACAGTCGATCATATATGACTCCACCTCCAGCTGGCATTGAATCAATGGCCAAATCAAGTCTGAGATAAGCCTGGCTATCGGCAGATAGCCAACAAACGCGAATGAAATCATTATAGAGCTTTTTTCTTTTGTATTATCTTCGGTTCACTGATGATAGATAACTCTGTATGTACAAGCATTTCTTTATTTATTACACACGCATTAAATGGCGTTATTGAAGATTGCACAGAAGGAGGTGCAACCGCCTTATATACCAAATCTGGATCCTGGTGATCCCTATGTGACAACAAATTTTGATGATCAATTTACGCGAGAACCGCCCGAACTAACGCCCGACGATCCGTAAGTGAAACCCCGAGAAAAACCCCAAAAAGACAAGATGGTATACATAGTTCTTCAGCGTTTTGTTCTTTTTGTTAGTTTTTGTTTGTTCTTTGCATGAGATACTGTCCTTGAAAGATCGTTTTTAGCATCCAGACTAACACAGCAGGTAATTGTGCGTCAATCAATCAGCCACATTTAGACCATGTCCCTGCCATCGACCCCGCCTGCCCGCTGCCCGCTGCCCGCTATTACTTCTAATAACAGACGAACAGACCTCGTTTACATTTTCCGTATACAATGATCTTATTTGTCATCGTCATGATCATGCTCAAACGACACGGACATGAATGAGAAAAACTCGATTTTATGTTTTGCCAATTGGCTGAGAATTTTTCATCATGGTTTTACCAAACAAACATTCATTATGATTTTCTACTATCCTCATGCGAACCATCCTCCATCCATGCAGCTTGAGCGCAAACAGGTCACGCCACCATTCAAGCCACGCTTAGACTCAGATCGCGACTTGGCCAACTTCCCGCCCGAGTTCACTGGCGAGGCCGTGCAGCTAACCCCGGATGATGAGTAAGTTAATACATATATGAGATCTCCCCCTCCTCTTTGGTTACTTTATTAGCTTATTACACCATTCTTTTGGATGATTATATCTAATGTGTAATATATATTCAATCCATTTCACAGTCATGTCATTGACAACATTGATCAGTCGGAGTTCGAGGGCTTTGAGTATGTGAATCCGTTGCTAATGTCCTTGGAGGATTGCGTCTGACACCACGAAACGTGTGACTTACATCCGTATAATGTAAGGGTGAGTATCATTGACTAACCATTTACTGAATTTGAATAATGAATAATGTTACTCCACCTGTAGCTATATGGCGAAGACTCCAGTGATTACGATTCTGTGGCAGATGATTTGAGTCTCCTGCATTTGAACAGCGCAGGAGGGGCAGTGGCTGTGACTGGCTCTGGCGCTGGGCCAGTCAATGCCAATAACAATCTAAGCCAGCAGCAACATTATCGCCAGCAGCAGCAGATACAACAACAGAAACAACAGCAATATCATCCTCATTCAGTATACTCACAGCAGCAACAGCAGCAGATGCTGCAACTACAACAGCAGCAACAGCAGCAGCAACAGCAACAGCAACAACATCATCATCATAATGGTAATAATATCAATCATAATAATCAAATGCAAGCAAATAATAATAAAAGTCTACTGCAGCACATGTTTTGCCTTCCATTGAACTAATTAAAATAACGAATTAGATAAAGCAACATGCAACAACAATAAGCAGCACCGCAACAACAACTAGCAGAGCAACAAAAAAAAAACAAACAAACAAAAAAAGAAAAACAAATTTAAAGTTAATACAAATTAAACGAAAATGGCACAACTACCAAAATTATATAATCTTCTTAAAAGCAGATACCATTTTTCGTAAAAACCTCTATATATTATATACATGAAACAAAGCAAAATCAAAGCAAAGCAAAAGAAAGTCACAAGTTGCGAGTATTAACACACTAAACAACATTAAGTATGAGAGAAACGATTACTTTACTACTTAAGCACCTAGGCAGACCCGACTCTATGCAAAAAAAAAAAACAAAAAAAAACACTTTCATAACTCAATGCAAGACTTTTCAGCCAGAAACCCTGTGGAGGAGACTCCTAAGAGTATCCCAAGAAACCATTTTTAAGCTACATCAAACATATAAATAATTTAATTTTTAAACGTTTAACAGCAACAAAAGACATTTCAATGTTAATTTTTACTAGGAAGTGTGCGGAGAGGAGGGATATGCATACACTTCAAATGAATCAATCTATGTATAACGTATAAGAAGTATATAACTCTAATGTAAAATGTGTGTGTGTCTAGCCTTAGAGAGCAGAGCATGGTTTTTAAAAGCGACATAAATATGTACGAGTCTTGTGAACAGAAATAGTTAACCGAAAGCAACAAGAACATTTTGATTCCGCACAGAGAATACTCACCCCTAATACCCCAACCCCATGGGGTGGCAGGTAGTATTCTCATACCACACGAACAAAATATATTTATTTATTGTATTCCTTGTATTATTTATATTTATAACAAACAAAACAAAATCCGTCTACTGGCAATATTTCTTTGTTAGGTATTAAAAAAATTCTTTTATGTTTTTTCAATGCATTCCACTGTACTTACAACAACAAAAAACCAATATCTATGTATACATATATATACATATGTATATTTTTGTTAATCTATTGAGCCACTTAAGAGGTAAAATTTTTTTAGGTGGCGATAAAATTTTGTCGCGAAACAAAATCCAAATGCAAATACTTTTTGTTCAATCTGTTGCGTCAATCATTGCGTACGTTTTTTAAAACTTAAGCCTAAATATATACATTAGTAGATATTAAATAAAAATTGTATATTATGTTTTGATAAACCACATAAATATTGAGAAATTTATTCAAATTAATACGTATCCAAAACAAACAAATATCATTGTGTTGCAAGAGTAAAAACTGAGTTTTTAATGGCAAGAAATTAAATAAATTTCAATGTTACTTGTTAATGTATGGAAAAGTAAAGATATTACACATATATTGTTATATTTCCAGATACAATGCAATCTAAAGCAAATAATATTGATCAAACCAAGTTTTTGATTCAGCAATTATCGATAATAGCAAGCAATGCAATCCACTCAAATGCAACAAATCGACAACAAACACTAAGCCACTAACAAATTGCACTTTAATGTTAACGAAACCAAACCCCCTTTTAAAAAAGTGAGAGAGCCCTTCCATCAGGTATCCCTTTAATTTCACTGTTGTGTTTAATAACCAAGTTCTACGAGTAAGTTGACTTAGGTTTAAATCTTTTTTAATTGCGCTTATAGTATATGTATTTGTGTATCTCATTTAACTGATGTTTTCTTTTCGACTAGTTTTCTTTTATTTACGTACATACTTGATGCACTTTTGGCATTCAATATTGATGCTAGCAAAATGTCAAAACGAAATTGAGAACGTAAGCATTATTTGCGTAACAATTATCCATATAAACACAAAACGAATAAAGTATTGTATAAGAAACAGAAATGGTCTTGATTCTTAATCGTTTCAGCTGTACATTCACACATTTCTCTCTTGATTAATACTCTTGTATGGAGGGTATACACGTATATTCATGGTTCTTTTTTTTCCCATACCTTTCGTTTAGCAACAAATCTGTTTTTAATATTCAAATTTTATTAACAATTGACAGTGGGACAACAAATGCACAAAAAATTATCGTATCATATCGATTCGTTGGTCAATAAGTCTGCAGTATGGATACGGGCTCTTGCATAATCTCTTGAATCTTTGCCTCTGGTACGGGCACACCGTTGGCCAGCAGAGTGTGAACAATGCCATCATGTTTATTGCCACTTGAGCGTGCCTGTAGCACGAATTCCGTGTCCTGCAGCATGAACTTGGTGTCCGTGCCGCCGTGAACGAAAACGGACTGCAAAATGGTGGATGGTGGATGGGGGATGTGGAAAGCTAAGCGGAACTCCTTTTATTTTGCCACATGTTTTACTTACCTCCTCCTGGCGCAGGTCATCGTTAACGTAGAGACTCAGCGTGTCCAGCTTGAGCATTATTCGATACTCCTGGGAAGGTGTTTCGGAGCTGCTCGCAGAATGACAGGTGCTAAGCCACAGCCGGTACTGACGTGCCACGTCCTCTGTGTACTGGTCATGTGACTTTCCGTCGATGTACAGCGAGTACTCGTATTTGAAGCCAGGTGCCGGATCAACGCGTATAATACAGCGGGACTGATCGATGTGAAAGGTGTCCTCACCGACAAGCTTAAACATCCAGTCGCGTCGCAGGACCTCCTGCAATGAGTTATGGCAGTGCACAGTGGGGGTTTCAAATGTAATCCACTTAAAAATAATGAAAATAACAAGTTTAATTCCATTTTCCGAGATACAAATACGCGTACAACAGTAATTACTTGGCCTTACACTATGCAAATACTTCAACCCACTCGTGGGTTGGGAAAACTTACCCGACCATTGACCCAAATCATACGCCGCCCACTAGTTGTGCCATGTTCCAGCTCAATGCGGTACATCTAGGGAAAAATACAATACTATTATTCATATGTTTAACTTGTGGTGGTTTTGGGTAGTACTTTTCCATTGATGGGCACACACCATTGGGCCACTATATTCAGTTTGTTGTAGCGCTGGTCCTCGGGCACATGATCCTGCGTCATGATGGGCTCCGTTGACAGATTTTCCAAGCGCAGTGTGGGCGAAAGAAAAGACATTGACTCGATACAACTCTTTGCCCCCCTGCTCTAAGCCGCCGAACAAGTAAACAAATCAATAGTACCCATTAAAATTCAAGTAAATATTGCATTAAAAATGCAACAAATCAAAATGGAGGGGTTATACAACCGCTAGGTACTTTGTTTCTTTCGAAAGTTCAAAGAACTTTAAGGTGCAAAGTGCGGAATTGAACTAGACAAAATCTAGATCTAGCTGGTTTCACTTTACGGGTCAACAGCAATCGCTCCTTGCCTTCTTCTGTGGTCGACGAAGCAGACGCGATTTGGTTAGCTTTTGAATAAAGCCCCAAACTGCCACAATAACCGCAAGAACGAACCGCACGTTGTTAGCGCCAATGGCACACTAAACAACATACAATATAAACCAAAAGGAGGAACTGAGAAAAAACTAGTTGGCCGCCTGCCTGCCTTTTGGCTTTTGGTCGAGTCGAATCGCGACGCGTCGCGGCGGTCGCGTTTGTCGGCCTTTGCTGCCTCTGCTGCTGGAAAAGCAAAAGAAAAGTGCAGAGAGCAGAGAGTACAGGAGAGTCAGCAGACGACGCCGCATGGCGCCAAAACAGAGTTGATTTGTTGCCACTAGCCCTGGGTGTGTGTGTGTGTGTGCGTTTATCCACTCCCTAATACCCCCCACTTGCGTCGTTGTTCACATAAAAATAAACTCTGCGCCAAGTATGCAATGGTTTTTGCATTGCAATTGCCATGCCCATGCCTGTGTCGGTGTCGGTGTTTTTGGAGAAGCTCCAATTGAGCGAATATACCCTTATGTATGTACATATTTTATTCTACATGACAATTATATGGCCCATGGGGATACATATCCACCAAGCCCTTCCTCCATCCGTATAACAGCCCTGGGCTGGGGGCAATCGTCGCAAATTTGTCGCATTTTGTTTTGTTCTCATGTTTATGGCGCAACATTTTCTGGCCATAAATACACGCCGGAAATGCTAATGACTGATGGTATGGGGTGGGTAGGATCAGGACAGGGGAGGATGAACTGCCACATTCCGTGGCAACAGCAGCAGCTGCACAAGAATGTAAGGAAGAGTTGCTGCCTCAATCGATCAGATCCGATATTGATAAATGGATTTTGGGGCCAGATTGGGTAAGGAACCGAACAAGAAATAGGCAGCACATCATACGTCAAATCGAGCTCAAATCGGAACCTCTTGGATTAGAGTGGGGTACAAGAATATATGCCATCTCTCCGTCAGAGTCGCAACACGCGAAGGTCACTGACAAAGCGCCGTTTGGAGTCGCTCGCAGTGTTGTAGGTGGGGCACAAACAGACACCAACCCACACAGATAACAAAACATTTGACAAGGACAAGGCCTGACACCCACCAGTGCTCAAAGTGTCCGTGTGTGCCTGTGCCTCTCTGTGTGTGTGTGTAATTATTATTATTAGTGCTATATAAAAAAGAAATGTGTATGTGTGCACACAGTCATCCTTTTTCCTGACGCCCGCTCGCGGCTTCTTCGACTCGATGCACAGTGGGTGCTAACAGAGTTTTACGGGGATAAAAAGAGGATATATTAGATAAATTTAATAATAGGAAGGTGAAGGGTTGGTAAATATTTTTCGTATAAAGATTTGCTTTATTAATAGATTAGATTAGATAGCAAGCATCTTCCATGGAAAATATTGTTTACAGGGTGAAATATGAAGAGGGGCATACAAAAGAACCATTCAATAAGGTTTGCTTAATGCTCTCCTTGAAAGATGCGCATCGGATGCTAAATGTACACTCATTTATTCATCCGCTCGATCACACTGTATTCGGTTGCGCTTTTTCGTTGCCTACTTTCCAGTTGAATTTACACACCGAGCGCTGTTTGTACACTTTTTATGCAAATATATTTGCCGAAAGTGCCGCCGCAAACAAAATTCGTTGACGCTGATGATGTTGTTGTGGGCATGTGGAGAGTTGTGGTCTCCATACCCCCCATACACCCAGAGTCCACTGCCGCATTGCGTGCTTCGCTGGGTGTCGGCTGGCTGGCACACTACAAATGTCGCCGACAATTAATTTCCATAGATAATTGCCTGTCGATAACGACAGCGACAGCGGCAGCCCCAGGGACATTAATCATTAAGCCCGTCTGTTGAGTAGCTGGTTGTGCTCTTTGTCTTTTCCGTCTCTTTTGTCTACTGGTGGTGGCTCGATAAGATTTAATCAAAACTATGGCGAAATGACAAAGTGAAAGTTGTATTTCAGTGATTTGTTGTAACGCTCTTAAATCAAATTGAATTGGCAAAATGTGTGCGCTGGCTTAAGTTAGCTAGATTTGTATGCATGTATGTATGTATGTATGGGTGTGTGTGTGTGGTGTTCTATATACTAGATAAAGTGAATGGATATAGCAGTGCTCAACTTTGAATAACCAGCTAAAATAGAACATAATACTGATCACAACGCCAATAGAATAGAACAAGAAGGAATTCTCTCCCTCTCCTACATACGTTTCGTTAACAATTTTCCAGGGAAAATAATGATTGGATACATTCTTCAATTGGACAATAAATATGTAGTATGCGTAAGTATGTGTAAATATATATATATATATATATGAATTTATATTGCTGCACCATAACAACTAACATAAACAGCAACTATCCTTTGTAATCGAGTAATTCGTCTATACATATCCTTAATTTTGGGGCACAAATTTGAACAACGCTGGGCGTAGAGTAGGCGCTAGATGTAGGTATTTTTTTGTCTGATTATCGTGTCTATATATACTTGTTAGTGTGCGTATATATTTATACTTATAACCAACGCTAATTGCACTATTTAAATAAATACGAGTACGAGTACATCTTGCTGTCAGAATGAGTGCCTCCCAACTTGAGATACAAATGCGTTATACATTTAAGCTAATTATTTCCATTATGGGATCGAAGAAGTTCTACATGTCTATAATTCATAATCGACACAACTAAATATTGCCTTTGCTGATCGCTTACATAACTATGTACAAAGAATACTGAGTAAGCAAATTAATTTTGGATAAGTCTAAGCAAATACAGTCATTTAAGGTAAGAAATACAATAGAAACACATTCGGAATCAAGCATAAAAATAAAAATATTAATATGATGGGTACCGCATGTTACAGACTATAAATACAAATATCATCCATATCATGAGGTTGTTCATCTATTTAGCGAGTAGTTACTTCATCTAGGTATATGGAAAATGGCAGTTTGGATGCACCTATGTATATATCAAATATGAAAAGCATAGGCTCTGTTAGCTGGCAATAGTTTTCTATGACTGATCTATGGATCGCCAGGGCGGAAGAGGACGCGATTTATCAACTAACATTATTGGTAAATCCAAGCGGTTTGATCCGATATAGGCTATAGGCTATAGCTCATTGGAAAAATGCTGTAGAAAAATGCACAAATAGTCTTCGGTCTCGTGATGGGAATCGGTTTGGGTTTAGAAACAAATGGTCCATCATTTTCTTGAGAACATTATGGTCATGACAGTGCCACAGTTAAGCAGCACCCGTTTGGCATCCTTTAGATTGGCATTGGTCAGGTCGTAGCCATCTATCTCAAGCAGCTTGTCGTTGAGGCTCAGCAGGCGAGCGGCGTTTGTATTGGGCGTAATGGCACTCACAAAGATGCCCACCTAAAGAGCAAACAATTAGGTGTCCATTTTGAAGTTTAAATATGATAAGCAAAAATACTCACGTGATTGAGCAGCTCGGCAACGTCAAAGCCCATGCTGTGCTCCCATTTGAGGGTAACCTGCTTGACTGTAGGATTCTTGTGGACGCCAAAGATCCAGGTGGACTTTTTGTGACTTGCCCTGGAGGTGTTATTGGTGGCCGTGGAGTTCATCGAGTGCTGCGACAAGCTATCATCTAGCTCTTCTTCCTCATCCTCGGGACTTTGCTCCAGAGTGCTGACGTTGTTTTGGTAGTCCAGCTGTTCGATGGACTCCTCCTCCTGAGCACCAATCGCCGTGGTCTTAAAGTTGCTATTCAGAGCATCCTGATAGATCGTTTGCTCTAACTGCTGCTGCTGCTGTTGCTTGCGCTGTCTCATGGACTCGTACAGATTAAGGTCCTCTGGCGTTTTCTTGGTATATACTCTAGCTATGTGGTAGGGTGGCGGCTCTAATCGAGATGGCGGCACGGCCTGCTGCTGATGTTGAGGCAGCTGCTGCTCCTGGTGCTGCAAGGGCTGCAATTCATAGTCCTGCTCACCGTTCAGATGTGTGGTGGGTAAGGTATTCGCCTCGACATACAGCTGCTGATAGTGCGCCTCGTAGTTGACCAGGGGCAGGCCGTAGTACTCTTGTGGAGGAACCGGTAGCTGCTGCGTCGTCGCCGGCTGCTGATAGACACCGTAGATGTGAGCGTTCTCTGGTGCAACGCCGTATATTGCACTTGCTGTGGCCTGATCCACAACATCTTGGTCGGCATTGCTGCTATCACAGTGAACTTGGCCATTGGGCACCACGCGGGCCTCCCTCACTTCGTTGGCGTTTGCCGACGTCGCTGCTGCCTGGGCTTGCCGAACGTATTTCGCCATTTGGCGCAGCTCCTTGGGATACGGAGTGGGTGACCGCATCAGCCGAACGGATCCTGCCATCTGGTCCGGCGTTGGTGTTGGCGGTGCAGCTACATAGTTGGGATAGCTGGGAGCCGGCTGCGTTTTGGCATTGCTCAAGATGGTGGCCTCCTCGGCAAAGCAGATGCGCCGCGAGGGACTCGCATGCGGATGCTGCTGATTGGCGTACACAAACTCGTACTGCTCTTGGGCCTGCTGTTGGGCCTGCATACTGTTCATCTTGAAGGTGACCTGGGGCAGCATGAAGCAGGTCAGCTGTGTCTTTGTACTGGCATCCAAGTATTGCAGCGGCACCAGGGGCTGCGACTGATTGTCGCTTAGCCACAGTGAGGTGAGATTCACTAGGTTCAGCATGGAGACGGGCAGCGCATTGATATAGTTGTTGACCACGTTGATGACCTTCAGCTTGCCCAGGTTTCCAATGTTGTGGGGCAGCGCGGACAACTGATTGTTGGCCACACTCAACACACTCAGCTGCTGGCAGCTGCAAAGCTCGTCGGGCAACTGGCGGAGCTGATTCTCATCGGCGAAGAGAAACCGCAGGCTTCGCAGCATTCCAATGGTGCTGGGCAGGCGGATCAACTTGTTGTGGCTGAGGACCAGCTCCTCCAGCTGCTCCAGGTAGCTGATGCTATCGGGAAGCTCTGTCAGTCCGTTCGACTCGCACTTAAAAGTCACCAGAGACTTAAGCATGCCCACGCTGAAGGGGAATGCTTCCAGGTTGTTGGAGCAAATGGATAGAACCTCCACATTCCGCCAGTTGCTCAGCTCGCTGGGCAGTGTATCCAGAAGATTGCCATTGGCCTCAAAGTGCTGCAGTTCGCGCAGTTTACCAATGTTGGCGGACACTCGGCGTATTTGATTGAAGTCGATCCACAGCTCTCGCAAAGATTTCAGCTCTCCAACTACTTCGGGCTGCAAATTAATTGAAATTTATGTATTTCTTAATTATGTGGCTCTTGATATATCACTCACAAGCTCTGTGAACTCATTGCCACCAATGTCCAGACGCTGTAGATTCACCAGCCGCACCATCGACTTGGGCAGCGTAATAAGATTGTTGAGACGCAGCTCGAGTATCCTCAAATTGACCAGCCGTCCAAAGTTGGCTGGGAGAAACTCCAGGTAGGTCTCGTTCAACAGCAGCTCCTGCAGGGATATGAGCGAGGTAATTGCATCTGGAAGACGTTGTAGGCTGTTGCAACTTAGATCCAGACGGGTTAAATGCTTGCAGGCTTTGATTTCATCGGGCACATTGACAATAACTGAAAGAAAACAAATCTGTATGAGAATCTGTAGGGGGATAGAAAGTCATTATTCTCACTCACGATTCCGATTGAGATCCAAATTCTGTAGCTGGCGCAGACTGCCAATGGCCTGGGGTATGCTCTCCAGATTGTTGCTGTTCACGTGGAGCACACGTAGGCCCTGGCAGTAAAACAACTGCGGGGGCAACGATTGCAGCTGAAGGAGACAAAGGGGATGTTAGCAGGAAACTCCAACAAAGGGGCTGCTGCGGACTTACCCGTGTGGTGCTCAGGTAGAGCTCCTCCAGCGTCCGCTCGTGCTGCCAGACCTCGGGGAAGTCGGTGAGCGGTGTATTGCTATAGTCCAGCTTGTCAATCACCTCCTCGTGCTTGAATTTGAAGCAGGGAAAGCATTTGCTCAGGAGCGGCATCTTTATTTATATGTACATATACTGCTAGTCGTTCGATATTAAGGCACGGTTCGGGTTGCTGCAGAAGAAAGAAGAGCACTCAACTGTCAGCCATATACATATACATACCGCATGCATATATGGTGCGGTGCGGTAAAGCAGGCTGGCTTAATGGGGTCGAGCCGAGGGCTTGCCGCATAGCTCACCTATGATTCATCGCAGAAGTTGGAGCATTACTGTGGGTCCTGCTCCATTACATTCCAAAGCCATTGACATTCTTCTCTTTTATTTTTTGGCTTGTTATTGTTCTGTCCACCAACACTAACAAGCATGTATGCACACACACCCACACTGGCATACACAAAAGAGACTTCCTAAGCCTCTCTTCGCTGCTCTTGTGCAGGCACTTGGTATTGCTTGTGGTTTCCCATAAACTCTTATTCTAATTAATATTATTAATATTAATATTGATATTATTTAAACCATTTAATGATATATTATAAAGTTGGATCTTTTGTATCTGGTCACACTTCTCACACAATTTGGAGGAGGTATTTTTATCTGGTCCCACTCTCAGAAATATACTGAAAAATACCTTATCATTTTCAAAATATACCGAGGAAAAAAACGTACTTAACCCACTTAGCCCGCGTTTATTTAAACATGTGAACATCTCGAGTTCAACCGCTAAAAATATTAATTTTTGTAAAACTCCTTGTAGATCCATTACTTACAATTACAATTATACGAGATTGGCTAACTTTGTGGACCCAACGAAAAATATAAAGCATAAAACATTAGTAGATATGGATTTTACATAATTTTACTACTTTTTGCTTGTCACCCGGTAGTTTGGGCACCATACCCTAATTGTGAATATCCCACCCCAAACAAGATAGAAAATTCTCACTCAAATGATAGAAATTCCCCCGGAGGAAAAATTGAAATCACCTGCGTATGGCAGTTTTGATACTCTATATATTTTAATATACCTTTAAAATGGAATTTTATAAATTAATGAAATAGAGTAAATGTACCTTTCCACCTTGAACTCAATTTCGATGTCCTTTACACATCCTTTAAAGTATATAGTTCGAATTGCAGTTGTAAGTACTGGAGCTAGTGATGGCCAATGATCAAAGTGATTTGATAATAATTTTCTTATCGATAAATTCACTGGCTTAGTTTAGCAAGTGACAAACAGATGGCGCCAGAAAGTAGCCGTTTGGATTCAAAATAAAAACAAGGAAAAACAAATACATTTCTTAAAAAATGCAGTGTTTTTGCTGATTTAATATTTGTTTTCCATTTCCAGGCGACGTGCGCGTGTGCTCACTGTTGATAACGAAGGTGTGTAAACTTTGCAACCAATCAAGGAAATAAGTCGTTTTCGAAGTTTCAAAGTTCAAATGGGTTAATGCGAATGCCCGAACGGCCACCAATTAAAGCCCTGCTCGATGCCCCAACCCATCCTATACTTTGACCGGTCAGTGTCGTCAGGTTTTCGTGTGTCGTCGTGTGAAAATTATACAAATAACGGCCACTTTTGTTGTTCATTTTTGTGTTTTTTTTTTTTTGTGTCAGTCAGCATTGACGAATTTACACTTCAAACAATTGTTAAACTATACAGCATAGTGCAAATAAGTACGTAATAAACCACTGGCAGCTATTTGCAAGAGAAAACTTTGTGCCAGACGGTGTGGGTCGGTAAACGAAGGTGGAGATCTCAGTTTCGGTTTAAATGCTGTACGCTGCAGTTGATTCCCTTTCCGCCGGATAACTTGTTGTGAATGGATTATGATACCGTAAAGTGCGTCCCACTAAGATTTCTAAAAATATATCTGCTATAATAATGCTTTATTGCTTTATTTGAGCCCTCTGTCGACTGCTGTTTTTCCCATAGTTTACCTAGGTGATGCGCCCTTTTAGTTGATCCCCCACTTGGGTTCGATTTACATTAAAAATTAACAAACATCTGTTATGGCTTTCACAACCAATTATCACCAGTGCACGGCATTCTGTATAAATAAGTAGACTCGAAACTATATCTAACACAGTTCTCGTACGACGACACCTATGTATAATTATAACCACCTGTCGGACTGATTTTCATTGAAGAAACTATTCCATGAACCACACTGGCACACGCACCAACTGGGCAGAGAGAAATGGAAGCGGGTAGTACAACCCCCAGGCCGAACACACCCCCACTTGGGCAGACATATGTATGTATGTACATATATCACGCTCTCGCTTATCAGGCAGGTTCATTCCCAATAACAAAAAAAAGAGAGCAGTGAGTGGGAGCGAAACGGTTTTATTGAATGTTAACTGTAATTCTAATGAGTCCTCGGAATTATCGTCTTCGAGGACTTCTTGTTGGAAAGTGTTCGATTAATTTAGATTTTGTTGCAAGATTTTGAATATCTGGAACAACATTATTTCTTCTTGCCCTTGCCCTTCTTGGAGCCCTTGGCCGCCTTCACTGTTGCCGGCTCTGCTGTTGATGCAGTGGAGGTTGCTCCTGCCGGCTCGGTAGCTGGGGCCTTCTCTGAGGCACTCTTTTTTGAGGCTTTGCCCGTATCCTTCTTCTTGGACGGCATGCTGTAGTGGATAGATCTTAAAACGGAAGATAATTCACATATTATATTTTTTAGCTGTAACACAATATATTTCCATATATTTTCTATACCTTGATTAAATTTTGAAAAATGCAAAGCAACTTTTTTTCTACGAAAGCCGATAGCACAAAAAATTGGATGCGTAGCTCTCGAAATTTAGGCAAGAACTGATTTTTACAAATGTTGGCGTAAGCCTCTTCAAAACATATGAAGTCAAGGCTTGCTTTATGTTTTTGATTTTGATTTTGTTTTGAATTTGAACCGTTTCGTGAATCGGTTTCAATTTCAATTTCAACCGCCACCGCCCTCATTTTGTGGCTGCTACTCTCCCGCCCTGCGCAGTGGAACTTTTGCTCTTCCTATCTCTCTCTCTCTGTGTTTCCGTGTCCGAGCAACTCAATGCGTCCATTTCCCTGCATTTGTGAAAACGAAGCCAAAGAGTGCGCACCCAGACCCAAGGGCCGCCAAAGTTTTCTAGTGCAATTTCGTTTTAAGTAATTTTAGTTATTAGCGCAAAAGTACAACTAATTTGGATAGCTAAGGAACCCCAAATTAAGCAACCACACAATCCATAATAGATAAATAATTTTACAAAGGTGCAAGCAGGCGACGCTTTTCCCAACATCAAGCAACATACATACGTCAAATAACACAAATTATCGATTTTGAGACTCCCGGAAAGTGTTTTCAAAACTCCGACGGGCTGTGCCATTTGTGTCTGAAAGTATTATAAATAAACTGCGACTAGTGCAATAAACCTAAAAAGGGAAGCAAATAATGGCAGCCAAACGGAATACTGTAACCACAGACGTGCCGGAATCATCTGTGGCGCCGGCCGAAGGAACCGCCCTCACCCTGGACACGCGCCTGTCGCTCCGCGTGGATAGTGTCATACCCAAAAAGCGGTGAGTGGGTACAGTGCTTGCTTTCGACACTGTGTATACTTAATATCCTCCTTTTTTTTTTTCTTCTTCCTATAACAGCCATGAGGCATTGAAGTGGTTTGGCTGGGGCTACAACGACTCCCAGTTCTATGGCCAGGATGGCATCATCTGTTTCCGTGGTGACAAGTGAGTATCCCATGGGAAAGGTGTGCTACCTTCGATTTTAAACCGCATTTTTCTCTCCCTCCAATAGATACCCCTTGGGTGGATGCGAACTGCCGAGCTTTACCAAATGGGTGGAGAAAAAATTCGAGCTTACTGTGGACCCCAGAAAGCCGTTTCCCCAGCTGCCGCAGACGTATCCAAGGCCCGTGGAGAATGCGCCCTTTCTGTGCGAGCTGCGGGACAGCACCAAAGTGGAGCACTCGCTGGAGGGGATCGACCGACTGATTCGTTGCCACGGGCAGACACTGAACGACATCTACAGCCTGTGGCACAATAAATTTCAACGCATACCCGACGTGGTGGTGTGGCCGCGAAGCCACGACGATGTTGTCCAGCTGGTGCGGCTGGCCCACAAGCACAATGTGATGATGGTGCCCTACGGCGGCGGCACGAGTGTATCTGGGGCAATCACCTGTCCGCAGGCGGAGAAGCGAACGATTTGTGCGTTGGATACGTCCCAGATGAATCGGCTGCTGTGGCTCAACCGGGAAAATCTAACCGTCTGCTTTGAGGCGGGCATTGTGGGGCAGGATCTGGAGCGTGTACTGCGCGAGCAGGGACTCACGGTTGGTCACGAGCCCGACTCCTACGAGTTCAGCACCCTCGGCGGCTGGGTGGCCACCCGGGCCTCGGGCATGAAGAAGAACGTCTACGGCAACATCGAAGATCTCGTGGTGCGGGTGCGCATGGTGACCCCGACCGGAACCCTGGAGCGTGAGTGCAGTGCTCCGCGCGTGAGCTGCGGGCCGGACTTTAATCACGTCATCCTCGGCTCGGAGGGAACGCTGGGCGTGATCACGGAGGTGGTGTTGAAGGTGCGTCCCCTGCCAGCGGTCAAACGTTACGGCTCCCTCGCCTTTCCCAACTTCGAGCAGGGAGTGCTCTTCATGCGTGAGGTGGCCCGTCGTCGCTGCCAGCCCGCCTCCGTCCGTTTGATGGACAACGAACAGTTCATGTTCGGCCAGGCCCTCAAGCCGGAGAAGAGCTGGTGGGCCAGTCTGGTGGATGGACTGAAGCAGCGCTATGTCACCGCCTGGAAGGGCATTGACCTCAGCGAGATCTGTGCCGCCACACTGCTCTTCGAGGGTGACCTCAAGGATGTGCAGCGGCAGGAGTCCATCATTTACGAGATCGCAGGCAAGTTCAAGGGCTTTCCTGCCGGCGGACAGAATGGCGAACGTGGCTACATACTGACCTTTGTGATTGCCTATATCAGGGTGAGTCTCAGTCTCAGTCAGTCCCCCATTTAATCTTAGTTCGCAAAAGACTAAAACAGTTTCCCGTTCCCTGCCTAGGATTTCGGACTGCATCAGGGCATTGTGGCGGAATCATTTGAGACGTCGGTGCCTTGGGATCGCTGCAGTCTGCTCTGTCGATCTGTCAAGCAGCGTGTGGTATCGGTAAGTACCTAAGATACCTAAGTCATATCTCTTATGTAGACACACTATTCTCTTAATTCCCATCCAGGAATGCTACAAGCGTCGCATTACGTTCTACACGATATCGTGTCGGGTGACCCAGACCTACGATGCCGGTGCCTGCATCTACTTCTACTTTGGCTTTCGCTGCATCGACGTGGCCAATCCCGTGGAGCTGTTCGAGGCCATCGAGCACAGTGCCCGCGATGAGATCCTCTCCTGTGGCGGCTCGCTGTCCCACCATCACGGTGTGGGCAAGATCCGCAGTAATTGGTATCGCAACGCGGTCACCGAGACGGGCAGTTCCCTGTACTCGGCGACCAAGCGGCATCTAGATCCAAAGAATATCTTTGCTCTGGGCAATCTCCTGCCGCTGCAGGAGGATATACCGAAGATAGAAGCAGCACCACCGAAAGCCAAACTTTAGAGGATTGTCCGTAGAGATTGTCCGTAGAGTTGTGTATTCTAAGTCCCATTACTGATTTCCTATTAGCTTTTGTGGTTTGTGTTATTTTTGTAAGGGGCTCATGTTTTCAATGGGTTTTTATAAATAAATGGAATATTTGTAACTATATATGTAGATCGAAATGCACTGAGAGAAACCACGAAATCGCTTTTCATAAGAGATTGCCATTTCCCCCAGTGCAGGAGCTCAGGAGAGGCTCACTTAAGCCAGTTCCAGACATGGCCAATCTCCATGTGTGTGCTTGTGTGCGTGTTGGAACTGCAGACCAAATTCAAATTGTCGATCATTGTCTTCTCATCTGCTCATCGAAGTCATTTGCGGCTGACGGAGCAGCGTCCGCGCCAGGAGATCAAATGTCATCAAGTTGTCAACTTCGTTAGCATGCCACAAGGCAGCAGAAAGCAGGCAGCAGGCAACAAGCAACAAGCAGCATGCTGTATCTCTCTCTTGGCCCACTCCTTGGAATCTGGCTAATGGGAATGTGGCAGGCAGGCAGGCAGCTGCTTATTGATGGTCGGAGAGGAGTCGTCGTCGTCGACTGTCTTGGCTTGTTACCCTGGTCAGTGGGTATCCATGTCCATGTGCATGCCCCCTAAGCGCCTTTTGGACACGCAAACACACACACAGAACACACACATACATGTGAGGACTATAAATAAAGATTACAATCAACCAAAAGTTGGGCAAAAGGAGTCCCGTCTAAGCCACGGGACTGCCGCCTGGAAATTGTCAGCAATTAACCCGCGGGTCAGTCGCCGTCGCAGTTGAAGTCGCATTCGCAGTCCTTCCCGCCGTGATTTATGCCTCCAAAACAGCCTTAAAGTCACACACAATCAAGGCAGAGGCCAAAAGAGAGTAGGACAGAGAGAAAGAGAGAGAGAGAGAGAAGATAAATGCCATCCTGGCACGTTCTCAGAGAATAAAACAAAGTCGAATGAGGCTTGATGGATCTGCTACCATAGAGCAAATGGATGGGGAGATCTGCATAGCTCATTTGCGTGGAGAGAGAGAGAGACAGAGAGTTCAGTTCTGGCAGCAGAATCATGTTGCATCCAAGGTGTATTTAGAACAGGTGAGATTTTCCAGACCTTGTTTCACATTAATTTCTCCTCTCCCTCGCTCTTGTATTTGTTATGCGACGCACACACACACAAATACAGCTACACTCAAAGAAAAGACAAACAACATAACAGATTTAGGATTATTTTACAACAAAAATTGTAATTCGTGAGAGCAGTCGCTAGGCATGCCGCACCTTATATTTACACACTTCGCATGCAATGAAGAAATTCCAAAGAGAACGAAATGTTCCCCTATTTGATTTGCTCTTACCAACAACAATAACAATAACAGCATTTAAGCCCAGTTAACCCATTGAAGCCGTCTGCCCACGCTCGGCTGACGTCGCCGTCGCTGCTGCTGTTGCTGCTGCTGCCTTGTTTTCCGTTGCCTTGGCAGCGCACCGAGTCGCACCTGGCGCTCAGTCGCAACTTTGGCGACCAAGTAACAACATCGCAAGCAAACGAAACACTCGCGTGACAACACCACAGATATTGTAGTTTTTATTAGAACTTTTCTGCGGCAACACAAATAAAGCTGAGAGAGCGGGAGAGCGTGCAGCGTAAGTGGTTGAGCAGCAACTCCGAAAGAAAGAGATCTCTCCTGCCAGCTTCAGCTTGGTGGCACAATCTCTCACATTCGTGCTGCATTTGCTCTTCGTTCGTGTTGCCTGCCACATCGTGTCGCGGCTTTCGATTTCCTATTACTGTTTCTGCTGTTGCATTCGTTTCTAAACGTGCGTACGTGTTTATGTGTGTGTGTGTGTGTGTTTGTGTTTTTGTGGGAAAAATGCAACAAATTATACGGCTGCTGGTTTTTGTGTTTTCGTGTTTTTTGTTAATTAAAAACGTTTTGTCGCTTGTAATTGAGCCCCTAATGAGCCGCAAAAACAGTGAAACAGGTGCGTGAGCATCCACCAAAACGAGTCTACGCTAAAGCAACTCACCAAAACCAAACAAAACAAAAACACAACCAACAATCATGGCAAATAAATCCATTAAAAGTGCATTAGAAACATGATCAACCTTTTCACCAAAGTCCATCTCCAAAGAAACAGACATAGAGAGAGAGACAGCCATTCTAGCGGCCTTTCATCAGTCAACCCATCAGACAGTCACTCATTCACTTTGT